TCCATGTCCTTGTAGTCTCCTGAATGTACTACTGCAATGCTTTATACATGGGACAGCCTTTGAAAACTTCTGGAAACTACACAGCTGCTAGCTTACTAACTGGGACAAGATCAGGCAGCCTGCCCCAACCTGGTGCCCTCCCAGGACTGGGCAACTCCTAGGGTTCCTGGCCATTAATATTCTTGGCTGGGGCTGATGGGAACTGAAGTCCAAAACATTAGGAGGACACCAGAACAAGGAAAGCTGGGTTACAGAGAACGTACTGCTCAGTGCTTTAAACAGCTGCATTGGTTGCCAGATCACTTTGGGACACAATGCAAAGTGCTGGTAGTTATTTAAAAAGTTCTGATTGGCTTGGGGCCTTACAAACTGAAAGAGTGTTTTCTCACACATATTCCTATCCAAAACTTTTGCTTTTCATATGACACGCAGCTTGCGCTCTCTGTGCCTAATGTCAGTGCATGGCAAGTTTGTTATTTGGTTTATTTGCTTTGCTTTGTTTATTTTAGCAACACATACATGCTGCTCAATAATGAAAATGTGGGGGTACAACAATAAAATACAGAATAATATATCAAGATTGTGAAGAAAAAAAAGTGGCATTCAAAACCACATCAATGAATACAAGCAATTCAATAGGGCTGCCAGCAGCTCCAATGGTGTTTAAACAGATTTTCAGCTTTTCAGAAAATATCCAAACCTTTTTTTGAAATTAGCAAAATATTTAATTTTAAATATTTGTTAGAACTCTAATGTCTCTTTGGCACTAAAGTTTTTTTTTTTTTCTCATAGCCTTTGTTTTAATTTCCCCAGGCTTTCCAGCATGGGGTATAGCTTTGATGGATTTTAATGGCTCTTATTGCAGCTTCAATGACTTCAGCTTTGCTTTTGTCTTTATGATTTTATTGTATCCCTTTTTAAATTGTATATTCTGAGAGTCCTGTTTCTGAAAGCTATCATATAAACTGACTAAATAAAGATGTGGTATTTTCCACCTGCTGCTGTTTGTATTTGTATTTTCCTGATCTTTTATAAATGTTCATAATATTTTGTTAGGCCACCTTGGGTATCATTTGGCAGAAAGGAGGCATATATCTCTTTGAAATAAAGTCTCCTTTATTCTAATATCCAGGTAATGTTCTCTAACATTATTATTGCTGTGGCTCCTACTACTATCATTATTGTTATTATTAACTTCAGTCAAGGCTTTGTTAATATTAATGAGGGTATGACCTATCAAATTCTAACAGAACTATTTTAAGGCTGTAATACTATGGTAATACAGTGGGTATTAATTCTAAGTAAATATACATAGGATTGTGATCAGGAGGCTGCAATACAAAGCCATTCACCAAGGATTAAATCACACTGAATTTAGTTGGACTTACTTCTGAGTAAACATGCACAGGGTTACAGTCTCTTAGCAGGATGTTTGCCTGGAATGTTACTGAATAGAGGAATACATGTTCTTGATAGGCTAAGGGAAGAGGGATGCAGGGATGTGGAGCATATTGACTTGGAGAGGATGATGTGGACAGAGGCGGGGTTATGTGTTTTATAGCCCCTCTGTGTTTTCACCTGATAGGGTTATTGCTGTGGATGCTGCTTCTGCTGCTGTCAGTGTCTTCCTCTGCCATAATCTCAGCACCCTAAAGCAGAAGCAGCAGCAGCAACCACCACCACCAGCCAGCAGCTTCAGACGTCTGGTCTTTGGGAAGACTGCTTCCCTGCTTCTGTCTTACGTGGCCAGTCAGCACTTAGGCAGCTTCCCCATAAGACTTCATCTCAGTAAGTATGACTTTTTTCTCTCCCATATTGCTGCTTAAATGTTTAAATATCTTACATTAACTGCACAGGGCAGATCTAGATTCCAGAACTTCCATTGCAATTCTATGAATGTTTACTTAGAAGTAAGGGTGCTTACAGAAGGCTCCTAGTGCCACAAACCTAAAGGCTTTGTGTGGCATTCTATCTTTTCCTCAATATTCTCTCTATCTCTTTCTCTCTGTCTCTTGCTGGTAAGTAAAAAGACAGAAGCAGCTATGGGAAAACATGAGAGGGATACAAGTAGAAGACGGTGTCTGGATCCACTGAAACATTCCATGAATGAGGCTGGGCAACTGCATGATAAAAACCTCATCTGGAAGTGCCTTAATTCCCGCTGTGTTCAGTGGGGCTTATTCAATAGAAAATGTCTTTCAGCCTTAATTGCTTTTAGTGTTTGGTAGTCCAATCATATTGGTTGGAATTCTGATGAAAGTATTGCTCTGTAGGAAGCAGTTGTTGTGACAACTGAATTATACAAGGAGAAGTGCCATATACATTTCCAATGTATATGGCACTGATATAATCAGTGTTCCCCTTGGATACAAGCAAGAACAAATAAACAGAAAAAGTTTAACGTCTTTCTAAGTAACAATACAGGGAGAAGAAAATCAGTGAAATCTGGTGTTAAAGCAGATATTATCTACAAATTATGTAAATTCAGTATTAGTGATGTTTTTTAAAGTTGCCATATAGGTGGTGATGAATTGGTGATATCTACAGTATAGTTATGTGGCAATCCTATGAATGAAAACCCTTCAAAATGTCCTTACTTACTATACCACTGTATAAGAGAAGTATTGTATGTTTGTTTAAAGCACTTAGACCCAGCTCTTCAGCCAGAAAGGATCTCAGAACAGCTTACTTTCCAAATATTATTAGATGGGTGTTGTCTGAACTTTTTTACTTATTTAAAAGAACTACATATTAGTAAAAGAGACTGAGTAGAGAAATAATCACTGGTTCTAATCTCATCTCAGTCTAGAATTCACAAAGTAGCAGGATAGAGTGCTCCTATGATCTCTAGATAGCATATGAAGGGCTATAGGATTTTTCAGAGCTGCCGTGCTTGAAGTGCCATCCCCACTCATGGTCAGCACTGAAAGAACCATGCCGGACGATTCTTTGAGGTCACAGAAGTGTCCCTCCAAACCATGGCAGTTAAGACAGTTGACATCAGTCATTAACTTTTTTGCAGGGCAAAAGGAGCATGGAAGCCATGTTTGCCTGTGCTCCTTCTGTCCTGCATAGGATGCTTGTAATCGTCAGAGTTTGGAGAGTTACGAGCATCCCTGTAGGATTGCATCTGTAACCAACTGTCTCATCATTGGCTAACTGGAGTTAATCAGAGCTACCTTGCAACCTCATTGGAAGGATTCAGATAAAGTATGAAAATATTTTTGAACATACAAAATACTATATGACATTTATTATCATCTTTGATATTGAAGAATGGAACATCTGTGTTCAGAGGCTTTATGAGGTTTTATTGTGCCTTTGTCTCATTCATGGAATTTTATGTGGGTGGTTGTCCAAACATTGCCATTTCCCCTTTATGACTCTCCTGTGTTTTCCCACCACTTTGTCTTCCTTTTCACAATAAAGTCATTAAGGAGGACAAGATAGAATATGTGCACAATGGCTTTTAACTGGCAGTGTTAGGAGTCCTCCATCTGGAAGCCCCCTCAAATGCAGCTTTTCATGCTTTACCTTGAAAATCCTGAACCTGCAGGCACTTGCATACAAGCAAATGATCTGTTATTCAATCAAAACCCTATGACTGAGAAATCAAAAGAGTTGGAGATTTACAGAAAGTATCCAATGTTAATCTTGAGTATACTCATTGAAATGAATGGGACTTACGTTAGTCAAGAATAATTTGTTTCATTTCCACAGGTTCACCCTACCTGGATCTAATATAGTATACTACCTGAAGAGCTGATTCTTATGTAGTTTTGAGATTACATGAAAATCATGTAACCCCCTCAAAAAATTACATGAAAATCATGTAACCCCCTCAAAAAATTACATGAAAATCACGTAACCCCCTCATTCACTGGGATTGTTTGTATGTGCATTTGTATGAAACATCTTGTAGCCGAGAGATATTAGTCTCAGCAGTTTCAATTATCTTCAAAACGTTGGAGTATTCATTAGAAATCATGGGAGTTTCTGAGACTGAAAGCTATGAATTGCTCACATTTTAATGGATTACATAGATGATGTATTGTCTTCACCCAGAATTTCTGGACATTTCCAAAATTCACTCTTTCAAAATACACTGTTTGGAACTTCATAAACAACATTGGGTTTCTCTTAAATAATAACTTATGCTTCACATGTGGCAGGGCATATTTTGGATTTAATATTCTTCACTGATTTACAACTTTGAGTTTATAGCTTTCTCAGGAAAACAGTATTGGCATGATTAGGTGATTACATGCTGAAGGAACAAATCCCAGTCTTGTTGCCACTGTCGGAGCCATGGACTAGTTAGGCTGGTCCGCCTATTGTGACATATGGAACAAACTAGTTTCTAGGTTTCTGGAGGGGCTTTTCTACTCACCTTGGCCTCTCTGTCAGTGGCCAGATCAATGGATAGAATAAGTTGTTTGATGCTGCCTTTTCTACATGGGTGCATTCAAACACCTAGTGCTATTTCATCAGGTTAGTCATTCAAATGCATGAGATAGCAAGGAGCATAAGTTATTCACAATTTATGCTAAAACAAACTAGATGTGGAATAGATAATTTAACAACCTTATTTCTGAGCATGGTTTAAGGTGCTAGTTCTGGCCTTATTCAACTGAGCAGCATCTGAAAGGAAAAAAACTTCCTGGCTAAGTTGAGATTTGAAGCTGGGCCTCACGAGTACTACTCCAATTCTCTGTTTATGGATGGGGAGTAGATGCTGGACTCAGCCTGGAAATTTCTTCATCCTCCATAACCATCTATTAAGAGATCTGTGCAGTCAGAAATAATAGTGTGATACCATTAAGCATGAAATGAACCTCTCCTGCACTTCTGGTTTTTCTGCAGGCACTGCTATTGGAGATACAACCTCATGTGTTTATTGTGAAGATTATGATAATATATGTTTAAAAGTTATAAAGTATAAGACTAGAAGAAGAACCAAGTCATATTCTTTGTATTGTTTTCAGATACCTCTGTACAGAATGGAATTCACATGCAGAAGACGTTGGTACCTTCAACTGGGGTGTCTCTTGATGGTGAATTTCGTTTATGGCACCTTAGAATATCAAATAGAAGCCCCTGCCAGCCTAGGAGAGATTGATAATCAGTGCTGGGAAATCTCTTCTCATAAGCTGGTACAAATGAAGAAACTTAGGGTAGCAGGCACAGTTATTGCTCTCTGGGAATTCATGATGTTTTTAAAAGAGTCATCTAAACCCAAGCATAATGATGTCTTCAATGATTTGGCTCAGAACTTCTGGGACATGTACATAGACTGTGTGCTCTCAAGATCTCATGGAATGGGCAGGAGACAGTTAGTATCTCCAGAGAATACTATTACACATACACAGAAAATCTCAGAAGGTAATGTCATATTAAACTATTTATAAATATAACTCAGTAGTGCTGATTCTCCTCACCACCCATTTAAATATTTTGTATTAGACAGGAAATCATTGTTCCTAAGGATTGTTACTACTAAGCATTTAATACACCAAAATTGTGTCGCACCAGTCTAACACATTTATGTATTACTATGGTTCAAAATGAAGGACAGATGGTATTTTTCCAGTTTTCATGGGTACAGAATTTGTATTTTACAGATAAAAAAGGAGTCTGACAGCTTCAAATAGAAAAAGAAAAGATGGCAACAAGACATTTTCTTATCTGCAATTGGCTTTCTTTCCTTCCTTCTGTAGGTCTGACAAACCCCAGCTGGAGGACAAAGAGGCAAATATACAGAAGACAGCTTAAGGTGATCCCAAACTAAAGGAGACCAACCCACGTTTCCAAAAGCACATCCTTTACTGTAGATGTTTTTGAGAATTCTTCCCTGTGATCATATCCTGACTGTGTTTTAATCAGATAAGTGTGTTCCAGACATTCATTGCCAGCATCGTCTCTCTTCTTATCAATGTACCAAATTTCAATGCTTTATGTATTTTGAGTACCTGTGTTATATCAGGTAAATCAACGTGTTTAAGTTTATCATAGTATTTTCAGACTCCTCATCTTTTTGGGGAAAACAAATTTCTTTCATTTTTAGAAGTGTTCAATTAAACAGAAGTCTAGTATATTTTTATATGCTAACAAATTATGGCACAGCAGCAACAAGTACATTTTTTACACTGTCTTCTAAAGTATACAGATTTCATTTTTAAGACATTCTATGGGAAACACATATGTAAAACCAAAGGAAGAAATTATTCTTGATGTAACTTTCTGTGAAGTCCCTAAACTTCATTGATTACATTTGATTACTGATTCATGTTGGTTATCACAAATTAAAATATTTTTCTATGCAGTGAAGACAATTGCAATGGTGCTCTTATTCATTTATCGTATTTTTCGCTCTATAAGACGCACCTGACCATAAGACGCACCTAGTTTTTAGAGGAGGGATCCATGGAAAGCTTCCTGATAATCACAGGCACATTCCCCATCACTTCCCCATGGGCTTCATTAAAAGACGGGTTGCCATTTGAAAACACACAGCGACCTGTGATTAACAGCTCTCACCTGCGCCGAAGGAGAGGCGGAGCAGGGCGCGCAGAGCGCGTGCCGGCCAGGTGTGGTGCATCTGGGCTGGCAGCGTGCTGGCAGTGGTCTTCCGGGTGGCGCGGCAGCGGCAGCAGGTCTTCCCGGGTGGTGGGGGTGAACAGTCCGTCTGTCCGTGCGGCCGGCGGGTTAAAGCCTGTGGCTCCTTCTCCTCCGCGGCAGGTCTTCCCAGGCGGTGGGGGTGAGCAATCTGTCTCTCTGTGCGGCTGGCGGGTTAAAGCCTGCGGCTCCTCCTCCGCGGCAGGTCTTTCCGGACGGTGGGGGTGAGCAGTCCGTCTGTCTGTGCGGCCGGCGGGTTAAAGCCCACGGGTCCTCCTCCTCCGCGGCAGGTCTTCCCAGGCGGTGGGGGTGAGCAGTCTGTCTCTCCATGCGGCTGGCGGGTTAAAGCCTGTGGCTCCTCCTCTGCGGCAGGACTTCCTGGGCGGAGGAGGTGAGCAGTCCGTCTCTCTGTGCGGCCGGCGGGTTAAAGCCTGGAGTGGAGCGGCGCACGCCGAGCGCATGCCAGCCAGGTGGTGCCACGTGGTGCAGGCGGGCTGGCAGCGTCCTGGGCGTCGGGCACACACACATTCGCTCTATAAGACTCACAGACATATCCCCTTACTTTTAAGGGGGAAAAAGTGCATCTTACAGAGCGAAAAATATGGTACATATTATCCTATGAATTTGTAATACTTATAGGGGACAATTCAAAGTTATACATATGAACAGTTGTATCTAAGTGTAATATTATTTAAAAGCAGATCTACTAAAATGACTGAAACTTGTTGGGCTAACACTGGATATAAGTCAATCTTGCTTTTTTCTTCTGTGAAGTGTTCCACCAATGCATAGTGATTCTCTACTGTACCTGCTGAACACAGAACAGCTTAAAACCACTGGGAAGCCCTGGCTTTACATGCAGTTTGGAATCAGTAGATGGCACTCATAGTATTGAACATTATATTTTTATGAAAAGAAGACCATGTTCTTGGAGGAATTTTACACATAATTGAATGGAAGTTTCCATTTCATTAACACAGTGGTCTATTTGAAAAACTGATTCCTATGTCTTTCAGATAGGGAGAAAGGAAAAGCACCCCCTGCCACCCAGCCCTAATGCTTGGATATCCATGACCACAATATATTATGAAGTTAGAAGCAGTGACTGATGCTCCTGAGTTTGCTGCCATTATACCTACCTATCACATACCCAGGATTCCAGGCCATCACATTTCACACATTGCATTATAAACTTCAAGAACACTGAATATAGATATATCATCTAATTTCTTGCCTTTGAATGGGACATAAGGGCTACTACTTACATTAGTTTTTAAAGACACTGGCATACACAAACGAACTACCTCAGAAATTAAGTGTAGAAGTACTGGGGGGAAGGTAAATACAAAATTGATGTATTCTGAAGGTGAAGGCTCATTATTCAACAGGACTTCACCTGGTATATTGAATAATGACCTTATGATGTGGGGTTTCTTGGATCTTGAATGGAAACACATGTCAAGATACATAGTTGCCATTGCTAGGCTAGTTAGCAATATGCAAGATTTAGAATAAAACAAATGAAAAAAACAACAACCAAAATGAGAGTAAGACTGCCAAGTCTTATGCCCTTAATAATTACTGATACAAAAAACCTTTGAAGAGAAAGAGTTGTAAAGTTCAGAATTTGGACATTTTTAGACTGTTAGTCATTTGGTTCAGCATACCTATTCATCTTTGTAAACACCTAGGCAATAATGCAGCCAAAGTGAAGCCATTTTTATGCTGATTTCAATGGAGATATAAGCAAATATTTAAGTGTCTCCCACTGAAATAAAGGTTTTTATTTGCTACTTAAGTATCTTTACCCTTTCCTCCACTGAATATGCCTTTTGTTCCTGCATAGACAAAAGTTTTCAAGGCAGCTGTGAGCAAAAGAATACTGAAAGTTGCACGCTTAGGTTCCCACCTTTATTGTAATTGAAGTTCAAGAGTGATACATTGCTTGCCCTAATTAAGAGGTGGTCTTCCTGCAGTATGCAAAACTTGGGATTGCTGGACAAAACCAAATGCCTACCAGACTACTAGGCTGCTATCCTAGTCAAGAAACCCATGAAGATACTTTCAGAATGGCCAATTTATTGTTCTGGTGTAAAGCATGGTCCAACTCTGAAGTGTCCTCACCTCAAGATAGATCTGCAGGTTAAAGCACCATCTGGAAACCCCTTTTTGTTATGAACATCACCCTTTCTCTCTTGTAAGCGTAGTTTTAATGCTTAGCTAGCTAGCTTTAATTCAGTCAAGCAGCCAGAAATCCAAAGAAAGGTTCCCTTTTGTTTTCCAGGATTACACTATTGCATCCTTTGTTCAACCTTAGTCTGCCTAAATGGTTACCAATTTGAAATCTACACTTGCCCTTGAGACTGGGCACCTCACTTTTTGGCTGTGTAATATGGATATACTATGCCATAAAGATTCAAAATCTACCTAGGTTTGCTCAGTGCCCAGTCCATTCCTTGTTATTCTTCCTAGCAACCACTTTTTCCTGTTCTAGTGTCTAGCCCACAATGATTCCAGGAACAGAGTTCTTCTCCTCTTGCTTAGACCACCTCATGGACTTGTATGCCTAGGTCAGTGGTGGCGAACCTATGACACGCGTGACACAGTGGGCACGGAGAGTCCGCTCGGTTGGCATGCGAGTGAAGTCGCCCGAGCAGCCAGGCTTTGGATAACAGCACACATAGGGGCCATGCGCATGCTCGGAAAGGAGTAGCAGTGCCAGGTTATGATGTCACGAGCCATGACTCATTATTTATTTATTTTTATCTATTTAAAACATTTCTATGCCATCCCATTCACAAAAAGCCTTGGGGTGGCTTACAAAACAGATACCATTTGCACAATTAACCTTAAAAATTTTGGAGACATTTCGGCACAATATAAAACCCAATAAATAATCGATTAACAATTAGCCGTGATTCGTCCAAGCTTTCGCATGGCCAGTCAGTGCACTCCCAAGGATATGTATATAGTTGCTTGGACTGGCTGTGAGTGGTTTTTTCTAAACTAAAACCTTCATTTTCAGGTTTGATTGCAGTGTTGGAACTTTGCGATAAATAAGTGGGTTTTGGGTTGCAGTTTGGGCACTTGGTCTCTAAAAAGTTCAGCATAACTAGGATTTTCAAAATCCCTCTCTTTTCTATGAAATCACCCTATATTAGGGTTAGAGATGTGCACCATGGCAGGGTTAAGGTTAGTAAAACGAGGTGTCCTGGCATGGTTTTGATGGCTGGAATGTGTTTAGAATGGGCAGAAATGATGAGTAGTGCAGAAAAAGCTACTCAAGCAAGGCCTTTTCAAAATCGCCCTATTTTCTATGGAACTATAGCCCTATATTAGGGTTAGGGGTGTGCACCAGGGCAGGGTTGGGGTTACAGAAATGAGGTGTCCTGGCATGGTTTTGATGGTTGGAATGTGTTTAGAATGGGCAGAAATGATGAGCAGTGCAGAAAAAGCTACTCAAGCAAGGCCTTTTCAAAATCGCCCTCTTTTCTATGAAACTATAGTCCTATATTAGGGTTAGGGGAGTGCACCAGGGTAGGGTTAGGTCAGTGGTGGCGAACCTATGGCACGCGTGCCACAGCGGGCATGGAGAGTCCTCTCTGTTGGCATGCAAGTGAAGTCGCCCCTGCATCACTCGAGCAGCCGAGCATCGGATAACAGCAGACACAGGGGCCATGCGCATGCTCGGAAAGGAGTAGCAGTGCCAGGTTATGATGTCACGAGCTGTGACTCATTAGCCGCCACTTGTCCAAGCTTTCGCATGGCCAGTCAGTGTGATGCCAAGGGTACGTATATATTTGCTTGGACTGGCTGTGAGTTGTTTTTTCTAAACTAAAACCTCAGTATGCAGTTTTGATTGCAGTGTTGGCACTTGGTCTCTAAAAGGTTTGCCAGCACTGGCACAGACAGTCTCTTTTCCTCATATAACTATGTAGCATTTCTTACCCTGGTTCTATGCAGGCATTCCCCCAAATATGAGCAATCAGATGGATCCATATCCCTTATGTCTGTGGAGAGCAGCTCCTTATCTATCTTTCCTGAACCTTGCTGTGTTGGCTGACAAGGTCTGAAGAAATGTTCTACTTGCATTCACATGAATAGAATGCAGTAGGTGGTGAGTAGAATGCATCCGATGACAGAGGACCATGCTTTTTCAGGAAGAATGCCTTTATAGGATTCTTGTTGAAGAGTCCAATTGGCATCCTCCTCCTAAGTTCCCTTGCTCCTCTCCTTATCTGTTACTTTTGTCAGAGAGGTCAGGATCTAGCCTAGTTCTGGAGCTCTCTACAATGTACTGCATCTCTAATAGTGGCTTAGCCAGACATATGGGGTCTCTCCACTATTATTGTTGGACCAAGAATCTAAGCCTCTCTAGATGGAACGGCACATTGTGGTTCTCAGACTTATCTAATCCAAGGCCGAAACTCATATCCTAAAGTTACTAAAGGCTAGGACAGGCAATCTCAGTGCTGGGTGTTCAAGCAGTCATACTCAACAAGGAAGTGAGAAATACACTTTATTTCGGACTTTGTCAGTATTTCATCCATTTTTTCCTGAAGCATCTGTAAATCTGTTTACAGTCAAAAGATATATTGCTGTGCTTAGCTCCCCAGCCCCGCTGTAACACCCCTAGTCTACCACAGCTTTCTTCCACCACTTTTTCTCAATTTATAAATGTTATTAGGAAAAGCAGGTTGCTTACCTGTAACTGATATTCTTTGAGTGGCCATCTGTGCATCACACATATGGGGTGCTGCACCTGCGCAGTGCCTAGGCCGGAAGGTTAGAAAGCTAACGGTTTTTGGCAGGAAAACTCTGCTCCCCTCCCCCTCCATAGTATAAATAGAGCGGAGTGTCCGCCATTTTACTCAGTCTTGAAGACCGAACATGACCCCTTGGAAGTGCAGGTAAGTCCATCTTTGCTAATTGATATGCCAGAACTATAGTCTGAACGATCCATTTAGACAGTCTCTGAGATGTGACTGGAGAGCCCTTGTCGTGATCAGAATATTTAATGAAGAGTCTATTAGAGCTCCTGAAGGATTCAGTGTAAGATCTGTAAAAGGCCAAGCAGCATTGAACATCGAGAGTGTGAAGAGATCTTTCAATTGGATTCGATGGCGATGGAAAGAATGCAGGCAAAACAATCTCCTGATTCATATGAAACGATGTAGCCACCTTAGGTAGGAACGCTGAATCCATTCGAAGAACAAACTTTTCCTTATGAAAATTCAAATATGGTGGATCTATTCGAAGAGCACAAAGTTCACTAGCTCTTTGGGCTGAAGTGACCGCTACAAGGAAGGCAGTCTTCCAAGATACTAGGCGTAGATCAACAGTTGCCAAAGGTTCAAATGGGGGCCTTGTAAGCGCTTGGAGTACAACAGAAAGACTCTACGTTGGCATAAAAGGACGAACGGATGGGTGAGGGTTCTGCAGTCCCTTAATAAAATGGCGAACCATAGGTGGGGAAAAAACCAATGAGCCCTGTATATTGCCATGGTAATGTGAAATGGCAGTGGCGTAAACCTTTATAGATGATGGTTTAAATCCCGAAAGGTGCAATTCAAAGAGAAATTGTAAAATGTTCTCAATAGAGGCCGATCCCAGAGAAAAAGAATGGCACCCAGCAAAAGATGAGAATCTTCTCCATTTTGCCGCTTAAGATCGATGTGTTGACGGCCTTAGTGCAGATTCGAGACTCACTTGGATATCCAGATCCAAGGCTGTCGGTCCCGGAGTGATTCCTAACGGGTCCGAGGAAAGGTTCAGTTGCACAGTCTGTTGAGCTGCGTGTTCCAGTGGACGAGATGTCGTCGGAATCGATTCAGCAGTTAGACTTATCGGATGTGCCACGCCGTCAGCTTCAAAGAAGTCAAGTCCGGGTGTCAGATCGCTTCGTTGTGCTATGTTAACAAATGAGGAATCGTTGGGAGCCGAAGAAATACACCTTTGGACAGACTGAGGAGAGTGGTGAACCAAGGTTGTCTTGGCCACCACGGAGTTATTAATATCCCCATAGCGTTGTCCTGAACTATCTTCGATACAACCCTCATTAAGAGTGGAACTGGGGGGAAAGCGTAGAAAGTCATGTTGTTCCAAGGGATTATGAGGGCATCCCCTGTCGATCCCGGTCCGATACCCGCTCTCGAACAAAACAGTTCGCATACCCTGTTCTCTCGGGTAGCAAACAAGTCCATGTCTGGGTATCCCCATAGATGAAAAAGTTGCTTGCAAAGCTGTCGGTCCAACTCCCACTTGTGGGTCATTGACATTTGTCTGCTCAGTGTATCTGCTTCTATGTTGTCGGTCCCCGCAAGGTGAACCGCCAGTAGCATTATGTCCCTTGGGATACACCAATCCCAAATTTCCAGTGATAGTCGAGCCAGCGCAGGTGACTTTGTCCTGCCCTGCTCATTGATGTAAAAAACAGCAGTGATGTTGTCGGAAGCAATCTGGACAATTTGGCGCTGTAGGACAGTTTCGAAAGATTTGAGAACGTTGAAAATCGCCAAGAGTTCGAGGAAGTTGATATGCTTCTTCGCTTCCCGTTGGTTCCAAGTCCCTTGGACCCAAAGTCCTGCACATGCTGCACCCCACCCGATGAGGGATGCATTGGTGTACAATGTCACTGTCAGTTGGGGGGGTCGGAACGGTATGCTGATAGATTGTCTAGAGCAGTCCACCATGTCATGGTATGGAGGATCGACAGCGGAATCTGAATTAACTTGCTTGGTGGGTCCCGCTGCAAATGAAATGACTTGTTGGAGAACAACTGCAGAGGCCAAAGCCAGAGTCTGGTGTACAGTACGATGGCAACTGCAGCAGCCATGTGCCCCAAAAGTCTCTGTATAGTGATGGCCTGTACTGTCTTGTCCTGTTGAATCCAATGAATATGCGCACAAAGAGTGTCTCGACGGTTCGGAGGAAGAAATGCCCTTTCTAGAGTAGAGTCGATACATGCTCCGATGAAATCGATGACCTGTGTAGGAATAAGGGGCGATTTCTCACAGTTAATGCAAAGTCCAAGATCGTCAAGCAAAGCACAAGTTTTGTGCACAGCTGACAGGGGACTGTCTCTAGTCTGGAACACAATCAGCCAATCATCTGAAGTCGCAGGTATGCACATACCGGAGCCATATACTTTGTGAAGACTCTCGGAACCATGGCGAGACCGAGTGGCAGGACATTGAATTCGAATATATCGGATCCGACAGTGAAACGTAGAAAGTGTCTGTGAGAAGGATGAATTGAGATATGGAAATATGCATTCTTCAAGTCCAGTGAGGCAAACCAATCCTCTCTCCTCAGTAATGGAAGGATATTTTGTAAGGTGGTCATCTGAAATTTTTTAGGTTTGATGTACCTGTTAACGTCTCACAAGTCCAGGATAGGATGAAGATCACCGTCCCGTTTAGGGACCGTAAAATATCTGGAATAGAATCCGTGCAGCCCTTCAGAGCGAGAGAGTTGTCGAATCACTCCTTTACGAAGTAGCTGATAGACCTCTTCGCATAGTACCGAAGAGCAAGGTGTAAATCGGATAGGGCTCGACGGAGGAACGATGTCGAATTCTTTTCTATATCCGAGCTGAATGATGGACAACAGCCACCTATCAGATGTAATGGACTCCCAAATGGGGAGTTGGCTTTGAAGCCGGCCCCCAAAAGGGAGAGGGGAAGGTGGGGAGTGGAGAGATGGAATGGTCCACCGGGACCGTCAATGAGGACGCTTCTCAGTATCGAAACGCTGACGGCCCTGAGAGAAGCGTTGTTGCAGCTGCTGCCTTCTGCATTGCTGCCTTTGTTGATACTGCTGATGGGGTTGGTATTGTTGACGTCCGGAAGGTCGGGACCATGACCACTTACGTTTTTGCTGTGGGAGCTCCATGTGATGCGCTGTCATGTGTGATTCATGGATCGACTTGAGCTTATGGTCGGTCTTTGCATGAAACAGTCCGGTACCATTAGATGGCATTTCTTCTATTCTCCTCTTCATTTCCTCAGGGAAATTACAATTCCTCAGTCACGCATGCCGCTGAAGGGAAATAGCACTGACCAGGGTCCTAGAGTCAGTGTCCACATGATGTCTTGCAGTGGAAAGTTGTTGTATTGCCACTTGCATTGCCTCCTTTATGAACACTCTGGCTAGGTCTGCTTGATGATCCGGAAGGGAGGAGGCGACGTTCTCCAGCTTTTGCATTATGAAGTACTGTTAACGCGCCAGTGTCACTTCATAATTTGATATGTGTAGGCCGAGTCCAGAGGCTACATAGACCCGGCGTGCAAGCATGTCTATCTTCCTCCCTTCCTCCCTTCCTCCCTTATCACGAGGAGCTGTGTGACAACTCGACTCCCTGTCCTGGGAGGACTCAACCACCACCGAGTTCGGCTTCAGGTGACGTAGCAGGAACGGTATGTCTTCCTCCCGAACCTGGTACATGGCTTCGTATCGACGAGACATAGCCTGTGGTTGAGCTGGTTGGTCCCAGGGCTGGACCATCACTTGGTGGAGTGTAGTAATGAATGGCAAGGCTATGGCTGCAGACTGCTCACCCCGGACAATGTCATAAAATTTATCAATGCTGGGACCAGGGTGATGGTGGGCCTCGATCTCCAGCGACCGAACCAGGCGAGAGATGAGCTCTGCGAAGGTAACATGGGGCTCGTCCGGGGACCCAGGGCCCTGGGAGGTAATGGCCACATCGGGAGACGTGGAGTCCACTTCCGACTTGTCCGAGTCTTCCTGATAGCGGTAGTGCTCACTGGAAGAGGAGGTCTCTGGGGACGGTGGGCGCCTCCTCTCTGCATGCCCCGAAGTGGACGGCGCCTCCCTCGGGATCAGTGATGACTGACGGTAGTAGGCAAATGGTTGGTATTCACCCCAACCTGAGAAACCACCGTAGCCAAGCATTGGCCAGTCATCGGCTTCACGGTCAGCGGAACGGCTTTGATGTCTAGGTGGTGACGGAGATTCTGCAGGTGGCCCGGCTGTAGGCACTGGGGTTGGAGAGTGCTCCCTCGGTGAGGAGTCTCTGATCTCTCCATCTGAGATCGACTCCCTAAGTGGCGCCTCCAGCTGTGGAGGAGACGCGCTCTCAGGCCGAACAATTTGCCTGGGGAATCCTGGCGGAGTCACCTGCATTGCTGACTGCAGGGCCGGTCCCGAGGGAGTTGGTACCATAGCGGCAGTCGGTACTGAGAATCCCGACGAACCCAAATCCCAGTGTTTGGGGTGATCGGGCTTTTTGCCCTTACGAGCCGGCTTGTTTGCCTTATCCTTCCTCGGCTTTTTGTGCCCGGAGGATTTATCAGACCTGGTGTGCTTACGCTTCTCCCATTGTTTGGTTGGGGGAGAAGGTAGCTGCTGGGCTTCCACTGAAGTAGTGCCTTCATCCGAAGGACGCTGTGGAGGTGTAGCCGAGGTAGGGGGCTTGGAGGGCGCAGCTGAGGCAGAGGCAGAGCGCTGAAGAGGCGCAGTCTAAGAGGAGCCAGGCCTTAAGACCAACTGGTCTGATTGCATCAAGGCCTGGTCCCAGAGTAGCTTATGGAGATGATTCTCCCTATTTTTTCTGGCCTGCTTGGTGAAGGCCAAGCAATGGCCGCACTTATCAGTTCTATGCCCCTCACCGAGGCAGAGGAGGCATAGATCATGCTGGTCCGCTGGGGACAACTTGGAGCCACACTCGATGCATTTGCAAAATGCCGCTCGCTGCGCCATTGTGAAAAGGAAAGAAGAAGATAGTGCAGGGGGTAAAGTTATAATATTTTTGGTTTTTTTTTTTAGAAAGAAAGATTGTAAAACGGGTAAGAGAAAAAACATGGAATATAACAAGATAGGTATAAGAACCATAGAACGAACACGAGGCAGAATCTAAGCGAGAGACAAACAGGCATGAGGCACAGCGAACGGCAGTTGCAAAGACAGTAAAATGGTGAACACTCCGCTCTGTTTATACTATGGAGGGGGAGGGGAGCGGAGTTTTCCCACCAAAACCCGTTAGCTTTCTAATCTTCCGGCCTAGGCACTGCACAGGTGCAGCACCCCATATGTGTGATGCACAGAGGCCACGACGAAGAATAATCTGCTAGTCCAGTACTCAAGGATTGGCATTATAAACCATCAAATATTTCTGGTAAATATTTGTACTAAAATAAAACTTCTGTATTTAAATTGTAAGTGTTCTAGAGCTTTTCCCCATTTTGTCACAGTAAAGTATAAATCCCATGTGTGCACTATACTTTTGCAAAAGAGTTCAGTACACGTGTGAATTCATGTTCTTTTGGTAACAGTGTACATTCCCTGCTGTAATGGAAACACTACACAGTATTGTTTCCATGTTGAGTTTATTTTATTTTATTTTACTTAAATTACTGAGTAGTTATTTCAATGATTAGTGCAAAAATTTATAGATACACTTCCTTCAACCCTTTTTCCCTAAGAATGAGAAACAAAGAACAGTTTGCCAGTAAACTGTGAGGCAGAGCTTATACACTGAAACAAGCCAGATAAAACAGCAATTTCTGGGCTTTAGTCAATTTGGTTGTGGTTTTCCTTGAAAGTTAGGGAACTGGGATATATGTAATGGGAATGTATGAATCAGCCACTGGCTGTTTATTTAAGCTTTAAAGTCTTTGCCTATAACACATCAATGTTCTTGCATTTTTTCCTATTCACCTCATTTAGTAATAATTACTGGATACGGCAGTGTTTACCAATGCCACTTCATATCCTGAATGTTCAGGATCAGAGAGTTCAGTGAGAACAGGATGCAAATTCAATCATTTTGGCAATGATTAGACATGATTGATTTTTCTAATGCACTGAATTTATTCATTAGCAACATGATGTAAACATTATTTCTTAAGCAAAAACAACTGTCTTTTACCAGAGTGATACAACAGGTACTTGAAATATGCATATAAATTAACTAAGATATGAACAATTGTCTAAAACAGTAGTGGTCAATATTTATTTTACAGATACTGAACCTTTCTTGAATGAATCCATCACTTTAACTCCTTTGATTCTTTTTAATGCTCCTCCGCGAATAGGAAGTCTTTTGAGTGCAAGATCTGTATCTGCTAGTGGCCCTCCAGTCAATTCAGAAGGTGTACTTTCCACTGTTACTAGGTGACCAGATGCAATCTGGAAAAACAAAACACAGTGCTCAGTATTCTGATAAAATGAAATGAGCGCAGGTTCTGGTCTTCTTTTCCAAGCATTTCTTGGAAACAAACATCTTTGAAAGTGACTATATAAACTATTAGTTGGTTTTTTGAATAGATTTTCTTATTCATAGCTCTGTGCATTATAAAATTTACATTTTAGTTGACTGTTCAGAAACACATGTCTTAAGCTTATGCTTTAGATTTGAGTTATGTAGCATTTATTAATATATTTAAATGTACATTTATTTGTACAGATGTGGCTTGAAAAAGAACTTGACGGATGTGTAAACGGTGTTTTTTATTACAAAGGAACTATATGAAAGGAAATAGGTGAAGGTTAAGAAACTATTGTACTCATTTTGTTAAAATGCAGGAGACTATTATAATAATAATAATCTTACTTTTGCCACCTGTATGTCTTTCCATATTTCCTCCATAACTGCTTCTTATCTTCACTCTAAAATTCTTTTGCTCTTATGATTAAGTGATCAAAAATCTTGTACAGTATCACAAAGTTTAAATCAGTATTTTAGGACAGATTCTTAGGACTTGATTAGGCAAGGCTTTTTCCCACTTCTGTGATTTTGCAAGCTGTCCACATGCCATCACTCTGGTACTGCAGCCACACTGTGATTATTTCTCTACTATGTCCATATTTTTTCAGAAAGAGTAAAATCGGCCAAACTTTTCTGGCATGTCATACGAGTGCAAAGAGCCACCCATGTAAGCAGAACCTTGGGGGATTTATGTGGGGAAGTGGGTTTGATGTTTACTGTTATGTTTCTAAATGGGTGTGTCCATGTAGCATAATTTTACTCCTCTTTCTGTCATTTCATTTCTGTCATTTCATATAGTACACACACAACTGTTTTTCCCTTGTCTTCATTTTTGATGGCTCAGTATTTGCACATTCCTGGACATACCTCCTTTTCAAAAATGCATATTTACAAAGTTCCATCATGGAAGTTTGTGCAATTTTAATTCCTTTATTCTAAAATGTGTGCTCAGGTGAATTGACTCACTTGTACACATGCCCAGAGAGGAAGACAGAAAGGAAAAAAGGGATATTGTAACAGAAGGGTGGAGAAGAGCTGACAAAGGAGAGTTATGAAGGGAAGGTATGTGAATGATAGCATTACATATGGAGAGTGAAGGCAAGAGGAAAACTTTGGCACCATGAAATTCTGTAATTAAAGGCAAAACCCCAAACACAATGAACATGCTAATCCTTGTGATCAAACACATGGATTAGCAATTTATCTCCAAAGGTGATGTATCTGCTTGTCTGAAAATACTGTGTTGCATCTTGCATCTTGAAGTATGAATATGATGCTTATTGAATTTGTGAAATATTTCCTGTGTGATGATGTAAGACAAACATCTCCATGCATTACATGGAGATATCCTCAGAGTTTTCTCAAATATATATCTGTAATTTTTATACTATTCTGGTTTGGTTAAAAATGAGCAACAACGCATTTTACTTACAGTTGTATTTAGGCCTTTAATGTCAGTTGGATGGAAAGTAGCGTTATGTTGTTTTATCTTTGATTTAGAATTTTCAATGGATTTTTCCTGAAGCCTTTTTGCCTTCTGTAACAGTTTCAAAAAATATTGTTCAAAGATGAGAGAGAAATGATATACCCACACTACTTATACCCTCAATTTTTAGCTTCATTTACTCTTAACTTAATGATTAGGCTAATAATACAACCTTATAAAAGTTTCATTGAATTTAATAGGTCTTGCTTCCAGGTAAATGGGTTATAGAATCGTAGGTTTATTGTGAAAATCATAACTAGGAGTGCTTCCTATAACACTTTTTCTAAGTATTATGTGGCTGACTCACCCAGAGTTAATGTAGTAAGAAATATTAAAAATTAACTAAGTAAACAAACAACCAAGCAAACAATTTTGTACATAAAATGTCCTTCTATGCAAGTGAATAAAAAGATGTCACAGAGGTTAAAGAGTACTGCTTGTAGCAGAAACCAAAGGAATTCTTGGAAACTCATTTTAGACCTCCATTTTTGAACACCCACAACTCCTGCAAGCCTGCCTAATTTTCAAAGTGCTTCATGTTCTTTTCTAGTCTATTTACCTTTAAAGTATAAATAATAATGAAAGAAGAGTTTTAATGGCTTTTCCAACCAATCTTAATAGCTTAGTGAATTGAATAATACCACCCCAATGCTTTCTGAATAACTTTCTTACCTTTAAAGCCTCATAATTTGAAGTCCGGGTTAAGAAATTCTCCCAGGACTTACTGACCATTTCCTTTTGTTTATGAAGAGACTGAATCTAGAATGGGAAAGAAAATAAGGAGAAAAATCAAAGCTCTCCCCACCCTCAGTTACTCTTCAGAAGTACTTCAAGTGACATAATTCAGTGCCCATAATTCCATAATTTTAAATGGAATCTTATAGCTCCAAGGAGGTCAAAATTCATAGAGCAGGTGTCCTGCCTACAGTACAGGCCTCAATGCTGATGTACCTCATGCCATATTTGCACATGGCTCCCTGCCCCACAGTAAAGTGTCTATGTTCTGCAGGAGAGATCACATATATAAACTTTCAGCTTTTAAAGAAAAAAATAATGATCACCACTACATGTGAGCAGAAAGGTAATTAATCTGTTAAATCCGTGGCCTTTTCTGTGCTTACTTTGGCATAGCTTTTTTCTTCCTCCTGAATCTCCTGGTATTGCTGGCTTTCTAGCATTTCAGTTTGGAGGGAGACAACCATCTTGCCAACATTTTCAAATGCTTCAGTAATAACTTGCAAAGCTTCCTGGTCAGGAGTGACTGGTCTGAATTGCTCTTTTTTAAGTTCAGCACACATTTCACCCCAGATTTCACCAACCTTTATGAATAAGAAACAAATGAAAGGTTCTTAAAGGGTAATTTTAAGAGCTCTCTACCCCACCGCCCCAAAATGATAGTTATCTTAGTATTAGTGTACTGTGTTTGTTCTGCTAGTTTTATGGATTTTGGATAGCAGAACTGATACTTTTTAAAAAAGCTGAATGCCACTGTAAGTGCAATAGCTTTGGCACTGTGGTCTAGAGCAGGGTAGTTCCTAGAGTCTTCCAGATGTTTTGGATCATCACTCACATCAGCCCTATCCAGCATAGTCAATATTCAAAGGTCTATGTATACAAAACATCTGCAGGGCACTGGTCTAGAGAAGTAAACAAAGGAATGCCTAACAAAACAGGCTAAGAAAACTGTCAAATAATAAATGATTTATATAATCTGAAGTTATCAATTTAAGACATGAATTTTGTAAAGACATGGTATATTTGTTCTAGATTATACTGGTAAAGATGAAGTAATACAGGTTAGGAGAATCCCATTCTTAATTCTCTGTCTAAATGTCTGTCTGTAACAATTTTGGGTATAATCCTATTATATTTAGACAGAAGAATGTCCTACAACTCCTGGGTTTCCCCAGCCAGCCATATACTCTTTAAGCTGTGAACAAAATAAAATACGTTTTTGAAGAGTTTTGCATTTTATTGAAACAAGCTGTCCTACATAATACCTGTGGAGAAATAAACATGCAGAACTAAACATTCTTAATTCTACCAGTTTCAATAAATGAAGCTATAAACAGCAAACCATGGTTTGAACAATACTTACCTTAAAGTCAAGATATCTACGTATAATAGCAAGTGTAACAAAATCCTTCGCAGAGAGACCAGGCAAATTCTCAAAGCCTAAAGTAAGGCATTAACAGTTATCTCATTCCTGTATTAAGATTTACACTGTCACAAGGCTATTTTAAAGTGCACACATGAGCAAAACTAGATAATCCCAGCAAAAAAAAAAAAAAAACGAGCAGCTCCTGGCTTAGAAGCCTTTAATAGATGGTTGGCAAGGAGAAACAGACCTTCCCTTTCCTATAGCACCAGTGGTAGCAGCAGCAGTATTGCATTCTTGACACAGAAAACTCAAAAGCACAGAAGCACTCTCACGACCAACTGCTAGCAACCCTGTTCACAAATATAAGTACTAGTTGGTCTATTATTTACTTTTTTGTGAGTCTTATTCTTCTGTTTGTACAGTTTGGTTTTGATTATGTAACAACAATTATTTCTTTTATACTTATCTTTGCAAGCTAGTATATATGAAGGAAAGAAGTTCATAGTCTTTACCTAGTTTGCATATTATACAATAAATCTTTGCTCTCATGTTTTCAGCAACGTCCATGACAGCAATAGTGGGACAACTGGCAGGCACTGGAATAACTTCTTGGGTTTTTTGGAACTGGCCAACTAATGGCTTCTTTGTATCTGCAGCATAGAGAACAAGAAGAGAATGCTAGGATATAATCAGTATCAGAAGCTTAGCATTATAATTATTTTGCTGATATATAGTACAAGCTTGACAGGTACTAGATACTGAAATACATGAAGGCATGAGATCTAAGTAGGAATACATGAGAAATCTGTCTGCGGGATTCCCTGGGCTTGGCTCCCTGGACTCCAGGCCATTGTGTGGAAGCCCATTTGAGCCCCATGTGCTGTGCCAGCAGTGCCCCCTCGTGTACCAGAAGCAGCCATGGTAGCTGCTCCTTGAGCTGAAGAAGGCAGGTCATGGAGTGCTTGCTCATGAGGGCCCACCAGGAAAGCAGCTCCCCTGACTGCTGCAACTGGCACACAAGATTGAGGGTTGCAACTTACACAACTGGGTCTCCATGAGTGTTCACAGACTTCCTCTCAGCTTATCTTGTTTTGAAAGACTGCATCAACCACAAGAGGAAGCCAGGAAGAGGCTATGCCAGCTGCCATTCCTGGCAACCTACTTTCTTCTGTATCTGGTGCAGCACTGAAAATGGGCACTGTGACAGGCTGCACCAGGCACCATTCCCAGCAACCTACCTTCTTCAGTGCTTGGCACAGCCCTGAAAAGGGTTGTTGCAGGTGGCTATTTAAGGTGCCATTCCTGGCAACCTATGTTTTTCTGCACCCACTGCCAGCCAGTAGTAGCAGCACCAGGTGTGGAAGAGGGCTGCTGCTTGTGCAGCACATGGGGCTCTATTAATTGCAAATTCCCCATGAATGCTGGGCACTATCATGATGAACTTGGTGCTGCAAAGTGGACCAGAGTCTGGGAAGCCGAGCTGATTCCTTGCACATCCTTAGAGGAGACCAAACAACAAAGCTCTCCGGTCTTGGAGGCTCTGCTCTCTTCAGAGCCCTTGTAGGCTCTTCTCAGCAGTGCAGGAGGAACTGCTGAGTTTGTTGTGTTGCGTTGCGTTGCATTGCATTGCATTCTGTTGCTATCTAGGCTCCAAAACTGGAATTTCTGTCAGAAAGGCTTGATAGCCCATCCTTGGCTGATCCCTCCCTGCTTCCTTCAGGCATACCCTGAAACTACTTCCAACATAGTAGAATAACCATCATAGCTCCAACCTAGTAGAAGGGCCACAATGAAAACTTCCGTAGAGACTGAGGAAGGGGGTTCCAGCATTTTAAAAAACAAAAGCCATCTGAGGCAGAGGTTCAGACTAACAACTTTATGAGGGAATTCTAGACAGTCATATAGCCCATGGGACAATGCAAAATATCTTTCAGAAATACAAGAATTCTTTTGAGAGAAAGTTTGGAGCAAGAGACATTGAAAAGGCCAATTTTTCTCCATATTTCTTCATGGTAACAGATAAAGAGCTGCAATTGTTTGCAAACACTGGTTTTCCAGCTACTGGATCACTCTTGTGATCTAGTAGTTATAGATATTTCAGTGAATATCTTTTATCAACTGCTACAAGCAGCATCCTCATGTTTCCAAATGAAATTGAAGGATTTTCCTCCCTTAATCATATTACTTAGTGGACCAGTTCAGACAACATGGCTGTCTCACCACAAGTTATTTAAGAGAGGATCAATTGCTGCTGGTGTTTATCTCAGAAAAAATCATTTTGTCTTCATAATTTATTGCTTTAATTTACAAATATAATATGAAACACACTGTAAATTAATACTTACCAATAATTCTCCCAGCTTTGTCATGCTTCACTCCCATCTCTTCCTCTTCCTGTCTCCACAAACTTATTAATAGATTAGCTGCTGTTTGGTCTTTTTTCCCTCGCCAGGTATTGATATGAGAAGCTGCTTTAGGGTTGTCACAAAATTCAACTAATATTCCAAGAATTAGATTGCATACATTCTTTTGATTTAACTTTGAAGAAGAAAAACAAGGAGAAAATTAGATACACAGTTTCTTAAGATTATATCAACTGAAAAGGCCCTTCTCCCGGTTGCCATGGGGCATTGTCACAAGGGTTAAGTACACAACAGCCCATACAGCTTTGACTAGCAATAAGATGCTTAATATTGGCTTCCTGTATTTCTGGTATAAATCCTTTGGATACATAAAGCACATATTTTAGGAGATTAGACAAGGTTTCTTGGTATGCACAATGGGAAGTATTCAATATTGCCACTCGACTTACACAAGTGCTAGTGTACGCAACCTTTAGCCCTGTGCCAATAGCTACAACAGCTTTCCATAGAAACCTGTCAAGTCAGCTTATACTATTGGTGTAGTGCTATACGTGCTGGAGCTCAAGCTTCATTCATTGCATAAGCAAAATAGCATTGCGGGATACTGCCCATAGTACTGCAATTAACAGAAGCATGTTAATTGCATGAAATTTTGGTAGTATTTGTTGTCCCCATTTCTGTGGACATGACATTTGCATAGAAACTGATGTGCAGTACAGAATTTAAATATCTGAGAATCTTTGTCCCCATTTTAAATAAAAGAAATTTGTGAAATACATATTTCTGAACATGGCTGAACATGCGCAGGGAGTCTTGCACTGTGGAGTCTAATCCACAGTTTGTTCATAGCTCTTTTATCAGAGTGCCCATGTCCTCCTGCCTGTATAATCCCACAATTAAGAATTTTGCCTTTCTTTTTTGGGAACTACAGTGCCTAGTGTATTGTACATAATTAACTTATATTACATTTCATTCCAACATGCTCTCCCTTTCTGAAAAATTCTAAGTTCTCTAAAACCTCAACTGTAAGAGTCAGAATAGCATATGCAAATGAAAATATTTATGTAACCTCATGAACATTTCGATATTACTGATTTGCATAAATTTAAGGCATGTTTTCTTGGAATGGATTTACAGCTTCTATGATACATTATTTAGATTATTTTGACAAAGTTCAGAAATATTAAAACATTTTGCAATTCCTTTTTATGAAATGGGCCTCATCTGGCTGAAAAATCCAGACTGTTGTACATATACAGTGAAGGGTATATTGCATGATATGTTTTTGAAGAATAAGAGTGCACATATCTTGTTTATAGCATACAGTCTTCATGTTGTTTTTCTGTTGTTGCTGTTATGTGTTGTGAAGTCATCTCTGATTTAAGGAAACTATGTGAATGAATGCCCTCAAATGAGATGTGCTTGACAGCCTTGCTCAGCTGTTGTAAACACATGTCTGTGGCTTCCTATATAGAATTGATCCATCTCATATTTCGTTGCTTGTGCCTTCAACTTTCCCAAGCATTATTGTTTTTCTCCACTGAGTCTTGCTTCTTCATGATACGTCCAAGGTATGACAGTTTCAGTTTTGTCATGTTTGCTTCCAGGGAAAGTTCTGGCTTGATTTGAGCTTTTACCCATTTGTTTATCTTTCTGTCAGCCCAGGTATTTTCAAAGCTCTCCTCCAGCACCAAGTTTCAAATGCAACCATTTTCTTCTTGTCAGCTGTCTTCACTGTCCAGCTTTCATACCCATAATACAATAGTGTGGATGATCTTCATCTTGGACTCCAATGAGACATCCTTACATTTGATTATCTTTTCTAGCCCCTTGCAAGTCTCAGTCTTCCTTTGGTATCTTTGGCTGATAGTCCGGGCCCAATTCAAGGTGTTGGTTATGACCTATAAAGCCCTTAACGGCTTGGGTCCTGGTTACCTGAAGGAGCGCTTAGGTCCATATGTGCCCGCCCACCCCTTGAGATCAGTGGGAGAGGCCCTTCTCCGGGAACCCTCCGTGAAGGATATTAGGAGGGTAAGTACTTGGAGGAGGGCTTTCTCTGCGATGGAACCCAATCTATGGAATGCGCTCCCCAGAGAGGTCTGCCTGGCGCCGTCGTTATTTGTTTTTCGGCGCCAGGTGAATACCTTTTTATTCAAATGCTATTTTAATTGTTAATATTATTTATTTTATTTTTCGGGCTAGGTCGACTCATATTATACTGTTTTATTCTGTCCTTATTTATTTATTATTGTGAGCCGCCCCGAGGCTTCGGCGAATGGGGCGGCATAGAAGCCTTCTAAATAAAATAATAATAAAAAATAATTGATGACTAAGCCAAATCTTTCATAATTTCAATTTTTCTTTGTTGAGCTTAATGTTATGAGCATTAAGTCATGAGCGAGCTTAATGTTATGTATTTCTTCTGTCATTATGATTTTTGTTATCTCAATGCAGTCCTGCTTCTGCACTTTCTTCTTTCACTTTCATCAAGTCATTTCAATTCACTGCAGCTTTTTGCCAGTAATATGGCATCATCTGACTATCTTAAATTATTGATGTATTTTCTTACAATTGTTACTCCTTCCTCCTCTGATCCTAACCCAGCTTTCCTTATGATATGTTCCATGTACAGATAGGAAAACAGGGAGACACATCCTTGTCTAATGCCTTTGCCTGTAGGAAACCATTATGTTTTTCCATATTTGGGCCTAACAATAGCTTCTCATCCACAATACAGGTTCCACATTAGGACAATCAAATGCTGATGCACACCCATTTCTTTCAAGACCATCCATAGCTTCTCATGAATCACACAAGGCTTTACTATACACTAGAGAGCATAGACTGATCTTCTTCTGAAATTCTGTGGTGTGCTTCGGGATCCACTGTATATTTGCAGTATGATCTTGAGTGCCTCTTGTTTTTCAGAATCCATTTTGAATATCAAGCATTTCTAACTCCTTATCAGGGAAAATTATTTGTTGCAACATGTTGAGCATCACTTTGCTCACATGGACCTATAATTGCTGTACTCTTTTGCATCTACTCTCTGGTGTCATGCCTGATGGCTCGGCAGAGATGTCTACTCGTGAGGAAGAGACAGGAGCTGACAGTGAGACTTTGGCAATGGACCAAGGAGACTTATATTTGAGAACCAGTGCTTAGACAGCCCATATACAGCCTGGCTCTCAGGCTAGTGAGCAAGAAACCTCTCCATCACCTCATCCCTTGGCCCCTGAACATACAACCCCCCCACAGGCTGATGGGGAAGTGCCTGCAAGAGTAGCTTCCTCTGATTCTAGCTCTGGGCTGCCTGAGGAAGGTGCCCCCCCCAGCTCCTAGCTCTGAAACTGCTGAACAGAGCTCAGGAGGGCAAGAAGACATGACGGAGAGTTTGGCACATGCCCAAAATAGGAGAGCCTTAACACGACAGACCCAATTACGACAAAGGGACAGGGGTTTGTCACACCCTTGGGCAGAAAGATGAGACAAGAAGGTTTGATGCCATGTGATGCTTTCGAAGAGAGTTCAGAAAGAAGCAGCAACTGTGGCCGACAGGGAGCTCGTTAGTGGAGCTTATCAGTTACATCATAAATCTTGTAGTGAGTAGCAATAAAAGTTTTTAGCTGATATACGGTCTGCTGTGTGAGTTAATTGAAGCGTGAGTTACCTCACGACACTTGGGAACTGGAATGTATATTGAGTGTTTCCCATCTGCAGACCACTCTCTTGTTTTCCATATTTGTTGGCACATGATGTGGCAGTGGAAGGAGGAAATGATGGGCCACCAGTGAATCCTCCATGTGCAGAGACAGTCTATCTCTGGGGTATGGTGCTGAAACAAAGAAGAGGAGGCAGCTACTGCCTTTGCGCCTGGCAGATGGACCCTTCCCATAGGCAAATCAGGCCAGGCTAGAGGGGCTTTCCCATCTTAAACTTCAAAACAGTTTTTATGGTAAGGGTGGTATTAAAGAAATCATAACAACAGCAGCTTCTGAGAACATGTACACAGGTTGAAGGGTTTATAATAATATTTTTCTTCTAAAGTAAAAAAGTTGAAAAAGGCTGCTCTGGTCTATATATATGAGAGCAGGGGTTTCTTTTTACTGATTGCATATAAGCTGCTCTGAGAGTCCTTTCAACTCAAGAGCCAGGTAAAAATTAAACAAAGAAACATTCACACGTTAGGAAAAGTTAATAACATAGTATGATCAATACTTTAGTATAGCTGGTATTCAAATGCTAACACCTACCATGAGCAGATCCAGGAGAGTAAAGAGACCTTCCCTTTCAAGGAAATAGTCCTCTAAAATGGTACAGCCCATGATGCAGCTCCTTAAATGAAAATAATTTCAATATCTAGAATTTCTTTTCATCTTTCATTTACGAAACACACAGAAATTATGCTAACACACTGCAGAAAAGAAAATCCTAGTTTCAGTATTTGTACCCAAGCACCCAGAATGTTACTGCTACATTTTGGATACTCGAGGGATACTATGTGGTTTTATTTTTAAAATGTTCCTCGTTTTCTATAATATTCGCTTAAAGAAGTTTCTTATCTAAATACTATTCATTTCAGTAGTTCAGTGGGAACTACTTTGGCTGACATTAAATTACCATAATCTGATGAGGCAAACACTTAATCTCAGAATGTGCACAGACCCCAAAAGGAAGACACCTGGGATATTTGCATGTGAAATTTAAAATTTACTGGTGAATAACTATCATCTTGTAGTATGCCTGCTTAAAATCCTCTTTTTACAGAAGGTGGAATTTCTTGAAATAGCAAGAGTTACCATAAGCAGTCCAGAGCACTAAAAAGGAGACGATTATGGCCCAATCCACTGTAGAATTTCTTTGCATTCATCTTCAGAAATGGAATAAGTGTATCTACTCCTTCCCATCCAAAGAGTTCCTGTTCAATGTATTAGTCAAAATCACATGAGTTTGAAAGAACTACACACATCATAAATAATTTTATAATACTTTATAATAAATATTGCCATTGTAGTCACTTTCTCTTCTTTTCAGATAATATTTCAGCTGTGTCAGTTTAGAATCTTGATGGACAATTTCAAACACAATGACTCTACAAAGTCAAGGAAAAGCATAGGGATGTTGGAGAATTCTGCAATAGTTCAAATGAGTTGAAGTTGCTATGATTTGACCTGTACCTGCCACAATGAATGGTCTCTTTTTGTGGCTTCTACATTGTTGACCACTTTTTAACTTTTGTGGGGGATTTGCTTACATGCATATTTGTACAACCATACATTAGTTAAGAGGACCAAGATTCTCATTTATCCCTTAAAAATATGATTCCATCAACAAGCACATGATAGAATGAAAGCTACCCGACTAGCTTCAAAACACAAATAGAATGGAATGGATTTAACAAAATCCATGCAATTGTACCTATTTGTTATTTATTTATTGGATTTCTATCCTGCCCCTTTAGCCAAAATGGTTTTCAGTACTTGAAACACTGGTTCACTTATTTTCTTTTGCCCTCCCAAAAAAAGAAGGAGCCAAGTTTATTAAATTTCCAGGAGTGGCTCCTTGTTACATGAATTCTAACTAGCAAAACTTTTTAATCTTCCAGTGTTCTTTTAGAAACAGCTACTTTCCTATGCTGCTGATGCTTTAACTCCTCCAGCAAACTGCTAGGGAAAATCAGCTGCTTGTGAGTTTATCACCGTAAGATTATTAAAAATGTAAGCGAAGAGTATGTGGCCTACATAAGGAAATTTTAAACATACGCTACCACGTAATTGTATGTGATAATATCACACTATATAACACAGACACCTCTGATTTTAAAAACAAGGTGATAATATATACCTTTCTATGAAGATCATTTTCGCAAAGTGTTGACAGAATAAGAAAGATATCAATCTGAATTTCAATCACAATGGCACATTCTTTACAGTTGTTTGTGGTATTATTTAAGATACCTAGTAGAATATAACAACAAAGAATCTTGTGGCTACTCTTCTGGAAATTGTTATGTTAGCAGAATATATTACATGTGAAAGCTATGCATACTCAATATTTACTTTTAAAGCAGCATGATTCCCCATCCCCCTTGCATAGCAAACTGTATTTGAACCTGCCCCCCATTATTTCAAAACAAAACCAATGACCAAAGATAGTGCATCTAGTTTATCAATGTATTAACAGATTTAAAAATGTGAAACACTTCAGCATAAAACACCAGCTGGCCTTTTATGCTGAACTGTTTCACATTTTTAAATCTGTTATAATTTTTAAACTTCATAAATATATAAACTGGATGCACTATCACAAGGCATTTGTTTTGTTAGGAGTGCTGCACCAGGCATCACTTATATATTGCTTTATATACTTCTCAGTATTTCTGTAGTGTGGCAAGGAAAACTATTTTAAAGGAAAATATAAAAAACTCTATGAGACAAAGCAAATATTTAAATAGTTTTCCCATGTATGTAATGTGTTCCAGGACAATAATTTGAGTGATTCTATACTACTCAAGATTATACAAGGAAATGGTGAAAAATAAAATAAAGGCTAAACCTCGAAGACTAGAATTCTCAAATTTTGTCACATTGAACCTGTTGATTCTTGCCAAGCAAACCTATTAAAGCTGACAACACAGTTTACTACTGGTCTGGAGGCAAAGAGATCAAAGGAGAGAAAGAGAATGAGGGAGAGAGAGAGAGAATGAGAGAGAGAAAAGCCACATAAGCAAAAAATGTGTGAGCAGGTTCCTGGAAAAAGACTCCATGTAATCAAAAAGATTAGTTTGATCGACAAATTCTAAGACTCTCCCTGGTACTGAGACGCAAATAGTACATTCAGAGTGCAAAACTGCACAGGGAAGCAACATGCGTCATGACTTCTGCAGGAGTGCTGACGAAAAGGCAACTTTCTTGCTTGAGCTATATATTCACAGTGCTCATTTATAAAGCATTCAGTACTTTATACATGAACATGGTATATATAGCTACTACAGAAACAATACTTTCTCCCATTTTGACCACAAATTCATATACTGTTCTTTAAAAACATAACTTAAATTGCTTAAAAAGTTATAGCTGAATCTGGCGATATCTGACCAGAAAAAATGTTTTATTGTAAAACCCATACTGAACCCATGATAAAAAATATTTTTTTATTTATTACACTTCTATACCACCCCATAGCCCATTGGGCTCTCTGGGCAGTTTACAAATTTAAAAGACATACAGACAATAAATAATCATATTTAAATAGACAATAAAACCAATACTGAAAAAAATTGACAAACCACAGCGACTATAATATATTTTTAGGATTCTTTTTAACTCTTAGCCTGAATGCTGTGACCCTTTTTACATTGCTTTTATAGATGTTTTAATTCATTGTTTTAATTGGTTTTAATGTGTTTTACTTTGGTTTTTTAATGTGTTTTAATTGGTTTTAATGTGTTAGTATGTTTTATGTATTGTAAGCCGCCTAGGAAGGCCTTGGCAGTTATAGGTGGCCTATAAATACACATATAAATAAATAAATAATAAAATTAATATATGGCATAGCAGTAATTAGCAGTTCCCTGAGAAAGACCTCAGTAGCAAATATAAGGGTTATATAATTCTGTACATTATAGTCCATAAAGAATGAGTAGATTAGCATTCTACACAATATTGTTTATAAAGAATGGAAGGTTAATTAAAGGCTAATAGTTAGAATTTAAAAAGTAAAATGTCAAAGCATATTCAAAGTGAAATTTGGAAGAGTTTAATTCAGCAATCCAGGCTATCTTGAATTAATGAAAGTAAAAGAACTTAAGCTATACTTTACCCAACAGTTGGTAAATGGCTCCCTGATCACAAAGATCAAGATTCACAGCTTCATCACAAAGAGACACAACAGGACTCAGCACTCGTAAACTGTAGCGCATCTGTGCAAGTTTGGAGCCACGCCCACCTGTACCATAGAAACTATTCCCTTGTGCAAAGAAGTGATCTGTGAAAATCAAACACAGGAAGTTGAACATCTTATTTTGCAATATACTGTTATGTTTGACCTTCAGCAGTTGGGATGTGCAAAACCTTTTGTGTAAAAATGATTTAAAGAATATTGTAAACATCAAGATTGTACTTTGTTACCACAACATAGATTTTTCCTAATATTTAATCAAGTACCTAAATCAGCAACTGTAATATAAATTTAATGGAAGATCACCAAATATAAAGGAAAATATTACCATAGCTTTTTGGTGCCTTTGTACAGGAAGAAGAAATACTGAAAGTATGATTTATAAGTGGGATCCAGCTTCTTGAAGCTTCCTGACTGTGGCAAAGGTCACAGGGCAGTGGTAGTACTTCCCCACACATATTAAAAAAGAAAACTGAGTATGTGTAGGCTGTTTCCTGATGATTTATGTATACCCAAGTTGTAGTCTACACTAGCAAATTAATTGCATACAGTTCCCCATGTGTGTCACTAAATAAGGGATTAGGGTTCCTGGTCCCTGGAACCTCAGACTTTCCCCTGGTGTTTGAGAAAAACAGTAAAGTTTTATTATAAAAAACTAAAGTGAACATTTAAAAGCTGTGTTTGTCCTGGTATCTTCCAATTCCAGGTGAGGTTATATGCAACACTCAGTTTTGTTCCAGACTGAGGACTATCCCTCTTTCAGTAAGTGAATAATTGAGATATACCAGCACCAAAAAGTAAATAAAAACTTTTGCTTAATTACAAAAATCAAAAGTCTTGCTCAAGTAAAACAGCACTACACTACTTCTGAAAGATATCCAGGCACTGAAGTCACTCTATACATTTATTTATTTATTTATTTAAAGTTTTTATATGCCATCCAATACTAGAATCTCTGGACAGGTTACAAAAAACAAAAACAAAAAACAGAACACCAACGTAAATGTTGAGCACTGAGGAGGATTAACGTAGAAACTGCAAAGCACCACATATTGTACATTGTTGACATTATTGAATCAGGTAACTGAGCAAACTTATAAATGGGTTCCAGCAGATCATGGGCACTGGTAAAAATATGAATTACACTTCCAGACTTGTGAAAGGTACCTAAAACAAGCTGTGGTACATAATGGCCATCATGACTTTGGCAACATTCAGAGTCATGGCCTGTCAGAAAAGTAGGGAACCTATAGACCTACTTTTCATTCAAACTCTGTGGTTTAATTGTGAAATTATTCTGGGGGTTAAGAGTGCTGAATGGTGGGAAATGAATTTGCTCTAGCACTTGCTGCTTTCATGAGCAGAAGAATTAAGGGGGACCCCCCTCCACACACACACATTTCCCAAACCACAAGCATGCATATTTTTCAGCTTCAGAGGATGCAAAATTGAGCTGTGAGTCCATAGCTAGGTGTATAATTAAATTCACCCTACTCACCATTACCCAAACACCATTCTAGAAACACGAGAAGGTGAGTATTTCCTTGGTACATCATGTAGTCTTCGATTAACAAGGGAGCCATTGTAGCTAAGGTCGCAATTGCATGAAGCTGTAATTCTTCATACTGTGCTGCAGACATGTCAAGTGCTCCTGGCTTTTCATTTGGTTTTAAATAATAAAACAAAGCCAGCATAACTTTACCCTCATGCAGCAGCTAAAGAATGAAAGGAAGTAAGATATAAAACACTGTTTTAAAAGGAAAAAAACCCCATGAAGTTAAGATAAAAGCACTTAATTGTCTTGTTAATATTTACAAAGCACTTCTTTAACATTCATGATTTTGCATGACATTTCAGGTGCAAAAAAATGCCCTCTGTTCCCCTGACATTTTTCTACTAGTAAGATCAATTGCCATCTTATTAGTCATTCCAACTCATTCCTCTAGCAGAACATGTTTTTACTTGTTGATTTTTCCAGGTAGGACTGACACGTTAACTCTGAGCTTCTACGATTGTTAAGCTGTTAGTCTATTTCAGTTGGGGGTGGTAGGAGCTATGTTTCAGTATTTTAACCTTTAAGTACTAATATGCATGAAGTACTAATATGCATGAAATTCCTAGTTAGCTTACAGTTAATAAGGCAGAATGCCAAAAAGTTAAGAAACTTTGCTGAGCGAAGTAGTCTTTCTGATGCATCTTACCTGAGCTAATTTTGGTTGGCTTGGATCATTTGTAATGAATTGTTATAAAGTTATAAAATATACTGCAAATGAAGAGGCACATTGCAAAAGCCAAACAGAGATTTATGTATACTCTTTATTAATAGTGGACAGCAGAGGTGGCTCAGTCACAAATAAATAAAGTATTAGACAATTCAAATCTATCATTTAAAAAATGAAAAAGTCTGATTTACACTGAAGGTGGATTACTTCTAGAATTGCTTATACAGAAACACGCAATCTTCCAAATCTTCCAAATGCAGCCTAGATGTGCAGTGCATTTTAATTAGCTATACCATAGTAAGAAAACAGCAATTTGTTTCAACCTACATGCTGGTGTAGGCTCATAACCTCTTTACAAATACATTTTCACAGGACTATATACACACGGAGAATGAAAAATGCTAATTACCCCATTCTTTTAAGTCTTACCTGCACTGTACATAAATCTTTCACTAGTACAGTAAGCATGTTAAGCAGCAGCTTTTTCAATTCAAAATCTTCATAAGAGTAAGTGAGCTTGAGGCCTTTTATCAAAGGATTATGACTTTTCACTATGAAGGACACAAAAGTCATTTTACAGTGAAAGAAATATAACAAACAAACCTTGGTAAGCAGCAATACCACTTATTCAAAGGGTAAAATACTTACATTCAGTAAAAGTAGCAAATAGTATTAACTGCTTGGCAAAGCCAGTTTCCTAAAAATAAGAAAATACAATTAAATTGCAGTGAATTTAACTACAAATGTTACCATTATAGTCTATATTTATAGAGTAAAAAACTAATCAATAAAATAATAAATAATAGACCACTTTAATCATTTCTAGAAACTATAATGGATGTCCTTTTGTTCAGGCGATAGAAAGATAACTAATAGTGCAATCCATTAAATGTCTCCTCAAAAGAGAATTGCATTGAATTTAATGGGGCTTAATCCCAGATAAATGGGTATAGCAATCCTATGTCACACGGCATGGCTTGAAAGCTTCTGAGAACAATGGTAAGGAACTGCCCAACTTCCAAGACTGAGGTATAACTTTGATTTCCTGGAACCTGTAGAAGTGCCTAAGGAACTATGTTGCTGTTGATATCCATCAGCTCAGAAAACCAGGGCCATCTGTGTCTTGTTTTTGTCCAGGCTCAGAGCTTACAGAGGAAATAGTCCACAGCACAACTGGACAACATAAAGACAGGTAATGCAGAACTACAAAGGGTAAAATTAGGTCAAGGCAGGTAAAACAGCCATGCCTTATAAGATCAGGTACAGGTAATTGAGACAGAGTCACATCTGGAAAGGGAAGATGGCTCACACACAGTTTGATTCACACAAGGCAAAAGTAGTCAGGACCTTGGACAGATCACCATGGGAAAGCTGGCTAGAGTGTTGTCATCCATGGACAACTTTGCTGAAGCATACAAACTTTCTGTGATCTCATGAAGACTGGCTAGCGTAGCACTGGTATTGATCTATACCCTCTACACCTGTAAAAGGCTACCATCTAGCTTTTCTGTTGTTGATCTCTATAGTGCATGCAAGTATGAGAGATGGTCTGGAAGGGAGGTTTTTATAACTGAGAAATCCAGTAAAGCAACATGGACTGGATTGGAAGGTCTATGAGTGGGGGAAAGCAACTCAATGAAAGGTGCTTTTCCTAATCTGTTATCTTCTGCTATGTCTGAGTGTAGGATGAGACCACTGGGTAGTTCTTATCAGCATCTGCACTTTTTTTGCTTGAACCTTGCAGAGGGTCTTCACTATCAGCAGGAATGGTGAAAATGTATACTGAAACCTCTGGGCCAACACACTGAACAGACAACTGTTGCTTTCCTTCCAATATTCTGATACCTTGAGATCCATAATACTACTTCCCTATTAAGGCTTATCACAAAGAGATCTAATTCTTAATAGCTATTTGCGGGAAATTTCTTGGATTGAGGCATCATTTCTCCTGATTTAGAGTCCCCCAGCTCAGCCAATCAGTCTGAATATGCAATGTGTCCTGGATGAATTCTGCTGATAGCAAGACCAGATTGTGTTTCACCCACTTCAGTAGGAAACTAACCTCTATTTAGAAACTGCTGAATCAAGTATCTCTCACTCTGTCCAGTAACAATCTTTGGATGTTGGCCATGTCTGAGAAGCTAATAGTTCACTGTCTGCTCCACCATCCCACTTACTGTGGGAATTCATTGCTGGGTCATGCTGTACTCACGTACCACACGAAGACCAAGAGTATTGTAATTTACCTATGTAACCATATAAGGCTTGTAACCATATAAGGCTTGTAACCATATAAGGCTTGTAACCTAAGCATTAAGGTGTTGGCTGCTTGTATACGATGGCTAATTGGCTGTATTCAAATGCCTAGGTAAAAAGTGTGAAGTAATAAAAGCAGATGCCGGTGGTGAGGGGGAAAAAAGGAGAAAAAAAAAAACTTGGGGAAGAAGAAAAAACCTTGGGGGAAGAAGTATTTGCTGTTCTCCCCCAGCAACTAAACCGAGCATGCTTTGTAACTGATTTCTGGACTGCAGTCTTTTTTTCTTTCTTTAAACTTTCTCGCGCCGCTTGCCGAGGTTGACTGGCTGGCCCAGCCAACCCGCCACACTTACCATCAATCAAAGCAATCTTATGTGTTTTTTTAAAGTTAAGTGAGAGCTGAATAGCCGTAACTCACTTGCCAGGATTAATTGACTTGGTGAAAATATTGTGGTAAACATATTTGTCTACAATTCAGAAATCTAAGAAGAAACAGAATTACTAAGACATAAAAGTAACCCAATAAATTTCAAGGAGAAATTTGTGTCAGTTGTGGATATGCTGAGATAAGTAAACAGAGCAACATTACCTCTTTTAAAAAAAGTTTTGAAACACAAGCAACAAATCATTCTATGACATTCAAAATCATGTATACTTACAATCATTGGTGTTCCAGGGTTCTGAGCTACGAGGGTAGCTATCACCAAAATGTCATTTCTTAGCTGACGATCATAATGTCGTGAACCATGTAAAAGTAAGTTTGTAAATGCTTCCTTCAGAGCACTAATAAAAAAAGTGAAATTCTGTATTTTAGTTTATATGTTCTATTTTTCTCTACTCAAAAACAGTATATAACTCTTGCTGAAGTCTGAAATGTCAAACTTTATTTTCTTTCACCTATTTGAGTTACACTTAGGGTGGTATCCTAAGTAGGGTACCGTAAGCAGACCCATTAAAATGAGTGAGACTTACGTTAATCACAATTGACTGAATTACTCTTAATTTTAATACATCTATTCTACATAGGGTTAACAATGGAAACAACCCTATAATAGATTGCTGACAACAGTTGAGTTTGTCAGAAGAGAAGAATGAAATGGGACCAGCAAACTTATAAATCTGGTATTGTACTAGATCCCGGTAACTGAGCTGCAAGTGATTTTAGATACCATATGAGAAGGCTACTGCAGTTAAATGCCAGTTTAGGTTATTCCAAATGAAGAGAATGACATTGTACCCAGTGAAAATAGTAACATGGGTAGGGGACTTCCTGTATTCATAATGTTGTTGTCTAGGTGGTGAATAGTCTTTGTAAAAATAATAAAACCTAGAGTAGTGGGGGCATCTACAGTTCTTTGGCATAATGTATTCATGGTGCAAAGAAACTTTGGAGGATGGTGAAGAAGCTGGAATGGCTTATCAGTACCATGGTGACTACTACTTTCACAGGGATGGAGCCTGAGACAAAAGATAGTATGGTTATTGCAAAAAGCATTCCTGGGACCCAGTATTCACTCTGAATGGGTTAGTTTGCCCCCTGTTTGTTCTGCTTGGTATTAACCATTAGCATGAAAGGGCTAGTCTTGAGCTACCTGGTCCAATAGAGTGGCTGAAGCTGTTTATACTGGATAGGCTAGAGCTCCCAGTAATGGAGACTGTTGCCCAGAGGTACTTTTCCTAATACTCCTGCAGATTGCAAAAACTGAGGAGTCAAAGGTGGCTTCTCACAGCTGGTGGTATATAGGTGCTAGTTCACTGCAGCTGTGTCTGCTGTCTGCAGGGCTTGAGAGCTTGTTCCCACAGCAAGTAAAGGCATGCTTTTTATTTCCTGGTCTATGCAGGGAAGTCCTGACAGCAGTTGCAAGAATACTCTTTGTGCACTTCTTCAAGGCAAAGGAGGTAATCAGAGTTCCCATCAACTAACAATATACTCCTGCCACAGCAGGTACACTTTTTGAAGAAGGCCTTGGAGGTTATGTGCCCCGAGGGATGGAAGGAAAGAAGAAAACTCAGAGAAAACAGGACAGAAAGCAAAAAGGAGGATAACTTCTGTTAACAATACAAATGAGATAGAAAGTGTTTGTTGTTGCTGCTGTTTTTGTTGTTGAGATTTCAGCCACTAGAATATTCCAAATACTATTAGTCACTTTGTCAGACAAAAAGCAATTAAGACACAATCAGAAACCACACCTGGGTAACATGTAGTAGAGGTGAACAGGGCTCCCACCTCATGCTCTGTCTAGCTCTATTGTTCTGTGAATGTGCATAACCTATACGTGTTAGTTACAGATACTGTGAAGAAGAACACTGGCTTATATGCAATTTTAGTTCACTCAACTGTACACATTCCAAGTTACTGAGCTGATTAATAATTTCTTCTTTGGAAGTTTTTTCTAATAAGTTCCAGAGGATTTCTGAGGAACGGAATAGCAGCTGCCCAGAGGGGTCAACATCATTCAGATGAGAACATAATCTTGTTGGTGCTTGAGCTTTCATCATAAGCTTGCAGTTTGCTTCTGCAAAATGAAAGGATCACAGATTAGCTCCCTTCATATTGCTATTGCTAGAAAGCAATATAGGTAAAATTAGAACAATGATTCTGAAACATATAAATTATACTAACCAGAAATGGAAAGATGCTGCAGGGTTTTAATTATCCATAATTTCTCAGGAAGTTGATTTTCAACTAATATCAGCGACAAGACCAAGGTTTCTGCTAAACCTCCCATTTCCACCATTTGTTTTTTATAGTTTGCACTTACAGGTTGATAAACTGCATTGTCAATAATTGAAAAAAGTTTGTCAATGCTATATAAATTATATTACCATGAAGTAAACAAAGAATTATATGAACATGTAAGATATCTTCTTAGAAACCTACAGAAAAGCACTACTCCTAATAAATAGCTAGTTTCTAAACTGTATTATACTAAAACTAGTCAAAATCCTAGATTAATATTTCAGTGAATTAAATGTAACTTGAATAGAAAAAACACCAATTTAATCTAATTAAGAATTATTATTAAAAAGTAATTATAGGTTCACTCTGATTGAGAATTACATGCCTTCTTATGCCCATTCTGTCCTTCCTTGTCTGACACAAAGTTAATTAATTACTTGCTGTTTTAATCAAACTTTAGTGTGCCATTACATCTGAAATGGCTAACTTGGGTTTTTGAGAGATCTCCTCAACCAGGACTGAAAACCAGGTTTTAATGAATTATTCCCTGCGGGTGAGAGAAACTAAAATTTACTGCTGACTTGTTTATACTTCTATATAACTATCGATATTAGGAGCATCTGTGCGCCAAGGCAGATCTTTACTCAGAGTTGAGATGTGGAACCTTCATTTCTTTCCCCCACACTGATAATGTGTGATTTATGACAAGGTGAATCTCCCATGGGCTTGTGGGCACAGCACCCAGAGACCTCTCCCCCAAATGGTGGTGCAGTGATTCCAGCTTTTATGGCACCTTATGGCCAGTGCCCCAACACTGAGGCAGCCTTCATGCTACCTGAGGTAACTCCATGGCTCGGTCTGGAAGCCTGAAGCAAGCAGCAAATTTTGGCAGTTCTTTCAAGCAGTTCATTGGCCTGGCTTTTTTTAATGGTAGGACTTTGACCTAAATGGTAGATGAAAACTCAGTTGAGGATTAGTGTGCAAGTTGGGCAAGCACTAGGCACTTAAAAAGTGGTATTTATTAAATGTACAAAAGCAGTTTAAACAAGTTGCACAACTTCTTGCCTCAACAACAGATTTGCTTCTTATTAATTGCCTTTCAAGACTGTAGACCTTCCAAAGAAGCAAGTGTTGAAAAACCAGTATAACCATTAAGTGATTATAATAAGAGGACAGAGTCATGAGAACATATAATAGTGACTAGCTTATGGGAACATATTACACCAGCTCTCTTCCAGCTGCACTAGCTGCCAGTCAAAGTCTGGGCCTGATTCAAAGAGCTAATATTAATATTCAAAGTTCTAAATGGCTTGGGGCCAGATTATCTGAAAGTACACCTCATCCCATATGTACCTATCTAGACCCCAAGATAATCTTTGAGGGTCCTTCTCTGGGAAGTCTCCTCCAAAGGAAGTGAGGTGGGTGGCTACCAGTTGGAGGGCCTTTTTGGTTGTGGCACCCTGGTTGTGGAATGAATTCTTCAAAGTGGTGTGCCTGGTGCCTGCTTTGTATTCTTTTCAGTGAAAGGCAAAACCCTTTTTATTTTCACAGCATTTTAACAGTTTTAGTTTTAATATTGCATTTTATTCTGTACCGCTACTGTGCCTCCATGCGTATTCAATTGCAGTTGCTGTGATTTTGTTGTTTTATGTTAATTTTTGCATATTTTTAAGTTTTGTTAACTGCCCAGAGAGCCTTGGCTTGAAACTCGTAATTTTCTCCCCTAAAAAGAGGGAAGATAATGTGATTAAGTCCTATCATGTTGAGCTCCTTATATTACAAGGTATACCTCATCCACTGTGCTTCTGCTTGCTCTTCCCTTACTGCAGAAATAGGGCCTTCAGGCTATCTGATTCAGGCCTATGATTTACTGACTACATCTCGTTAACTAGGTTTATATATACATATATATAAAATAAAGTGTACCTTCAAACTCTTTCTTGGATAGCTCACCATGGTAAAAACTAATGATGCATTTACAGATTTGTATCCTTACTTGAGAATATGGCACCCTCAACAAGTAACCTGAAGAGAAAGATGTAAGATGGACACTTGATACAGCTGCAACATTGTGATGCCGTGCAGGATACACCTGTTACATCCCCCGTTTAACAACATTTCAGTATTTATTGTAACAGTTTTGATTTCTAGGCCAGAGAAACAAAGGAATACCTGAGAAAGGCAATACTCTGCTCCCTGTACATTCTTAGCAAAATACTAAAAAGTACTGCTGGCTTTTCTAGCCCACCTCCACAAAAGCCCACAGACATCCTGTTAGTTCACAAAACAACTCCCTACAGTGCAATCTATAATACTGCAGGAAGTAGCTCTACAAAGAAAGAAAAAAATCATTTGTGTCAAAAACATGAGAATAAAGGTGGTCATACAACTTATAACTTTCATAATATTATACAAGTGATATGTTGTATGGCTTCATGGACATGAACTAGAACCCAAGGCTGAATTATGTGTGTTTTCAAAGAATTAGACATGGAATTACATGTAATTTGATGGAAATACATAGCATAACCCTAAATAGAAGCAAATTCTACTTCGTAATTATGTTTAGAATTACAGTCAAAGGTTGTTTGGTTAGTCTCCCTCACACTATTTGCTCTTAGCTGGAATAATCTTCACACAGTGATTAGCTCTATAGATAATTTATGGTATACAAAGAGATGTCTGAAAAGTATGTTATTGTATGCAGTCCAAAATTACCCAATTGTGCGATGGATTCTTTAACTTCATCTGCATAGTTTACTTCATCAGATAACTTTTTTTTGTAAAATGGTAACCTAGAACATGTAAACAAAAAGTAGGTATTACAAGTACATTTAAAATAGCATGGCAGAACAATGAGACATTCTGGAAGAGATGCACTGAACTGATGGTGCTATGGGATTTTTGCTCCAGTTTTCGGCCAATGATAGTTCGAGTCCCTCAAAATTTTGTCTTGTCTCTCATGCTTTCTTTTCATTATCTATGTCAAGAGTGGGCAGTTTCCAGAAGATATGGGGCTGCACTCACTCATCCTGGAACCCATCAGAGACTGCACTGCACCCGTTGAAACTGCTGCTGCCATCATCAAAATTACTACAGATGCAGTGGTAAACCCTGAAGGTTGCCAGGAGTACAACTCTGTTTGCAAACAGTTGTTTGCCTCTTGTTTATCTTTTTCCATTGCAAAGTAGTTGCTGCTGCTGTATTTGCCACTATGATGGCGAACTCAATAGTGCTGGAGGGGGTAACATGTGCGCTTCCCCAGTCTTCATAAAATTTGAGTGAAGTCACTTTGGACTGAAGTGTTATAAATATGAGGATGACATGTTAGGTGCATGCTCTTCTATGGCATTTTCCACACTTGGTTCAGATAAATTGCATAACTCACTCAAAGAATGAGTCATCACTCACTTCTAAAGTTAAAAACTAGCAGAAAACACTAGTGAACACTGAACTGCTTCCTTGCTGAAGAAAATTAAATAACTTAGATATTTAGAAAAGGGATGGATTTTGATAATTTATGAAAAATGATGGCTTTGCGGACCCCTCTGAAAATTAGTACACAATGGATGAGTACATTATTATGGACATTATTAGCTGGACCGGACCTCCCTGCGACACCTGCTGCGCCGCCGCTGCCGCCACAGCCAAGGCCCAAGCCACGGAAGACCTGAGGCACGCTGCCGGGCCCGGGGGACAGCTGATGCCGCTTCCGTGGCCACCGCCGGTCCATCCCGGGGACGGGGATGCTGGGCCACCGTCGCGGCTGAGGAGGGCGCCGTCATCTTACCATCTTGCTGGCCGGCGGCTTCTCTGCGCCCGTCCTTGCGCCGCCCCCACCGGCGTCGGTGAGAGCAACGCCGGATTGGGGGGGTGGGACGGGCGCCGGCTTAACTCGCTGGTCGCAGCCTGGGGCAGGAGCTGGACAGGACCTCCCTCCCTCCCTGCAACACTTGCTGCGCCGCCGCCAAGGCCCACGCCACGGAAGACCTGAGGCACCCTGCCGGGCCTGGGAGCCAGCTGATGCCACTTCCACGGCCACCGCCAGTCCATCCCAGGGACGGGGAGGCCGGGCCGTCGCGGCTGAGGAGGGCGCCACCATCTTACCATCTTGCTGGCTGGCGGCTTCTCCGCGCCCGTCCTTGCGTTCCCCCCTGCCGGCGTCAGTGAGAGCAACGCTGGATTGGGGGGTGGGGGGCGCGAGTGGGCACCGACTTAACTCGCTGGTCGCAGCCTGGGGCCAGTGGCCTGGGGCTGGCGGCTGAAGGGCAGTCGCTGCTGTTTGTGGCCGTTTGTGGGCGTGCGGGGGCTGGGCTGGCAAGGGACTCTGTCGGTGGGTGGAATGTTTATCGGGGGGGGGTAGATGGGGAGTTTTATATTGTTTTAATGTTTTTATTGTATTTTAATCTGTTTTTATGGAGTCGTCCCTGGCTACATTGACGGTTGAGCTACCTGGAGAGCACGTGGGCGCCGCCACTGGGGTGGTCATGGGCAATGGATGTTACAGTGCTGGGGGTTCAACGTGTCTGCATAGAAGGAGGAGGGAAAGATGGCTGACACCTGTCCCTCCTTCTGGTTTTACCCCCAGCCAGAGGTTCCAGGTAGTCTTGTCAATCGCCCCCCGGACCTGACAGTTGCTTAATGCTGTTGCTTAATGCCAAGTTGGTCCACAATAAATCGTCCCTCATCCATGACCTGATTGTGGATGAGGGGGCCGACCTGGCTTGCATAATAGAGACCTGGGCGGGAGAGGGCGGGATGTCACCCTCTCTCAAATGTGCCCGACCGGGATCTGGTTCAGCACCGTCCATGCCTGGAGGAGAGGTGAGGGGGGTTGCTTTGGTTTACCAAGTCTCCATCTCCCTCACGGGGCTTCCAGTCCCTTCGAGGCCAGGGCTAGAGTGCCTCTGGTGTTGGGTGACCGAGACAGATTGGGGATTCTGTTGGTGTACCATGCACCCTTCTGCCCAACAGTCTCCCTGCCTGAGCTGATGGAGATCATCTCGGACCTGGTGTTGAGGACCCCCAGGATGTTGGTCCTGGGAGACTTCAATCTCCACGCCGAGACTGGTCTGACTGGTGCAGCTCAGGACTTCATGGCCTCCATGACGGCCATGGGGCTGTCTCAACATGTCACAGGCCTGACCCATGAACATGGACACACTCTGGACCTGGTTTTCTCGACGGGGCAGGAAGAGGGTGGTCTGAGGGTGAGGAATTTGTGTCTGACACGCTTGTCATGGTAAGATCACTTCCTTGTGAGGTTTGTGCTCGAGAGCAGCCTTTCCCTCTGTAAGGGTGTGGGCCTGATTGTGTGGGTCCGCCCCCGGAGCCGGATGGATCCGGATGGATTCCTGAAGGCCCTGGGGGAGTTTTCGGCTGACAAGACTGGTGTTCCTGTTGAGGCTCTGGTCAAGCTATGGAATGGGGAAATGACCAGGGCTATTGACACGATCGCTCCTAAGCGTCCTGTCCCACCGGGCAGAGCCCACTCTTCCCCTTGGTATACACCTGAATTGCAGGCGATGAAGCAGGTTGGGAGACGTCTAGAGCGTAGGTGGAGGAAATCATGGGATGAATCTGACCGAACACACTTAAGAGCCCATTATTGGGCCTATGCTGTGATGGTGAGGGCAGCAAAAAAAAAAATTCTTCTCCACTTCCATTGCCTCCTCACAATGCCGTCCGGCGGAGCTTTTTCGGGTGGTACAAGGGCTGGTTCATCCTGGCCCTAAGAAAGATCTGGTTCCACCCTCGAAGGCCTGCTGTGACGACTTTGCCAAGCATTTCAGGGAGAAATAGGGACCTGGATCTTGGAAGTGGTTAATGCCTCTCTGAGGGGGGGGCTGGGTACCTGCCCCTTTAAAGGAGGCAGTAGTCTGACCGGTCCTGAAGAAAGCGTCACTGGATCCAGAGACAGCCATTAATTATAGACCAGTGGCCAACATCCCGTTTCTGGGCAAGGTGTTGGAGCGGGTGGTGGCAGGACAACTCCAAGCACTCTTGGATGAAACTGATTATCTGGACTCGTTTCAGTCCGGCTTCAGACCCGGTACTGAATCTGCCTCGCTCGCCCTGTACGATGACCTGTGCAGGGAGAAAGACAGGGGGAGTGCGTCCCTGTTGGTTCTCCTGGACCTCTCAGTGGCTTTCAATACCATCGACCATGGTATCCTTCTGGATAGGCTAGTGGGACTGGGGGTCGGAGGCACTGTTTTGCAGTGGTTCCACTCCTATCTCAATGGTCGATTCCAGAAGGTGATGCTGGGGGACTATGCCTCTGCACCATGGCAACTATGCCATGGAGTACCGCAGGGATCCATTTTGTCCCCTTTGCTATTTAACGTCTACATGAAACCGCTGGGAGAGGTCATTAGGGGGTGCGGGCTGCGGAATCATCAGTACGCTGATGATACCCAGCTCTACCTGTCGTTGTCTACCAATTCAGGTGAGGCAGTGGCTGTACTGAACCGGTGCCTGGCCGAGGTAATGGGCTGGATGAGGGCCAATAAACTGAAGCTCAATCCAGACAAGACGGAGGTCCTGTTGGTTGGCGGATTGGGCTTCGGGGAAGGGGACCTGAACTTAGTCCTGAATGGGGTTGCACTCCCTCTTAGGGACAAGGTCCGCAGCTTGGGTGTGCTCCTTGACCCAGAGCTTTCACTGGAAGCTCAGGTGACAACGGTGGCGAGGAGCGCTTTCTTTCAGCTTCTGCAGGTGGCAATGAGCTGAAAGGATTATATTGCACTTCTATTTTTGTGTAATTTATGTGTACAATTATAATAAACTTGCAAGACAGCTGGGACATCACCAAGAACAGAAGAAAATGAAGAGTCGGAGTAGGGTAAGTGAAAGAAGAACAGGAACAGAAAAAGTTTGATAGGCTTTTTCAGACCCTATGATTAATGAACTACCAGATGAGAACCAGAAGGGATATATACTATATTCAAGAGAGAATCTACTTCCTTTCAGTTATGGCTGCTTGAATGTAGTCTTATTTTGGTTTTCCATTTGAAAATAATGCAAAAAATTAATGGTGAGAATATTAATTTTTTTAAAACATCTGGATCACTCCCATTATTTCCCTTATCTGCTGCACTACTGTCTGTTCATTCCCTTTTAGTAACTGTTCCTTTTTTGTTCCTAGATCAGTTACATGGCAACTGATTCCAGGCAATTTGCAATAAACTACTCAATGAGATGGTGTTATAACACATTGTAGTCAATCAGATGTCACTGAGCACAAATGAAGTCAACTGAAAATCAATGCTTCCTCTATCAGACATAATTGATTCAATATTATATAGTGAATGAGATGGCATCATGCTGCTCTATTGCTAATCAGATCTAGGTATGTTGTAATCCTGCAGAGAGCAATAGAAATGCACAACTGGACACTTCTGCAATCATTAAAAGAGAAAAAGACTGGGATAGATGATAATTTTAACACTGCCAGAAATGTTCACATTAACATTTTCAAGGTAAGAAATATTCAGAAGCAATTTACCATTGCCTTCTTCTGTGTAGTACTAACCAGAGTTAGCTTGAGTGTCACTGCTTTTGTCTGTGAAAGATTTCCACCAGTATTGCCTTCGACTATTGCTGCTGCCCTTCAGGAGTTTCTCTACCCCCATCACCACTAATGATAACCACTCAGTTTTGCTAATGTGGCCATTACTTTTCAAGAGAGTGGATGCATTTTAGTCTTGCATCTTAGGTTTTGTCATTCCATCTTGGGTAAGCCTGCTAGGAGACCAGTCTAGTAAGAGAATCTGGCCTCTTGGTGGCATTGCTCTTGACTCTGATATTCTCAAGTCTCCTCATCATGTTAAAGTGGGCATCCAAGAGGGAGTTCAAAGAAGTTAATGAAAATTAATTTGTTTCCTACAGAAGTTGCAAAAATATTTTTTTAAAATCTATCAATGAGCTTGGTCTGGTGATATATAGCCATTTCTTTGAATAAGCACTAGTTTCCAGGAATACTGTTTAAAGAGAGACTGAATCAGCCTGAATGGCCTGTATCAGCTGCTATTTTTATCCACTGGCCATTATGAACTAGCACACTTCTGTTTTGCCACATAAAACAAGTAATGAAGAGTAAGACACTGCAGCCAATGCAGACAATGAGTAAAAGAATAACATTTCCTTCCCTTTTTCAAATTAGTTATTGTTGGCATGACTTCTCACCTGTCTCATTCTCAGAGCAAACATAAAAAGGAACATAGCAGACATGTCAGGGAAACAACATTGAATAGAAGGAGGGCCAAGAAGGAACTTGTACAGCATTGAAATTCATTCAATTTAGTTACAGATGCCTACTTCTATATTCACAATTACTAATATGGATTTTGATCTGCAATATCAATGAATAAAACATTCACTTTCCCACCTAGTCTGTGTAAATGACAAGGTGGCTAACCATTCAACCCTATACATATTAACTGGGAAGAAAGATATACTGTATTCAGTGGGGTTTACCCTCAGGAAAGTGTGCACAGGTTTACAGTCTAAATGCGATAACAAACACAGCAAAAATCGAGACATTTGGTCAACCAGGTTCTTAGAAATGTGATGCTGGTGTTACTGACTGAAATGGTTTTCTAGTCCTGCTGGTCCTTAACAGGGTGTTTCATAAAAACTGATGCTGGCTTCAACAGACCTGAGGTATTTCGAAACCACAGTTACACAGTTTCCTTTTGCCATGATAGTGACATTAAGACTGACATTTCAGTATATAAAAGTGTATTTTTATATATTACAATCTCCGAGGAGTCTTTCCACAAAACATGCTATGGAAGGTTAGGCACAGGAAAAAAAATCCTACAACTACCAGCATTCCCTACCCACCAGGACTGGCTGTGAAACAGTGGGAATTGTAGGATATTTTCTGTCTGTACATGAATGGGGGATTGTACTTTTAATCTCTTCATCACAATAATTCCAGGCCAGTTTATTTAAAGCAACAAGACACTCACAATTGTCCCAAACAATACTCAAAAAGCTTCTTTCTACCTAATCATTAACCACAGAGTATTTGTGACTACGGAAAGAAAACTTTAGAAAAGTCAGAGTATAAAAAGAGAACAGAGATGGTAAAAGAAGGGAAGATTAGTTAATAGCAGACAAATATTGTATACTGAAAAGCAGTATTAAAATAATTAAAACTTACCCATACAACTTAAGAATTTCACAGGTAGGTTCAATAAAAACATCATAAAGCTGAATTTTTTCTGCACAGAGGTTTAAAATTTTAGAGATTTGTGTTAAATCATTAAGAAGCTTGTCATGATTCAGAATCAAGGAAACTTTTGTGGTCCCAGAAAAAAGAAAATGATGTGTAATAACTAAACCTTAAAGTTCAATTGTAAAAATGGACACAAATTCAAGTAAGCAGCAGTTGCCAGTTTTCCCAACAGTGAAGATGATACATCAGTTTCACAGAGCTACTTACCCACAGCTATCGGAGCAACTTCTTTACTCATTATCAAACTGTTCATACAAACTTAATTAGACTGATTTATCACATACCCCCATCCTAATATATCTTCCTGTTTTTCAAATAGACAACATCAGCTATCCAAACGATGCATGCTGGTGTGGCAGTAGAGAAAGCCCATGTACAGCTCATGCATGTAACAGCACTTTGCTGCTGACAGCTATGGGGAGATCTCAATCACTAAAGTAGCTATTTTTTCCCCATAATATAACCTATGGTAACCTTTTGTTATGTCAGCCCTCCAGATGTTTTGAAATCCATTTTCCAACATCCCTGAGCATTAAGTATGCTTTCCGGAGTTTGGAAGGGGAGACAAAATCAGCCCAAGACATCTAGAGAGCAAAAGGCTTCAGAAAACTGCATTATATGAAGGCTGGCACAAGTACACAAGCATGCCAATTAGAGGCTGGAAGCAAGAAGATTTTAGAAATGCTGATAAGCAGAATTATCTGCAATTTTGCAAAGAATGCTGAAATCTACGTCATACAGTCTGATGGCTACATCCTATGCAATATTGCAAAGCATCTGGAATATAATTCAAAGCATTCTGTGTGACATTGTAAGGTTCTGGTACGACTGCTTTGGATGACAAAATGATTTCAGACACACTGTGAGCAAAGTCATTACTACCTATTTTTTATCCAATGTTTCCTATTTAATTATTCCAGTATTTGATACTAGCCCACCAGAAATACTTTTGCATGATAAATCAGAATTTATATTGTACAACATTCAGGGCAAATAAGAACTAACACATAATGAAGTTATTTTGAATCTAGGAGTACTATACCAATGCAAGTGGTTTGTGTTTATCTGTTATTTTGTGATAAATGGTAACAAGCAATCATTTATTCAGAATTTTAACCTATTGTCTTTTCAAAAATACAGAAAATTTAATAGTCTTTCATAAACAAAGACAAATCCTTGAAGAAAAATAAAATTAAAGTAAACATACTGAGATGGACCCACTTTAATCATACTTTAAGTGGATCTAATTGAAATCAATAGTACTAAGTTATGCTCCAATGACTTCAGTGGGTATGCTCTGGGTATAACTAAAATGGGGACCACTGCTGATGTTTCCTTGCTGCATAGAATGTACCATAGGCAGCTAATCTTCTACTAAAGCTGTCATTGCTTGCATAAAAGACAAAATACACATTAACCAGAACAGAACCAAAATTATTTTGCATATTCTTCATTGTTTTGACTTCCATGATTACTTTAGAATGAAGGCGGGGGAAAGGATACAATCCCATGTTCATAGTGTTTTGCAACTGCCTTTAATGCCTGGAGCTGTTCTTCTGAATCACTCTGAAAAAGGAAAATATGAGTGAGAACAGTATACGTATATGTTGCATGGCAGTGCTTAAAAATATTCTGCATAATTATGCTATTCAAGATTTTATTTAGACAGGGAGAAGTTCTAAGTGGACATATTATTTAAGAAATCCTCTTTTGATCCAGGAAATCTTGATAACTATTGCCAAGTTGTTAGCATTCACTGAGTCTTCAAAAATGGTGGCAACTAAACTCCAAACATTTTTAGATGATACAGATTATTTTGATCAATTTCAGTGTTTAGACTCAGTTTTGGTACTAAAATGGCATGGGTCACTTTGCTGACCTCTGTTAGGAGAGAGACAGGGGAAATGCAACCCTGTTAATTCTTCTACTCAGTTCTTTATGAAAGCACTCAACATGGTATCTTGCTGGACTGACTCTGCAGTTTGGAGGCATTATAATATAATGGTTCTAATTCTAACTGCACAGTCACTTTCAGAAGATCAAGTGGTGGCTGTCTTCTGTTTCACTCCACACTTGCAGTGATTCTGTGGGTCCTGCAAGGTTCCATCTTCTCTCCCATTCCTTTTAATATCTATATTAACTTGCTGGGTGAGCTCAATAGGGGATTTGGGATAAGGTGCCCTCATGATGTGGATGACAACCAGCTCTTTTGCTCCTTGCCATGTGATTCAGGAGAACCAATGCATGTGTTGAAACAGTGTGAGGATTCAGGAATGGGCTGAACTCAGTAAATGGCATGGATAAACCACTCTGGGTGACCTTCAAATACTTTAATTAATTAAATATGAGGGGTAATAAACTGAAGTTGAATCCCAAGATTCAACTCCCTCTGGATATGGTTTTCACACACAGAAAAGATACTTACTGGATCAGACTAAAAGCCTACCCAGTCCAGCATTTTGTCTGTGCAGTAGCCAACTTGATGCTTCTGGTGAGTACAGAACAAGAGATGAATATGATGTTACCTTCCTACTTGTACTTCCCAGCAACTGATTTACAGAGATATATTGCTTCTGATATGGGAGATAATATATTGGCATCATGTTTGATAGCCATTAATAACCCTGTCCTCCATGAATTTGATTAATTTCCTTTTAAAGTCATCAAGTTGGTGGTCATCAAACCATCCTGGGGTCATGAATTCTATCATTTAACAATGAATTATGTGAAGAAGCTAAAAAGCCCTAAACTTTGTTACTTCCCTTACAAAGACTGTTTCTAGTCATTCAATCATTTGGCAGCTGGAAAAGTACCCCTAGCATATGTACTTGTCACTATTCCCAATAGCAATAACAGAGACAGAGGAAGATGGAGGTGGGGAATTGGCATTTGGCATTAAGGAGTGAGTGGGATGCTAGTATCCCAGATGGTCAATAAAATGAATGAAATTATTGTCATCAAAATGAATGACTTTTCTTCAAGTCAACAGCTCATATGAATTAGCAGACTGCTTCAGGTCTTGCACCCCAGAGGGGAATATATTGAGCCTTCAGTTTGCTGTATTGTTGTATCATATATGAGACACAATGGATACTCCACTGGGGGATGAGGCTTTATCTGGACAAACACAAAAGTAAGGTGGTTCCAAGGGAAAGTGCAGTAAGAGCCCTGTCCCAAGAGATATCAGTTAGGTAGTAGAGCAAGAAAGATAAAATGCCAGGAAGGAACATAACCCTATATGGGTTTGAGAGCCAAGTGAACTGTGTGCTGAAGTTTAGAACTAAGAAACAGTAAGTTTGTCCGCATGGAGTTCCAGGAAAAGCAGCAACTGGTGCTTAAATTCCACATACATTTCAAAGCAAAGGATAGAATACAATGAAGAGAACAACAGCTTGGGTTTGGGGAGTGAAAGGAACTATTAAGGAGGTTTCTGATTATTTGTCTGAATTTAAACTAGTTGATTGAACATACAAAAACCATGGTTCAGAGGGAAAGGTATATAGAAAAAGACACACCACAAGGCATGCTCAGATGTTGCTTTAACCTGCTGTTTAACTTTTGTTAACTGCCCAGAGAGCCTCAGCTACTGGGTGGTATAAAAATGAAATAAATAAATAAATAAATAAATAAATAAATATTTTTGTGGTAAGTACAATTCAGATTTGGGCCATATTTCCAGCCAGTGTCTTAAATTAGCCAATGTGAAAGTACTTTATATGTAAAGAATTGCAACCATTATTTAGAAATAAACTGAAATTCAAGAAAAATTATGCAAAAGAGAAGATTTTTAATGTTTTGGTCATACTTACTGGTTCTGTTTCTTCAAGCAGTGTGATAACATGATTAAGATCCAGAGATTTCAAGTGATTGCCCTAAAATAATTGAAAAGGTTAATAATACCTATGCATATAACACAGGTCCCATTCCATGTCTACCTATAATGCCTGCTAGTTCTGAGTTCTTTCTCCTTTACTTTCAGTTAAGGGTGTGTGTATTTCACAATTCTACACAAGTACTACACAGTGAGAGAATTTGACATCATCTATGAAATTTAGCATCTGGAGAAAGTGCTTTTCCATTCTAAAAGGAAAGGGCTTTCACATTCTCTTACAGCTGCAATGATAAGCATGAGGGCAATTCTTGATCAAACCTCAGAAGTTGAGGAAGGATGGGGCTCCAATCACCTGGTTCTTTTATATTGCTGGTGGAAGTAGACTTATGTAAAAGCAGTAAATATGAGCAATTTTTCTAGAGGTGCAAGTTTTATTCATGGGCAGGATACCATTTTTGATGCAAAACTTTGGCTAGATTCACACACTGTTTTTAGACTTGTTATCTTTGCAAAGAATATATACAGTACTAGCTACAGACTTCCTAATTATATAAAGTTCACTGCTGCTGGTGTGTCAAAAATAAGTGTGTCAGAAGGCCAAATACTTCAGATGTTGAGAAGCCACACCTAGAATTTTCCACACATAAAGAATTTAAAATATAATATTTCTGCACTGGCAGGGAGAAAAGGGTAGAGTTCCTATACTTTTAATAATTGTTTACAAGAAAAAATTTATACCTCCTGATATTTTTATTTTACACAACTGTTGATGATGCAAGAATCTTTTCCTCTTTTCACTGGGCCATTCATGAATATATAAATGGTACAAATAAATAACAAACATATTTCTTCACAATCTCCTTCAAAGAGACTGCTTATATAGTAATATATATGAAGATAATAACCATTCAATGAATTGCCCTTCTAAACATTTTAAAGAGGATGGGGCTGCAATCACCTAGTTCTGTATTGCTGGTGGGGGAGGGGGCTAGAGTACCAATTCCTTCTTCTGAGGTCAAAGTACTGTCTCTAACCACCAATTTTGAAATCTGAAGTATCTTATGGCTATCGTATCCTATGACCTTAGACACTGCCTAGTGTAAGGTCTAGGTGTGGGCAGCAGGCAACTAAGGCTAGAATGCCAGAACCAGGACACAGGTGCAAGGTGGAGTCCTGCAAGCAGGCTTAGAGGGCCAGAAACAAGAGGCATGCTTGTCTAACAGTCCAGGGTCAAAGTCAGGGAGACAAAAGATCCAAGCAAACACCGTTCAAGATATCACAATCCAAAAGCACAGTTCAAAAGTCAAGTTTCAAAAAGATAGTCATGTTCAAGAGCAAGGTGAGACCAAGGGTACAGGTACCTGGGAATAAGGGTAAGGCTGGAGACAAGGATGGAAGAAGGAACAAGCTGGAGCTGGGCAGGAATCAGGATTCAAGCAAGGCAATGCAGGAAGACAGAGCACAAGGGAGTCACCATTGTCTTTCTTAATGTTCTCACTTGGCTGCTTGACAGGCAGACAGTCAATGCGCAAGAGAGCCAGTGTGGTGTAGTGGTTAAGAGCTCAGGCTGGGACTCAGGCGATCTGGGTTCTAGTCCCCACAGCCATGGAGCCAACTGGGTGACTTTGGGCCAGTCACAGACTCTCAGCCCAACCTACCTCACAGGGTTGTTGTTGTGGGGATAAGATGGAGGAGGAGAATGATGTAAGCTGCCTTGAGCCCTTTGTAGGAAAAAGGCAGGATATAAATCGAATAAATAAATAAATACTGTACCTCTGTCATGTCTTCCCTGGAAGACTCCTCTTCTGCAGAGGACAAGGACTTACCTTGGGGCCAGGGATCCAGTTCAGCAGTGAGGAAGACCTGGAGGACTCAGGAGCCTTCCTTCCCTGGGGAAGTTCAGGACATAGTCAGCTGGATATCAGCTGTGGACCCAAGACCTTCTTGATAGCTAACACCTCAGTAGATTGCAGGAGCTCTACTCAGGAGCAATGGAGAGCCTGCAATGGTCGGGGTGGGATAGGTACAGCCAAGCCAGCATAAAAGTCTGACTTTGAAGAAAAACCAACACTAGAAACAATGCACCATGACTAGAAATCATACCTGCTTCTTATCTCTTGATTGAGTGATTCTAGGGAATCCTTAACCTTTCACAACAGATCCACAGCTATTGACCTCAGCTTCCTAACAGTAAATGCCTTGTCATACATAGTGTCATCCAACTATGGCTTTTTTGCTCTCTTCCTCTCAACCAGGACAAATCCCTTCTCCTTGTTACTATTGCCACCTGGGCCACAGCGAGAGGCAGGTGAACAAGCAAGTTGCAATGGTGAGGGTGAAAAGAAATTTCAGGGGTCTCTTGTCAGTAGGGTCCCACTAGGATGTAGGGCCTATACTTACCTTTGACGCTGGCCCTGGAAGAAAGTACCTGAAGCACTCCTGTCACCCTATGTACCTGGCTGATGTAAAGTAGCAGTCTAGCCCTCCAGGTTTCCATGCACACTGATGGCATTTGGAAATGTAAGTCATTTATGAGAGAGGAAGACTGTAAGTTTGTTCCAAGACAAACCTTCTTGGGAAAAACAAAATAAAAAGAAACCCATCAACTTTTTGACATCCTTTCTACTAATTTTATTTATTTTGCAAAACATTCTATTTGTTTGCTATTGTAGGTGTTACATTTTGTTACCCTATGTTCCTGTTTACCCTCCACTTAAAAGGAAGAAGCTGCCCTCTTTTGGATGCGCGATCAAAATGCAAACTCGCTGGAGAATACAATCATGCAATAGAAAACCGGAGGCAATAGAAAAGGAAGCCCAAATACGAGATGGATTGATTTAACAAAGGAAGTACAGCGCTGAATTTATAAAAGCAGAGCAGGGCTTTTAAGGATAGGGCATTTTGGAGGCATTTCGCTGGTAGGGCTGTCACAAGTCTGAAACGACTTGACAGCGCATAACAAATATATAAGATAATATAATAATAAGTACTAAAGATGAGGCACACTGCACGGCTAACTAGAAATGAAGGCGAAGGGGCTTAATTTCCGCCCTTTCCAGCTCACCTCCCCAAGGCTGCCGCTGAGCTCGCTTTCCGAAGGGCGCGCCAGCCTCGAGGCAGGCGAGAGGTTCTTCCTTTTCTCGGCGGAGGGAGCCAGGAGGTTCGGCGAAAGCGCGGGCCGGCCCAGAGAGGCCATGGCGCCCTCGAATGCCCTGCGCCAGCAGCCGTGCCCCGAGCGCCGCTTCAAACGAGATGGCCGCAGGGCCGACGACAACACAAGCCGGGCGGGTTGCCATGGGAGCAAGAGAAGCCGGCTAGCTGTGGGTGCCCTGAGGGAGTGAGAGGAGGAGGCGAGCGAGCCCAGCTCCCAGGCGGGAACGACTACGGAAGGCCGGAGCGGGGCCACGCTGTAGCCCGTCGGAGGGAAGGGATGGGGGAGGGCGGGTGCCTCTCCTCGGCCTAGCCTCGTCGGTCCCCTTTCCCTTCCCTCCGAAACAGGCAGAAGAGTCCACCTTCCTCCAAAAATGCCCGTCTCATCCAGTACACATAGGAATAGGCACTTACTGGGGGCGCGGGGCGGGGGGGACACATGGTACGCTTACTGAAGGGAAACATGGGCTCATCTTTGTCAACATATGTACAGCTGCGAGAGGAAAAGCTCCGCTTCTTTCGGCGGAGAAAAAGCCGTCGGTGGAAATGGCGCCGAAAATTCAAACGTGCGTTTATTCCGTAGTGATGCAATGATAAATCCACGGCAAGCTGCTCCTTGAGTGAAATGTTTGTCCACCCAGTGTTAGTCCCTGTGTGCCACAGATGTGGGGACACTTTATAAGGCTTTTGAGGCGTGTTTTTGTTTGTGTGTTTGAAGTAAGGCTAATTTCGCAGAACTCACTTGGAAGGGCGGGCGTCGTTAGCGCAGACGCAAACGGATAAAATCATAATTTTTGAGATAGGAGCATGTGCAGAGTCAAAATAAGTTTGCTTCCCCGCTGAAATCTTCTTTCAAGAATAGGAACGCTTACACCGAAGTTATGAAAGTATTGCTGACAAGTTTGTTATAACCTTTTTTGAACTGTAGAAATTATCTACACTTAGTTTTGCTTAACACCCTGACCTTCCAGTTGTTGCCTTCTACTGTGTACTGACTATATTTGTGCGCGTTTGCAATGCATTGGGACAGTTTTGTAGAAAGCCAGTGTGCATGGACCTAGCAGTATATTGGCAGAAATAGGTCTCAACTCTATACGTTGTATCTAGCGGTGTCCTTTACTAGTGTAAACAAAGTTGTAGCAGAAGCCCAGTTCCAAACTATGTGCAAGAGAATTTGAGAAAGTTGCATTTGTGAAGGAAGAGGCAGCAAAGCTCTATTTAGGACATCAGTGTCTCCTGCTGGCAGTGCATTTGATTAGGGCTATGATTCTATATTTTAATGCTTTATCTGAAACTGCTGCAGAAAAAAACAGAATAGCAGCACAATGTATTTTGATTGATAGTAGTAGAGGATTCTCTGCACAGGTTTTAGCTACTGCCTTACTGATAACGTGTCCCTGTTCACTGTGGGAGGAAAAATTTATCTTGGGGGTTTATATTTCTTCATCATTCTGCATATTCTATTAACCAACAAGAAGATGCTGTGGTATAGCTGCAGTATATTTTATGACTTTTCATGAGGCTTTTGTTCTGATTTGAAATTTAATATCACACTGTAAAAAAAAAAAACACAACCTATGAAAAAGCTGGAAAACATGGGAGAGCTCCTGGAGGATGACAGTGTTGCAAAAAGGCCCTGAAAATGTCCATGAATGATCACAAGTGCACAATAAATACTTTGTGCAGAGAAGCACCAGGAGCCACCCACCTGGAACAACTAATCTATATTAGTTGCATAAATGGCTTGTTCTCAGACAGGGAAAATGTTCTTTAGGACTATCTTTGTGAGTTTTTTCTCTTAATCTGAAACAAGTTTAACATAGTTTAACTCAAGGCCAAGTTTCTATATGTATAGACCATAATCCTAATTTCAATTGTTTTCATCTATGTTATTAAAGTTGCTTTGATAAACACACAATGAATTTATACAAATGTTACATTCCATAATTGAAGGATTTTATTCTGATTTTAACACATGACACTTGTACAAGAATGTGAACAATTCTGCACCCATCCTTGGGTCTATATTGTTACAGTCAAATAGACAATAAACTTACAATAAAATTTAGTAGAATTTCATAAAATTACCTGAAATGAAGTAAAATATAATTAAGCAGAACCTATCAGCTACAGTTAACACTGAAATTAAAAACAGAAAAATAAAAATAAGCCAGTGTAAGCACAGCAAAAACTGGAAAAGAGAAATTCCAAATGGGCTATAAATGTAATTTTAAGCATTTTTACTGCATAGAAATTATATTTTGAATAGCACTCAGGAAGTATATTGAAGAGTGCTACAGTATGTGGTACATTATAGAGAGAGAATTATATTCTCAGAAGAAATGGATAAATATCTGATGGTTTCTAAAAATATATAGATGATCAATTCATATTTAAGCTCTTAAAATAATTTAGTGTATGGCTTATACCCCAACATTATACCCAATCCAAAAACATTACATTGCCACAGGTTCCACTGAAAGCAGTGGGAAAGACTTTAATGTAATGGTTTGATTCATACATAACAATCTTTTGTGCAGAAGGTGCAAGGATAGGGGCTCAAGCATTAACTGAGTCAGCCAGCTTTTATTCTTCTCTTGGTTAGACCCTGTGGGGAGCTGGGCATTCCTCCTTGAGGCTTATCAAAGGGACGGTCCAGTACAGTTCCAAAGCCAACTGTCCTGGTTTTATTGCTTTAACATTTTGGTGTTTCATGGCCTGTAGTTGGGACAGAGTCCTGGCAGAAGATGCCTCAGAAGATGGTGGGCCGTCCTAAGATTAACTGCTGGATGACACCCTGTTGCCTGGGTGAGGGATTAAATCAGACTCCAGGAGTGGGCTTTTGGCTCCTTCTGCACTAGGAACTGACCAGAAGTGTTTTGCTGACCAATGCTGCTAGACTTCTACTCTTGGGATAGCCATTACTTTAGTAATGTATTTATTCTTTCCTGTCAAAGAGATGTACTAAAGAGTCTGTACTCTTGGGAATTGGAATTGAATTTTGTTCCTATATTTGGTGGTTCCTGTTGCCTTCTCTTATTCCTTGTCCTTTCCCTTCCCTTTAAAACTTTTAGCCCTTTGTTTCTGTCTCTTTTAAATACACTTTTACCCTGATTTGGCTTCTTTAGGTAGATTTGGTGTTGAATCAATTGCCCAGACAGAGGAGCAGCCTGCCAGAGGGAGGCAGAGATCAGGCCCTCTGTCAGCTTGGAGTAACCCCAGCAATCTTTCATAATCTTACTCAACAAATCATGGTTGATTAAAATGAGAAAAAGCATTGTCTTGCATGCTGCTGTTTCTTGACTTGCATATATTGCAGTGAAAACTACAAGAATTTGGTAAACCATTATAAACAAACAAGGAAACTCTAATATCTCACTACAAATCAGGATATCAGTGGGTTGAAATTCTATCATGTCAGTATGTGACAAGACTCTAGGATGTTATAAGGTTGCTCTTCACTGATTTATCCAAAATGACACTTTTATGAATATAACTATTTGAATTTTTTTTAAAAAGTATTTCTTGCTATCTTTATTTTAAAAATTGAAAAATAATTCAAGTCAGCATCTTCCTTAAGATACTTCTATGGCTCAAATTTAATGTGACAAAGTTTTTTCCAAAGACTTTACACCTAGATGCTGAACATCAGCTGTTATCCAGAATAGTGGCGGTGCAGTACTACATCTGGCATACGAGGAAAATAGTTAATACACAAGGGTGCATGTGTGCATGTACACACACAAATGCAAGAAATTCTTAGGGTATATAATGAGAATTTCTGCTCATAGAAAAGAATGGTAAGTCCCCACCAAAGCTGAATCAAAGGGCTCAGTCCACTACATATTTAGATATGCATAGGATTCCCCACTAAATGCCCGAATACAGGCCCTGGATTCTGACCATGTACAGATTCTGAACATGTTCAGAATTAAACTATACAAGTCCAATTTACTAAATTAAAACTTTGTCTAGATATACTTGGGACTGAAGGTTTTCCAGTAGACACTGGAAGTAATTATGTTCACAAGCCTGACAAGCCCCAGATACACCTGGGAACCGGATCCCACTTAGCCTATAGGGTTTGAGATTACTGTGGTAGTATACCATTTCTTGGTGGTAGTTGCAAGAGTGGAACTAGCAATCAGGAGATTAGGATTCTAGTCCCCACTCAGCCATGGAGTCAATTGGGTGACTTTGGGCCTGTCACAAGTTCTCAGCCAAACCAATCTCACGAGGTGGTTGTTGTAAGGATAAGCTTGAAAGGAGGAGGAGAATTACATAAGCTCCCCTGAGTTCCTTGAAAGGAAAAAGGCAGGATAAAAATAAGGTTATAAAAATAAATAAAACTACCTCTTGGCCAGACAGGTCTTCATTGATTGTACTTACATGGTCTATATATATTTAGTTTCCAGGTAAGCTAGGGTGTTGCCAGGCTTTGGCTATTCCATGCTGGTTCAACAGAGAAAGGACAAAAGGGAGCTGCTTTTTGTGTATCACAGTATCAAAACAGATGGATTTCTTTTCGATATCAAGATATTTAATCAACCATAGTTATGATTCATTAAAAATTCCACTAGAAGTGCATCTCACACATGCCCAGGGCTTATTTATTAAATGCTAAGCACAGGTTATATTTTTCCAATGTATTGATCTGTGCACATAAAACTGACAAAACCAAAAAGTAGCACTCTTATTTCATAAAATGCAGCAATTAGATAGCCAAAAGAATTAAAGCCAGTGTAAAAGCTAAACATTCCAATCTTTATATAAATAAAGGTGCCTGTTAGGTGTTGGTGGTGGTGTTAGTTGCAAAGTCATGTCCTACCCATCACGACCCTATGGACAACATTCCACTAGGCCTTCCTGTCCTCCACCATCCCCCAGAATCCACTTAAGTTCACACCAACTGCTTCAGTGACTCCATCCAGCCACCTCATCCTCTGCCGTCCCCTTCTTCTTTTGCCATCTATTGTTCCCAGCATTAGACTCTTCTCCAGGGAGTCCTTCCTTCTCATTAGGTGGCCAAAGTATTTGAGTTTCATCTTCAGTATCTGGCCTTCTAAAGGGCAGTCAGGGTTGATCTCCTTTAAGACTGACTCGTTAAAAAGCCTAATTCTTAGCATCCCCCAGCTGGCATGGCTGATAGAGGTATGCTGGGAATTGTAGGCCCACCTGCAATTTAGTATGGAGAACCTACACATGGTAAATGCTATAAGCTGCTGCTGCTGGGGTGAAGGACTGAGTAAGAATTTCCCCATAAAACTGCAGTTTTTACCAGGTTGGACCATTTTTCCATGTTTTATGCAATCAAAACATACTTTCATTTTTTCCTCCTTTGCTAGTTTGGACAATCTAAGAAAATAATGGAAACTGAAGTCTTTCTCTTCCTGGTTTGGTGAAAATCTATTATATATTTATAACAGTCTGAGTTTTTAAAGTTCCCATTCAAAAACAAAAATAAAGTATGATTGATGTATAATAACCAAGTACAGTTGAAAGTACTAACCAATTTGTCTAAACATGTTTCTTCACATGTTCTTCATATAGAAATAACAGGTTTTAGGTTATTCTTGACATGCTTTAATGGTTGGTGTGTGTGTGTGTGTATGTACATGCATGAGTGTATGTGTATTTACTATGCAAGAATTATTTTTATTAAGAATTGTGTAACCTGAGGCACTTGAAAATCTTACTGAAGAAAATTGAAGTAATTCATATGCACAATACCTTAGTTCATAAGCTTTGTATTGGGATTTGTCCTGTATGTTCCACTACTTTAAATAATAAAAACATACCTTAGTTGAAGCTTCAGCTTTGCATCTACCTATAGCTAGAAAAGCAAGTTCACTGTGGCTAGTTATGCAAACATTAATTTTCTTTGTATTTCTAAAGCAAGAGTAGTTGCAATATTGAAATTAAGTACTATGGATTTTAAACACTACAAGTGGAATATGTGTCTTTAATAATAAAACTCATATATATGCCTTCGCTCACATCATTTATTTCTCTTAACATAAACTATTACGATGCTTCCTAACTAATGCATATCCCATGTAATATTAATATTCTGACAGCAGTCGAAAATAATTGCCATTCAAATTCAAGAGGGTGCCAATGCATCATTAGAAAGTACCTGCATGTACTCCCTTTCCCCATTCCCATTAGCTTCACAGTACTTGGGAGGAGAGCTTTAACTCTTCCCTTCCCAGCTATAAACCAGGCCAAATATTTTCTTTCCGCTATCTGTGGGAAGCAAGGGGAGTAGTATGAATTTTCACTGGAATCGCAACCGGGAAGGGCTTAAATCTCTTCTCCCTCTGGGCAGAATCCCCAAGGGACCTCTCCCTCAGTGTAATGGATAATTTAGCTTTCAGAATATGGGTTGTGTGTGAATCCAGTCAGACATTCCCCAAACAAAATATTATACAAATATTCCATAAATACACTGAGATGAACTGTATTTTTTCTGATGACTTGCAGAGAAGTTATATTTATATTGACTATACATTTATTTGACTACTTAGGCTAGCTTTAAATAGCAGCAGTGGGAACAAACCTTGACAGTGAATAAACTAATAATTCAGCAAAAACATAAAGTAGTAATCAAAAGTTTTTTGTCTTATTTGTAATTCTAGAAGCCTGGAATTTAAGTTTCACAGTGGAATGTCAGATGTATAAGATTATCAATCCATAACAAAGTGATAAAAATATTTGCATTTTTAGCACACACATTGCAGAAGCTGATTTTGTTTTTACAGAGGCAAACAAAATAGAATTTGTGCAATGTAAAGCACATTAAAAAGTTTAAGCAAGTCAGAGTAAAACATTACAAGTAGCCAATAAAACCCCAATACACATCACAAAAATATCTATTTTTCAATTATGATAGGTTATTAAAATATTAAAATTTCTCTAAGCTTAGTGTTCAAAAGGCCTCAGTCAAGAATGTAATGAATGGGAGAAGATACTGTATATGATTACGCAGAGCAAGGGAAACCTTTTGCAATAGTTTCTGTCAGTGAACTTGTGAATTTTTATCTACATCAAGATGCATCTTATATAAGGATACAGAGGTTTGCAGAGTCCTGGATGCACCTACTTTTGAATCCATTACTCTGCATCTCTAATGGCTTTCACCTGCTTCAACAAGGACATACAGTGAAAACTTAAGCACATGGAAGGAAGCCTTGGGATCAGTTCTTTGCAGACTATTTGCAGCCGCATCCACTATGGTTTATGAATGAGGAACAGGTGTAAATACATTACTTTTGTAAAAACCTTACTGTACATTAAATAGAATAGTGAAAGCCTCACTTCTGAGTCTGGTAAATAAAAATACTGGTTTTTAATGTTATTTTGTAGATAGAGCATTAATATTAGAAAGAACTAATACAATATATATTCTCTCAGCTGAACTCAGTATTCAGTTCCAGAGCTTTAGCTGGGAGAACATACTGTGGGTAATTAAGCCCTGGCACAAAAGGTTTAATATTCTCCTACCTGTTTGCCCCTTTTCTTTGAAAAAGCTGGATTTCCACTTCTTGCTTTATGTGTTATTTGAAATAGATCACATCTAGTTTTGCCCTCAGAAGCTGTACCTTTGATTTGTTCTGCCAAGTGATTACCCCTGTTTAACTTGGGTGTCTTTCATCTAATAGAAATCAAAAAACAGTTTAAGATTGTTTTTAATTGGGCAGACCATTCATTGTGGTCTAGTGTCATTGTTATTCAAATTCAGTGTGGAAATTATGGGTGAAAATGAGTGCTGCTGGATTCAAAGCTAGAGAGCAATTGTGTACTTTCCAGTCTCCTGATGAGACAGGCAATAATACAATTGCACCTTTTCCTCCAGATCTTTTGTTCATCCTATCAGAACTGGCTCCAGATCTGAAGGGTTCTGGGCAAAGCCTACTTTGTCAATAAGATTTGATGGACTTGCTTTGCTGCCAGGGCAGCAAACCAAGAGGCTCTGAAAAATTGTACCTGGTCACCCTTTTAAATACCCACAATGCCCTAGAACAGCTTTCTCCAACCTGGTGGCCTTCAGAGGCATTTGGACCCCAACTCCCAGAATTCCCATCCAGCAGGGTCATTGAGTGGCAATTCTGGGTGTTGCAGTCCAAATGTGTCAGGAAGGCACAAGACTGGGGAAAACTGCCCCAGAACAATGCTAGCTCATGGGCATGGTGGGAAATCTATGGAATGGCGAAAAAGCTGGGCCAGAAAAAAATGCAGTTGTGCAGGCAGGGCAAGGATCAACTATGGGTCATGCCAGAGCCCTGGCAGCTGTGAAAGGATGCTTGGTGTTAAGCCCAGAATGTGCTATCAGTCCTCATGTGCTCCAAGAATGTCATAGGGAAAGGCTAGAAAGGCAGAAGAAGCCACAGGATTTGTGCAGGATTTGAGAGATTCATTCCAGATAATTATTTCTTCATGCAATCCACAGGAACTAAAAAATGTGCTCCCACAAAATATAACAATGATCACCACTTTGGAAACTTTAAAAGTAGATTGGAGAAATTCATTTAGGGCAGAGTTATCAATGGCTAGTAGTCACAGTGGCTATATATGACTTTCAGTATCAGAGCAAGTATGCCTCTCAGTATGTGTTGCTGGGGTGCCCATATGAGAGGATGCTTCCAACAGGTGTTTGGTAGGCCACCATATGAGCAAAAAGCTGGGCCAGATAGACCTGAAAGAACTGAACTAGCACAGCTCTCCTTACGTTCTTAATATAACTTTCCTCCAGCCTTGAGTTTGGCATCCCTACTTATGAGAGATGTAACAAAATAGTGCAATCTTAGGCAGGTTTATGCATAAGTGAACCCCAATGAGTTGCATGGAGCTGATTCTCTAGGGTACCCTTCTCTCAGCCTGGTGCCCTCCAGGTGTCATGAACTGTAACATCAGGAGGGTACCAGGTTTGGGAAGGCTGCTCTAATAAGTCTATTTAGGACTGAAGCCTAAGTATGGCAATACTGGTGTGAACAAATTTTCTGTACTCAGAAAACAGGTTGCTCAGAATGCAGCAAATACACATTTAGACCATTTCTACTACATTTAAAAAATTACATCTGCCTTGATCACATGTTGCTCATTTCCTGATAACTGACCCCCTAAATTACATATTGCCGTAGGCTAGCTTTTTTCTACAAAAAAGCCTGTATGAACTAAAGAACTTTGAAAGGATCATGCTGACAGAGTTAATAATGGCAGTGTACAATCACATGACTGTAATCCTTTCTGGTGAGGGAAATGAACCAGTTCCACTTCTATCTTCAATAAAATATTTTTTTTCCCATCCTCTTCTTATCCGTCTCAACTTCCTGTTTACACATGGCAGAAGCAAAATTACCTTGCCTAGAATGACTATACATGGCAAGACAAGTGCAAGAACAAAATTTGGTGGCGTGTAAAATCTGTAGTATTCTTCTTCGAAAGCTCTTTTCCACCCATAAATTAATACATGGAAAGTACTTATGAGCAGAGCGACGTATCCAAGGGTAGACTTTGGGGTGATAAGGGGGTAGAAATAGAAAAATAAATACAAATTAAAACTTTGAAGTCCTGATTAGCAGATATAGCTAGAAATGCTTAAGAGTTTCAGCAAAACTAAGCTGTAAAATCATTAACATATTCTAAGAATTTACCTGCCTGGCCTTGTGTGCAGGAAATAGGCTGAATAGCTCTCAGTGCAAAAAATGAATGTAGGGCTTATGAATATAAATCCTGCTTTCAACTTTCTGAAATTTGTTGGTCCCATAAAAAGGTGTTTACTTTTTATTGTGATGATCCAATAGGTTACTGCAATGGATTTTGATTTCTCAAGTCAAGTCATGAAAAGAACTGAAAAAGGTCAGGAAAAGAGGGCAGTGGTCAAGAATGCTCTCCTGGCTACTGGGATGATTGCATGTTTTGCTGATTCTAAAGACAGATTTGTTGGCCAGGTAAAGATGGCAGGAGAAAAGAAGAGAGTAAGGACAGCTTGTCTGAATCAGCAAGTTATATAGAGAAAGAGACTACAAAAGAGTATCTGAAAAATACTGGGAGCGCCACAGCTTCCAGGCATTACTGGGACTTAAAGATACTCATCATGCTCAGTGAATTATGTAATATATCCTAAAAGGACATAAATGCTTCTCATTACCAAATGAAAGAACCACCTGCAGACAGGTGGAAACAAGTTCTGCTCAAGCTCAATAAAATGTCTTTGATTAATTGTTTCTTATGGCTGTTTTTCTACTGAGCTTAATTTACATTCCAGGGTCCAATCCAAAGAGGTAGCATTTAGGAAACTATTAACTTTTCCAGCAGCAGATTGTGTCACCTTGTGGTAGAAGCTTTGCTACAACACTCACCTGAATAAAACTGAATTCCCTCCAATTTAATGATCGATTTACTGAAGGAATAGAAGTTACAGCCAGCAGAGAAAGCAGCCCAAGACTCATTATTCCAAATGAGATATACATTTCAATTCGCCATACTTCTTCTTCATTCCATGAATTTTCAACATTTGCATGGACCTGAAAAAGAGGAAGAATGGAGGTATTGAATTTTTAGAGCATTGGACACATTTATATGAAAGCAGTCTTTATCAATTTGGTATACTTTATTCATTGATAAACTATCAAGAGCGTGAGAGCAGAGAAGGAAATCTGCAGTTTCCGGTGATTGTGAGGAAGGGACTTTAGTTCGCTAATCAGAGTTGCCCCTTTTTACAATCAGGTAAAGCAGAATAAATTATGCACAATAAGAAAACAGAGGCAATTTTTGTTCCTCAGTTTATACACATCTCAGAGTTCAGTGAATGCTCTCTAGAAACAAAAGTTAGCATGACTGGGTTCAGACACATTGCAGCAACCCACAGTTCAGTAACAGTCCACAGGGAACCCTTGAGTATGGGTTATTGTGCTGTCTGAACTTAGTCATAGACTTGATCCACAAGCTGCCTCCACTCTTATCCCCTTTTGGATTGAAGATATTTTGGACTGCAACTCCAGCTTTTGCCATGTTGGCTAAAGCTAATAGGAGCTGAAGTCCAACTCATACCTTGGGAAAGACAAGTCTTATTGATAATTCTTTGTGTCAGTTTCTACACTAGTAACAATTTGCAGCAGGAAGCTGCCCTTTCTTAATGTGTATGGCACCATGTTTGTATGGCATCAATTATAACATTGATATATTTCATAATTCGTATGGCATCAAGAATATCAACATAAACAACAATATATACAATTGAGTACTTTCTGCTGCAATGTCTTCTGCCAAGTAACATAGTCTTACAACTCACATGAGCAATAATATTAGGTCACTTTGAATTATTTGACTTTTAAAAAGACATTTTCCTTACCTGCTGATATGCCATATTTAGGAATAAGTACCGTTCTGACCTCCTCATAGGCAAGCAGAGGCTGTAAACCACATGAACTGTTGCAAAGAAAAAACTAAGCAGTCCAAGCTGTTTTCTGCACTGCAACCAGCTCTCCAGCCAGGGTGGAAACCGTTTGTATTTAGTGCCATAATAAAGTTGATAAGCAGCTGCAAGAAGCCCTGATAAATATACTAGAGACAATAAAGTGATAGAAACAACTGGCAATGTCTTATTCACAATCTCGATAGGAATTTTGTAGAAATCACTCTGCTGGTTCCTAACATAAGGATGTATTACATCTCTAATGAAAGAATAGATGAAAAAGAAGGTAGCCAGGCTGACAGCCACTATTACTGGGCCTTTCCACAGTGTGAACAGTCGAAGAGGTAAATTTTCAATTTCCCTTGCAGATGACAAAGCACCCAAATCAAGAGGAATAAAATTGAGTTGATGGGCAAGTTCCATAACTTGATGGCGAGCTTGAACACTATTACTGCATATATAGACCTAGAATGAAAGAAAAATCAACATTGATTATATTAATTATATGTACTGATCTAAGATGAAATTAACACTTATATGGACTAAATGGTTAAACCACAGTGCGTACTACCAACTATACAGATAAAAAGAACCCAGAGTCTGAGACACTATTTTAAAATATTGTTCAAAATGCTTGAATCTTTTTCACTCAGCACTGTCACAGTTATAATTATATTCCTCAAGACAGATAGAAGACCATTTTTAACTGTACTTATCTTTCCATCAATGTAACAATGTTAAAACTGCTGTAATGTCATTGAAAAATCATCTCACTTCATTTGCAGGGTGCTTCATAGGAAAAACTGAAGCATGTTCCGGAGATGGTTTTGATCAAATGGTCTCTGGTTGGAAATATTATTTAGATTGCTGACTGAACAAATTATTTCAGGATTAGATCTTCCATTTTCCAAAGTTCTCAAAGTGTCTGATTTATGAGATCTTCCTGCAACATTGAAATACTACAGAACAGCTAGCTTTGTTTCAGAAAGCATGCAGCCTGATTCTACTCATGGTCACGGACAAAAAAGCACCACTCTGTGGGAAATAAAGCCAGAAGTGGTTGCTTCTAGAAATTTAACAGTTGTAGGCCGCACAAGATTTTTCAGTGCTTCAACTGTGCAGGTATTTTGGCACCCTCATGTGAAGCTTTCCTTCAGTTCCAGCTCAGCAACACCAGTGATTATTGCCTTATTGGTAGAAAGAGCAATGTCTGCTCTGAGTGCTGGATCAATTAGTGGACGGCAAGAGATCTCAACTGGTGTGAATGACGAAGAAACTTACTGCACCAGCATCCTTGTACAAGTCCTTTCTTTCAGAATGTAGTGATAAAAGATCACTTATGAGTGTTAAGATCACAGAGGCAGTCATTTATTATTATAAAACTGCTTTTATATTCCTCCATTTTCTCTTCACAACACCATCCCTGTGAGGTAAGTTTGGCCAAGAGTCTATGACTGGTCAAAATCATCCAGTGAGTTTCACTCCAGGGTCCCCAATCCAACACTCTAGCTGCCACACTACACTGGCTCTGTTGCAACTACTATTTTCATTCCTATTGTTTAAAATACTCAAATACATAGCTTACCTGCCTGCTAGCATCCTTTGGTCCTAACTGCAGTGCCCAGGCTGAAATGACATTGAATCCTTTGACAACAAGGGAATCTGGGAAAAGGGATGCCAGATATTCTGCATTGGATTCTGGATACTGGTTGACTCTCATGTTATTGCTGACATCAACAAGGATTTTACCAACAAGGAGATGTTTGAGGTCCCACAAAGCAGCATAGTGCTCTCTGTGTATGGCAACAAAAATTAAACTCGCTTTTGCTACAGCATCTTCATGATGAGTGACATCAACCACATGCGGAAAGAACTCAGCAGCAAACTTAGGGTTCCTGCTTCCTATGACCACATGGTACCCACACCTAATAAGCCTAATTGTCAGGGATTTAGCGAAGTCCCCACTTCCAATTATTCCTATTGTGATCTTACTGGTGTCTTTGATACCATTTACACCATTTGGCAAGAAAGTTTCATTTAAGTATTTAGGGCTTCCCAACATAGAAATAGATTCCATATTTCAACAGACTGAGATCACAGAGATGTTTTCTAAAAGACAAAGAGAAAAAAACACATGGTTAATTATTTGTTTTATAATAAATTATTTATTTGTGATTGTAAATTATACAATCACAGACTTTTCTACAAGATTAGCAATTTTCTTCTCATACCAATTAAAATTAAAACAATCAGTCACATACTATAGCTTGGCTTCTGCTAGTGATTTCTGCTCATAGGCTGAGGCTTTCCCACCTCTCTACTTTCTCAGAAAATCCACTTAGGAAAACCTACCCTTGTACAAACAGACGTGCACTGGATAAGCCAAAGCTTCCAATTTAGGTTATTTGGAGAAAAAGCAATGGATAGCAAATGATTTTAATAGTCATCAACAACGTATAAAAAATATTTTTCACAGAAGTTTGGCAGAATCCATACCATATTTATCAGTATGACCTGTAAGAACATTTCTTATAGAATGCCTGCATATATGCACAAGCCAAAGACTTTGTTAGTAATTTGGGATTCTATAGGCCCACATCTGTATGCCAAAGGTTACCCACATTTATAAACGCTTTACATGTTTGTTTACCACAACTGGTGAAGAATTCAGACATTAACCCTAAGGTACATAATTTCTTGTTCTGTAAAATAATACTAATAACCAATTAACTAATAGCAGCATTCCATAGTGAAAGAACTATGGACCACAGACAGTTTTTAAACCAAGAGTTCAGTGGAAGGAACCCCACTCATAAGTATGCTTAGTATTGTCCATAGAGAACTTACTGCCTTTAACTTGAACATGCTTAGGATTGCAGCATAAGGCAAATTGAATTTTATCTGGCCAGGGCGGCTTGTTTTATATTGTATGTATTATATCATATATTTGTATTTTAATGTATATATTTTAAAATGTTATTTTAATTTATTGTTGTAAGCCGCCCTGAGGCTTCGGCGAATGGGGCGGCATAAAAATGTTTTAATAAATAAATAAATAAATAAATAAATAAATAAATAAATAAATAAATAATTCCCTGATACAGGGCATAATGGTGTAGCTATGCAGAACAAGGCGCATGGGATGCTACCCAGGTTGGACACTGGTGAGTCTGTACTGCATCATGAATATGCTGAATCAATAGCCCCTCCACAGACTTTCTGGGTCAGTAAGCATATTTGGAATGTTGATCGGATGTTATTAGCACTCTCCAAATGACTGCTGTGATGGCTGTGCTTGCTCCCAAACACCTTTTTCATAAAGGCACACCAATGAAGTACAGAGGCAAGCAAGCTGACCAAGAAACTAAGTGTGAGGCAGAGGTGAGGGCTGAGCATCAAATGTCAGTTTGCACACTTGTCCCCACCAAGCTCTTTAATATACCAGTTTCACCAAAGGGAATGCCCTGAAACATGCATAAAAACAGCATAGCAAAACACACACACACCCCTAATGCATACACAAACACACACCAACACAGGCAACACACAGCTTGCCAAAGAAACAACTACATACACAGCAAAATGCATACCAAGCACAGGCAATGTATTCCCCTCTCCCTGCTTTAGCTCCCCCCACCACCCAAGAAGCAACCCACTACACCAACCCCAGATTTTCTGGGTGGCTTGGAACATTGGGCTGTTGACACCCACTATTTCTCCTTACCAAGGTATTTTTGTTAATTAAAATGCCCACAGGGCAGCAAGAGGAGTGTCCTTGAGCATATTGGTGCCTACAGGTACCCTGCCACATTCCCAAGCTGAATAAAGTATTCATAATGTAACTATCATAATATACTGAAAGATAGTAATATATATTCTTCTCCCTTATTTATGTTTGTTTATATTCCATGTGGACTACAGTGGTTGTCAGTCAATTCAAGACATCTCAGTTTATTAACTCTGAATTTAGAGCACAATATTATATATATTTAAATGGTTGTAAGTCCTCCTGAATTTAGTGGGACTTGCTTCCAAGCAATCAGTCACAAAATTCAAAGTCTGCATTGATTTCTGTAAGAGAAAAAGCCATGAGTTCCAAAGCAAGTGGGAGCGGGATACTTCCTTTGTTTTTGGATGGGACACACATCAGATGTCATCTTAGAAAGACTTCTTGCATAGGAAGGAATGCCACTTGTTATATAGCACTTGCTATCTGAACGTGTAATAAAATTTTGCCTAACCAATCAGGATGGAAATGACTTTTTAGATGCTCAGTGTTTGTAAGGCATGAATCTAATCGCTTGATTATGCATGGAAGAAATTTAACTTATCCTGCTCACCGAACACATTCTGGCAGCCATACCCTTTCCCATGCTGCCCCCCAAAATCTGCTCCATGGCATTGAGGGATTTTGCAGATGAGGGGGTCGTCTGAGGGGAAAAGAAGGGAGGGAAAAGTCATCCTGCATGAGAGAAAGTCCATTCATGCAGGGTTAGATTTCACTTCTTAACTTTATAGTTTAACACCAAAAGAATTCTGTATCCCCTTCTATCTTTTCCATGGATTTAGATGTCAGCTTGGAAAAAGGGTATAAATGGGAATATGTGCACACAACAAATCTATAAAGGCTTAACAGAAGACCTATGCCAATGGCATTCAGTTTTAATTACTTATTCAATGGCCCAGAATATTTCTCTTAACCTCTTAACTCTTAATCAGGCTAATAAAGCAAATGCAAATAGCATTTGGGGTTATGACAAGGAAGAGTAGTTTGGTAGCATTCAAAATGTATAAGCTTTAAAAGTTGTAATTTTTTTAAAAAGCTGAACTAAATTCTTAATAGTTATGCTTTATTTGACCCGAGACAATGATTCACTCTTAAATGTGATCTGCAAATTCAGTAAGTACTAGTCAACCATCATTTTGGCCAAAACAAACTGATGAAATAAGATTTCTGTCCTGGAAGTGTGACTCACTAAAGCAAATAATGGAAAAAAAATTGAATTACTGCATCCCATTTGGGAATGGTGGTTGCATTTGGAGCTCAAATGGTAGATTGTAAAACATCCCAGCTATTTGGTATCCTCAATTTTACAGAAAACAAATAACTTTTAGCAGCAAGGATCTAAAGAACTGAATACTGAAATTTCCCTTCATTCTCCTTGAACTTTGATCAAGTAATTAGATCTAAATAATACTTTAAAGTGCTGTTTTCTATGTGGCTTAAACTATTATTCTAAGTTCAGTGCTCAGAAAGAAAGGTGATTGTTTTTAAATTAGTTGCTAAAGGCAGTTCTTCAACTTTGACCCAGCTCTCAAATGAAAACTGCAGTTTTAGAAAAGTTTTCTCCTAAATACTGAATTCCTAACCTTCTCATGCCAAACTTCTCATCTGCAATTTGTCATAATATCATAGGTGACGATGTAATATTGTCTGAATGTTGACATGGGACTTTCCGGCTAAAGTAAGTAATGGCAGATGAAAAGTTGCCAAATATGCTATGCTTGATTCAGCCTCTGGGGGAAGGCAACACAGCAATCAATTGCAGTAGTGAAAATTGTTGGGGTGAACACTTAAGCTTTGTTTTAAATGCAGGAGACTGGGGTAGGGGCCCCCTCTCTCTGCCCTAAGTAGAAACCCCCAAAACAGCAGTTGGAAGAAAATCATGGCCAGTTTGTGTGCAAGGCAATTCTTCTATCAGCCAGGCAGATCCTTTTGTCAGACAAAAGAAAATGGCACAAGAGATAAAATTATGGCATTCCTGATTTAAAAAATAATCTCAGTTTGCTGGTCAGTGAATTTAGATATGCAATTGTGGCATGCATGACACTGTGTGGAAAAATTTCTGTGCATCCATCTGCTACACAGATGTGGGTACTAGAGGGAGGGAAGCTGAATTTACCCAAAAAGTAAGGACATATTTACAACGGGATTTGAATTTGAAATAGTTTGGAATGATCAGAATCAAAATGAGACAGCCAAGCAAATTCATTACTGAATCAAATGCTCCTAAAAGATCAGTTACTTGGTGCTAGGGACAAGACTGATCTCAGGCATTTAAGTGAGTATATAGAGACTTTTTTGTAGTCCTTTTTTTCAAAATTTCCTGCTCTAACAGTGGAAAATGCTGCCATGTAAGGTTAAGTTCAGTGTGACAAAACAAGCATTGCAACAGATGTAATGTCAGATTTGTGGACTTCAGAGATTCTGCTGTCAGCTCCTCTGACAACTGAAGAGTGAAACAAGTACTGGAGGGCAAAGACTGACATATAACCTAAAGCAATATGCTTGACAAAAATGCTCCTGCTAGATCACGGCATTCAGCAATAATATAAAATAAAGACACTCTGTCCCTGAACTCTGTCCTGTGCTTTAGAGCATTTGAAGATTGACAGTGCAATCCTATGCATGCCTACTCAGAAGTTTCACTCAATTCAGTCTATACACATTTGCAGAGGAAGAAACTCCACTGGACACTGTGGACCTTACTTCTAAAAACCATGCACAGAATTGCACTATAAATAAGGCTAATCCCATGCATATACTTCTTCAAACAATGCATAATTATTATGCATAATAATGCTGTTGTGAACCTCTCAGGGAACTTCGCTTGTTTAAACAAACTGGAATTCACTGCCACTTAAAGTAGTGATAGCCACCAATTTGGCAAACAGGACTCTTGCACCCTTCCTGCTAGAGGGATCTTGTGCGCAACTGGTTTGCCACCATGTGAGCAGAGCGCTGGACTAGATGGACCACTTGTCTGAAGCAGCATGCTGATGTTCTTATTTGATGGGACCTGGGGAATATTTTTACTTATTTGATGGTACTATCTGAGGAATATCCATTCTTTAGTATCCCAATGAGAAATAATTAGAAGTGACTTTTGTTTATAGCAACAGCCAATAATAACCCTTGCCACTATGATCAAGAGCAGAAGCAGATGTGTATAAGTACACAATGTGCCACTGACATAAATCAGGCTTATGTTGTGGGGTCACTGCTAAGCTGTCAAGTCCAGTGTCAGCATCTAGCATGCTTGGACCATTGCCTGAGTGCTAGCTAGCCATACCACCACTGACACTGGCCCTGACTGCTGCTGTCATGCGCTGGGTGATGTTGTGACAGGCACTTTAAAGAACAGGAAATTCAAAATGATGGCTCGTACCTGATTGCTACTGCAAGGAGGTAGCTTGTGGTTCCTGGTCCATGGGTCTGTGGTCTGAGAGCTGGGACTCTGAGGACCGAGCCCCTGCCTCCCCCGCCCTACCTTGCATCTGGGACAGAGAGAGCTATATTTGTTGTCGCTGTAAGGATGCAATTGGATCTCAGAGAAAGGGGCTTGCAGGGAATTGGGGAGGGGAGGCTGCTGCGGACAATGGCTTACGCAGACTCCTACTGGTGCCCCAGCCTCCTCCTTTCCCACTCCTGGACATGTAATCTAGATGGCTGAATGCAACAAGACAAGCAGCAGAGAGTGCCACCGCTACACCTGGCTCCAAGCACTGGATGTCCATAAGTGTCCAAGTTCAGAGGCTTGCTTGCATGCATTGAGGTCTGGGGGCATTAAAAGGCTTGTTACCTGTATGTTGTGCAGAGAGAAGCTTTAATGGTTGACGTTTCCTTTTCTTCTGGGGATCATCTTATACCTGCTTCTCAGAGAGACACATTTTCTCACAAGCCCTGAATTACAGAGGAAGCTGATACAAGCTAGAAATTGTTTGTTTATTAAGTGTACAGGCTAGCACCAGAAACCAGGCATGGACAGATGTTAGGCAAAGGGCCTAAAGCAGATTAGTAGAAGAAATGGCTGTGATAGCAGAACTCTGCCTTTACCCAGTGAAGAAGTGGTTGCACTAGCAAAGGATGAGGTGACATGTGACCCCTACTACAGTTCCCACTGTCTCCACCTCTCTTTTTATTTCAGCATAAGCCATATTAGCACTAAGGAGTGGTAACTCACCCAAATTTTGCTTGAAGTTAAATTTGATACAAACAGCTCAGTGTGGACCATTCAGTACCCCAGCACAACCAATTTCTTTGTTAATTTCCTTCTGGGTGCTTCATAGTGCCCCATGAAGTGCAATTCAGGGAGTGGAATTAATAGTCAAAGAACTGTCTGTAAGGTTGAGTCTGTGGTCTCATTTGGAAGACATCAAGGCCTCTGGTCTAAGACAGGATCATGTCCTTGAAAAGCATTTTATCACATATCCTTTCATATGAACTTGCTAATCATGTGTTCAAATTCACAAATATTTACTATGAATCACCCTTTCCCATTAAAAAAAAATCCTCATTTGACCCATCTATTTACAGTTTACTATGTAAGCTGCAATGTGTGCTGTTCATCTCACTGTCTCTCTTCCAACTTTACTCTTGGAGTCTTCAGTGAAGAAGCAGCATATTAATAGTTTCTATTTATGATGGTTATATATTACCTCCAGTATCAAGATTCAATGTGCCTGTCAATAGCAGTTGCTCAGGAATACACATGGAAAATCACTATTGTGGTCATCTTGTATGTCTGTGGGCTTCTTGTAGGCAGCTGGTGGCCACTGTGGGAACAGAATACTGGACTAGATCAGCCTTTGGTCTGATCATGCATGGCTCTAGCTAGTGTCTTACTTCTGCCTAAGATTACAGGCAATCTTTTTCTGTCAAATCCAAGAGTTTCTATTCAGTCCTTCATCTCCCTTGATCTCTCTGCTGCCTTTGACACAGTTTATTTATTTTTGCTTGACTACCTCTATATCTTATATATCTCTGATTTTGTTCTTACTGGTCACTCATTCAATATGCCCATTAGGCAAGGCCCTGCCTTTGTCTTCCAATTCACTGTTGAGGTCACTCAATGCCCTATTCTTGATTGTTTGCTTTTCTTCCTATATAACATGTTTAGGTAACTTTAGGACCACTTACATCTTGATAACATCCAAGTATACCTCTTTAGCCCAGATCTTCACAGTCTCACCTCTTCTGTCAGGGATGCTAAACCTCCAGACCAGGGCCCCAGTCCAGCCTTCTCTGCTAACTGTGCCCTTTCCTCTGGCATGGCAACTATTTTGTGAATGTCCCCTCCCAGGGCAGCCATTTTGTGAGAGCATCAACTAGACCAACAAACTATGACTAACAAGCCATTTTCAAACTGTGTCTTCTTTAAACAAACCATATGTAAAGTTATGAAGTTAGCTTTCTTAAACAAAGCTCAATTAATGTCAAGCACAGTTATTTTAGAGTGTAAGCTACCTGGAGGCAGGCAGCTCTCTATTTCGTCTCTTTTGTATTTTAAACATTTATGATCAGTCTCTAAGAACAAGTTCTCCCAAAAATCATGAAGAGAAGGAAAACAATCCTTTCAACAGAAAAAAGAGTTAAAACATAGTAGCTAACTGACATAAAATAAAATGAATAAAATTGTTACCCTTTAAATTGCTATGTTCTGCATAATGGTGCTGTGTAAATAAACAGATAACTACATATTAAATTAATATTATTAACTCATGTTTCAGAAAAGTTATTGATTTAGGATATGCAAAGATTACTTCACCATATAGCTGTTATGAGACTTTCTTATCATTCTGCTGATACAGCTAATCAAGCTGCTGAGACATCTCATTTTAGGATAATATTATCATTTGTATATGCTAGGAAAACTAGCTTGCCAAGGGGTTACATGCATATTGTAGTTAGATCCCACTGGTGTAGGGCTGTCCTATCTGTATCCACACACCATCTGGAGTTGTAAAAGACAAATGTTCGCCTCAAACAAGGCATACAGAATACAGTAAATCAACCATCTGTAAAAAAGAAACTTGAGGGACTTGGGGTCAATTCTGGGCATCTTTTCCCCACAACTGGTGTTCAGTTTTGTTGGCAGTGAGGAGGATAGCTGCTGTGGGCACTCGTTTTCACAGAGTGCTGGCTGCAGTTCCAAAGATTTAGAATTGGAATGTGATCAGATCAAAGGGGAACTGTGTGGAGGATGGGACAGGCTGCGACACTGAGATGAAGGATGTTGGACATGCGTACCTCATTGCCAAATTATTCGGGCAGTTCCTGGGAATAATCAAGAGGTACAACTGGTGGGGTTCTCAGATAGAGACCTGGTAGCCTCACCTCCTGACCCCTTGACAAGGTGTCACCAGAGGCCAATGGCCCAATTAAATTATTCCCATGCAGAGAAAAGGCATGCTTGCTTTAGAAGCCCCTCCCACAGGGTTGGGACCCAGGTATATTATTAAGGAAAGTTCCTGCAGGTAAACACTAGATTGGGCTCAACAAACCATTCTGTGCATGCTCAGAGATTCATTCTGGGTGATTTGTACTTGGGAGCAATAAAAAAATGTTTTGCAAGGAAAACAGTCTGTGTTTTTGGTCTGCTCCGAAGAACCTCAGCTGGTAACAAGTTCTGCAAATGACTTTACTCAGAATGCAACTGCAGAATCTATTTGTAGTATGGGAGGCTGGGGCAAGGCCAATTGTACTGAATCAAGGTGTTCTCTTCCACCATCCTGCTATCCTTATAAAGGGTTTAATCAGGGTGCAATCCTGTGCCAAATTAAGTCCCCACTGACCCTGGTGGAGCTTACTCTGGAGTAAACACGCACACAGGACTGTATCAAAGGTCCCTGCTCTCAGGGATCAAGTGATGTTTGCAATGCCTTACTGGTGAGGAGTGGTGAAAAGGAATGAACGGTGAATTACGACCAGCATCTATTGAGAGTTTATCTTCTGCTTCAAGAGTTAGGACACTGAGAGTCTAGAAGGGCATTCTTTGACCTCGGTGCTTTAACTAGGACTACTCTTATCGCCCGCGCTTTCAAAAGAGAGCCTAATAAAGGCCTAATTAACTTGTGCCTGCAGGTTACCACACAAGCCCTACTTTAATCGCACATTCACTTCCAACCTTGTTTGCCCTTGAAAGGTTTGGAAGCGGATGATGCCAGACAGCACCAGTCGCGGGCGACGGCGGAAGAGGGCGGCTCTAGTCTTTGCTCATCTGTTTTCAAAATGCCGAATTTGTGGGGGGCAGATGCATTCTTTTCAGAGATGGGCTACATCCTGGAAAACAAGTTAGTGCTACTGGGCCACGCTAAATGCACATCAGTGCTCTACTATCGCCCCCGTCCCTCGCCCCAGCGCCTCTGGTCATGGTTTCGCTGTTCTCCCGTCTTGTTCTCACACGGGGGCGCCGTGCATAAATCACGAACACAACCGCGGAGGAGGGCGGGAGCAACGCCGGAGCAGGCTCGGCCTTTCCTTCTCTCCTCGCGGAGCGGCGAGCGACGGCAGGGCTGAGACGCCTTGGCTGCGGCTGCCTCTGCCCTTCTCTCCCGCCTCCCTCCCGCCCGTTCGACTCACCTCCTTGTAGCGCCCGGAGCGCGCTGCAGCTTTACCCGCCCGTGGCGCGGTGCTCCGGCAGCGAGGGCAGTAGGCGTCTCGTCTCTCACCACAGCCCTGCCTCTTTGGGAAGCGATGCCGCGAGCGGCCGGGCTGGGTCGGGCAGCGTCTGCCTCGTCCTCTCGCTTACCGCCGGAAGGCGGGGGAAGCGTGACGGGCGGCGAGCGGGGCCGCCCGCGTGCGTGCACACCGGGAGCCGCGGCAGCAAGCAGCGCGGGCTGCTGCCGAATGCGACGTCCCCGCTCCGGTCACCCAGGGACGGCCGGGTGCGCGCGCGCGTGTGGCTTGATAGATAACCATGACGGGCCCCCGGGCTGTAACCCCTTGCTCGCTTAAGCGACATTAATGTGTTAATCATCAGTAATATACTACTGATACTAATCTTACTGTTGATACCACTGATAATTACCCCGCCTTTCTGCTCCTAAAAAGAGACTGCTAATGTGGTATGGGAGTTAGAATGCTGGACTTGGCACCCGCGAGATCCAGGGCCTGGCCCCTGCTCAGCCATGCAGTTCACTGGATGACTTCGGGCCAGTCTGGTCTCCCAGCCAAGCCTACCTCGCAGGGCAGTGTTTAAGGAGAAAATGGAGCTATAAGATGCCTTGGACCCCTCACAAGAGGAAAAGAGGCAGGATATAAACACAGTGCGATGATGATGATAATGATAATAAAAAGAAATAGAGGTGCTGACAATATCCTTGAAATAAAAACAACCAAACATGCTAGTAAAACATTCATAAAAGTATAATAAGAAAAAACAGGCATTTACAACCTGAATAAAGATCATCCCAACCCCCAATTAATTAAAATGCTAATTGGCTTCAGTGGAGAGGTATGGGAGGCCACAGGCTTGATCTAACACTGTGGGCTGGATCCAACTTTTTAGCCTGTACTTCTCTACCCATATGTTATACCAAGCTTTTAATTTTTTCTGATACTGACAGGTGGTGATCGGATAATTTTGCATGGATGGGAAAGAACCAAGTAGTCCCTCCCCATTCAATCCCTACTAAAAGAGCTGGTGCTTTAGAAAATACATGGAGTTGTGTCCAAAGTGTAAGAAGGCTGGATCTGATCAGCAGTGCATCTAAGAACTAGCTGCCCACAGAATCCTACAAGCTGGACATGAGTGCAGTAGCACTTTGCTACCCATATTTCCCCTCAGCTGGTGTACATGAGCATTCTGCCTCTGACACTGGAGGTAATCGTTATATGGTTTTCGGTGCCAGGTCAAGACCTTTTTATTTAAACAGCATTTTAATTGTTAGCTTATTTATTGATTTTATATCTTTGGCCAGGGCATTTCCAATTATATTGTTTTTATATGATTATATGTATTTATTGTTGTAAGCCACCCCTAGGCTTCGGCAAATGGGGCGGCATAGAAGTTTACTAAATAATAAATAATCATCAGGGTGAGTAGCCATTGAGAATCTTATTCTCCATGAATTTGTTCAATTTCCCTTTAAAGCAGTCCAAACTGCTCCATCCTGCAATTGAAGTGGTCACTGCTACACCCTGTGGAAGTGAATTCAGCAATTTAACTCTCTTCTGTGTGAAAAGGTTCTGCCATTTATCATCAATTTCTTACCAATCAGCTTCATGCAATGACTCAGTTCGTATATTTTGAAAGGGGGAAAAAATGTTCCCTTATTTACACCATGCAAAATTGTTCTACACCTCTTCCCTTACTTGCTTTTTCTTTCTATGCTAACCCATCTCAGATGGTGCAACCTTTCTTCAGAAGGGAGTTGCTTCAGTCCCATCATCATCAATTCTATTTACATACCACCCAAAAGCCAAAGCTCTCTGGCTGATTTACAACATAAAATACAATAAAAATATAACAATTAAAACAAACATTGCAATGAAAATGTACAAACATTTTAAACAGATTTTAAAATGGTGCATTTGCTTATACAAATTAAATAAGATTTGTTTAAGTAGCTGTTATGATGTGAAAACTAAATCTTAAATGCCCTGTCATGGAGGCCAGTCTTAGCCTGGCATCAGCAGGTGGGCTTTTTCTGCAACTGGGGGACAGGGACAACCACTGAGAAGTCCCTTTTTTGTTGCCACCAACCAAAGTCCTCAGAGGCCCAAGATCTTGGTTATAATGTCAACATATTTCAAGTTGGGAAAGGAGTTCTGTTGGGTACTGTGGTCCCAAACAAAGTAGATGAAAACCAGTACTTTAAAATAAGCTTAGAAGCATTTAGGTTGACAATAAAATTGGGCCAGAATTGGTATTATATGTTCAAACTGTCTCAACCCTGTTATTAATCTGGTTGCTGCATCTTACACAAGTTACAACTTCTAAACAATCTTCCAAGGGCAGCCCCACATAGCATGTATCTATAAATCTAATTTAGAGATTACCACAGTACATAGTATTGCATCCATCTATCCCTGTCCTATAGGGGAAGTAAGTGGGCAGCCATTGGAAGTAGGTGGGCCTCAAGTGAAAAAGATGGCTCAAGGAGCACCCCCAGGAATATGCTGCTTCAAGGAGAATGTGATTCCATCCAGAGCTGGTTGAATTTACCCTCGTAACTTCAGCCAGCCAGGAAGGATCCTTGTATCATACTAAAAGCCTGCTTGTGTTGTTCTGATGCTGTGCATGAGACAAGTATCACTGAATAAATTCATCTGGCACAAATTCATGTGTCTATGGATAGTGATTTTTATATTTAACACATTGCACAAAGACGAAGCCACACAGGATTGGTTACTCGTGGGCTGATCATGTACATTTTGGTATTCATTATCCAAAAGTGCTTGTCAAATTTATTGCGTCTCTCAGAGATTTGTTTAAATAAACATTTTAAAGTGAGGCTAAAATGAAATGGAAGGAATCAAATATTGGCATGTATCCCTCTGCTATGGTGCATATGGATGTACTGAAGCTTTCTCTCTAGTCCATTTAATGTTCAGCCTGTCAGCAATACGAAGGGGTTTTGAGATTACCTGTACAGGGTTATTTATTAACAAGCACAAGAAAAGTGTGCCTTGGTACCCTTCACCTTCTGCTTATTTATCTCTCTCAGACATTTGAACTGTTAACCTTTTCACTTAGCATCTTTCATGACCCCTTTTGATGTAATGTATTCATCCCTTTTCTCTATAATGTTATCTCTTTTGACCCAGTAATTATTTGTTATTGTTGTTAAAGTTAAACAGACCAAGGCTGCAATCTCACAGTCATTATTTACTTGAATGAATAGGGCTTACTCTTGAGTAAACAGGCATACTCTTGAATCATAACTACTAATTGAACTGCTGCAGCTCATCTAGTCAACTGTACAAGAAAATACTAAAATCATCAAATACAAAGGGTACCTTAGAAGCTACAAGTCTAGACATACTTACCTGGAAGTAAACCCCACTCAATAAAATAGAGCATATGCCTGCATAGATAGGCACAGGATTGTGCTCTAACAGATTCATGGTACAAACCTCTTTCCACAGAGTGGTCCCATTGAGTTCAATGGAGTTTACTCGAAGTTAAGTTTGTAAAGATTGCAGGGCTATTATAGAATAAGCTTTCATGTTGTAGAGTCCATTTCATTAGATGCATGAAAAATTATCCTCAGGTGGCAAATACAGTTAGGTATTTTTCCTGATGAGAATACACAGGGAAAAAGTTATAGAGTAGGGTAAAATTAAGTAATGATAAATCTGTGACATTTCTTAGTGCAAGAGGCAGAGTTCAAGCCTGTATTTAATCAATTAATTGCCCATTGGCTCCACAGATTATATTTTTTCTTGGATCCATATACATTTCATACACACATACTCATATATCTCCCAACCATAACACTTCATACATCTGATTAAATATGTTGCAAGTCCATAAGCACTCATGACACAATATTTTTTTTCCTTGAAAGTGCCACTTTTTTTGCATTTCCTCTAATAGTCCAACATAGTTATCCCTCTGAAAAGAACAATTTAAAATATAACAATTACAGCCTGGTGGTGCATTTTCTTCTCAACAATTTGATTCTCATCAGTAAGGGTGAAATTGTACACATTTATGTTCCAGTAAATCAGGCCTGAATAGGACTGTCACTTTTTAAAAGAAATGGTACTTGATCAGTCAAATTATTTTGAATGCATTAACCATGCCTACATTTGCATTAGACAAAACAACTGTTTTGAAACAAAAAAAAAAAACCTTTTGTTTATTGAAGAGGCCTTCTCTATTCACTCACAACTGAGATGTTTTTATCTTGGGAATGACTCTCCTTTCTCCTCTTTTTAGAAATCTAGTGCTTAATGAACTGGTATATCTTTTGATTTAAAGGTTTTCAAAAAATCAAGTAATCTAACCAATTAAATGTTACAACCTTCATTTTGGTCTAATTTTTCAAAGCAATTGCCTCCTCCACATCTTTAGTTTTACTATTTCTATTTTTTATTGGTATATCAGAGCAGTGCAGTGCTCTGAATCTTTCACTGCTTTTCAACAATAAAAAAGGTCAGGTCCTGTTCAGTTGTGTGTGTTGCAATGCCTGGTTGAGTCACAAATATATCTGACAGAGTACTAAAACAGATTTTTACTGCTGCGCCTGCTGTAAAAACAACAAACTTGCTCAGGAGAAGCATGCCAAATTCTGCAAATACAAATCCTAAACAGCAAAACAAGAAATTCTCCAGGAGAAGATCCAAAGTTCAAGCTGAAATAACTTATCAAGTGCTTGCACCAACAACTACTTTGGACATGTTCCCACCGAGAAGCTAAAGTATAGGTTTGGATGACACTTCAATTTAAAATCCACCTTTTAATCATTTTTTAAAGCCAGAGAAATTTAGAAAAGCGTAATCAGTTTGATGCAGCTTTGGAGCAAGCCAGGGCTTTGCATTCCTCAAGAGGTTCTGATGAGTTTTTAAAAAAACACAATTCATTATTTCCCAGACAAAACCACTATTCCCAGCAGGCTTCACTGACCCTCCAAATCCCGCTTTAGATTTCTACTCACAGGATTCTGATGAGATCAGAAGTAGCTGATTCACTTATTCACATTTTTAATGGACCCTCCTAGTCCAAATGATCAGGGAGCTGTAGCAATTCCCCTATGAGCAAGCTTTTCTTATTTTTGTTTTGTAGGGGAGATAATCTGGGAAACTTGGTAGAATTTTATAAAATTATGAACGGAGTGGAGAACATGGATAGCAGTTTTCTTACTCCCACATAAAATTTAATTTAAAGAAGTGGGATGTTGAGGGATTCAGGATTAAAGGAAGGCACTACCAGATGTAGTGAGAACGACCAACTTAGGGTACAATCCTATGCATGCTGTAGCTGGCTGAAGGATGCTGGGAGATGTAGACATTTTTCTGTCCAATGCCCGTAAGATTGTGTTCTTTCATGATTTTAAAAGATAGGCAAATTTGTGGAGGTCATGAATACTTCTATCAAAAGTAATATGCCTCTAGACCAAGGACAGGAAGCCTCTGAAAATGGGCCTGTTCCAGCCAAAGGTTTCCCATAGAAGTTCTAGAGCAGTGGTGGCGAACCTATGGCATGTGTGCCACAGTGGGCACGCAGAGCCCTCTCTGTCGGCATGTGAGCCAGTTCTCCCCAGCATCACCCCAGCATGCTCAGAAAGTAGTGGTGCCAGGCGATAACATCACAAGCCGCGACTCATTAGCTATGACTCATCTAAGCTTTCGCATGGCTGGTGAGTGCACTGCCAAGGATAGATAGATAGATAGATAGATAGATAGATAGATAGATAGATATTTGCTTGGACTGGCTGGGAGGTGTTTTTTCTAAACTAAAACCTCTGTTTTCAGGTTTTAGTCTAGTGTTGGCACTTTGTGATAAATAAGTGGGATTTGGGTTGCAGTTTGGGCACTTGGTCTCTAAAGGGTTTGCCATCACTGTTCTAGAGGTACCTACTATGTCAGTTCAAATTGAATGAATAGATTGCTCATTGCCAAAAGTCCATTAAATGTTTGTTGCAAGACGAGGTGAAAGTATGTGTGGCCCTCCAATTGCTAGTAGATGGCAATTTCCATCAGTCCTAGGTAGCAGAGCCAATAGTGAGGGATGATGGGAGCTGAAGTCTGTATCTGGAAGGACAAGTATTCCCCATGCCCTCCATAAAATATGTGTGCAGGGAGCTTCTATATGCAAGGATGGACGCTAATTAGCTAGGGATCCCGAGACAAGGTAGGCACTCTCCCTGCAGACATCTGTGTGTATGAAGAAGTCCTTCAAGCAGATATTAACTGGGAGAGCAGCCCAGTGGTGTGCCAGGACAGCAGCGAGTGGTTTCTTTGTGCAGCCCCCTCCACACATTCACCTGGCACATGGCAGGAATCAGGCATAAGCTCCTGAATACCAATTGCTGGCAAAGCAGGTGACAGCTATTGTAGTCATGACTTTCACCATGTGACCTTTGGATAGGCATCTTTTCAACTGCTGTGCGGAACAGGATACTCAACTAGATAAGCCCTTTGTCTGATCTAGCAGCACTTCTCTTATCTTGTAGTAACTAGTTTGAAACAAACAAAGCTTGTATCCTTGCTTTCCACTTTCTCTGGAACTGCAGTCTTTCACTCACTTCTGCAGTGAATTCCAATGAGGTTCTTGCTAATCTGTTGCCTTCCATTATTTTCTTCACTGTCTTCCCATCTTTTTTCAGACCTGTCACAGTCATTTATTTTACCATGGGTAATGCCCAACTGTGATTTTGCATTAGTAGAAAGCTTGCAGTTCTACTTCCAAAAGTCCGGGAACCCCATTTTCACAGCTCCTGAAAGATAATCTGGAGGTTATAACCCCAACCCTGTATATGGGAGACAGCTGTAGCAGGTACATGGGAAAAGTCCGATGTCTCACGTTGCATTAGAAGTGCATTCCAGCAATGTAAAGTCATTCAGTACAGTCGTTGCAACTGTAATGCCAGCCTATCTAAACAAGGAAATGTGCTGCTTTTGACTCTTCTGTGGAACTTTGGAGCAGGAAGGAGAGGATGGCAGTGAGAAAGAAGCTTGTCTACCAGGATCACAGGAGGGGTGAAGGAAGCCATCCATGTCTTGCAGGTTCCTGTGTCACTTGGGGGCAAAGGGGATGAGGAAGCCTCCAGGGACCCGGCCTCGGGGCCCTGCAGGTTTTAGCAGCACCAGTGCTTAGTGCCCAGTTGTTGCTGCCAATGGAAGAGGCACTTAGCACACAAGTGGTCAGTGAAACCCTGGCTTAGTGATGTGACTCATTTCACTCTTGTCCTCTCCCATCTGCCTCAGTCCTTCTCTGGACCCACGAAGGCCAATCCTCCCTCTCCTCTGAACATGCACTGCAAGTTGAACTTATTCTTTTAAAAAGTATTTCTAGTTTTATGCAAATACAGAATGAGGAAATGGTGTTAAGGGTGATGGCAGGACTGAATGCCAGTGGCTGTGAAAAAGCCAGTACCAGGAAACAGACAAATGAAAAATTTGAATCATGGAGAAACTTGCTGTCCTGAATCCCAAGCATGCTCTCTAAAGAGCAAGCTGCATTCAACCAAATGGTGGAATTACTTCTCAATGCATGAAGCTTGCACTATTGATTGGCTACAGGTACTACAAGACTGTAATGTGGAAGGTAAGAGCCCATAGCACAAATCACCCATCATACACTCACTTGATGACTGCAGTGTCCCACACCACTAGAACTGACAGGACCAAAGCATGGGGTATCTTTAGGTACGTCTTCAGCACAGAACTTTGACAGGTAATTAGGTTTGATTGCACCAGAGTAAGGGAAAAAAGTTTCTTATTCTACATGTTCTATTTATCATTGTTTATGTTCAGTGTTCATCATGCTTTATAACTGTAATGCTTTGAATGCCTCTTAAAGGTAGCATCTGGAAATAAGAAGGGAATTTTGATGGAACCAAGCACCCATACAGCCTGTTCTCCAGTTTGGTGAATTAGTGTGGTTGTTAAGAATGTTGAACTGGGGAGCCAGGAGATCTGGGTCCTGGACCCCACTTGGCCACAAAGCTCACTAGCTCACCTTGGGCCAGTCATCTGTTCTCTGCCTAACCTACTGCACAGTTGACATGAAGATAAAACAGAGTGGAGGAAGACTACATGACCCACCTTGGATTCTCTGCAAGAGAAAAAAGGCAGGAAATAATAATAAATTTTCTTGGAAAGCTCAATCAGATCCATATACCTGCTTAGCTTCAGCAAGACTGTTGCTCTTAGGTTTTCAGAAACTTAACTCAGCTTTGATATATGTTCAGCAATACATTTATTCATCCTGTCAAATCAGGAAATGTTCTGTGTAGTACATGCAGTAAAACATTGGACCAAATGTTAAAAATAAATGGAGAAAGCTCTGTATGTAAAAGGCCAGCTTGAGGGTTTTGATAGAGAATGTAAACTGTTGAAATAAGTTGCTTAGAAATAGGAAATATAATTTTATAGGAACAATTGCTATGAAATGAGAATGAAGCCGTTCCCAAACTAGGGCCCTCTACATGCTCTGAACTACACTTCCCAAAATCATACAGCCAGCATAGATTTTCCAATTCCCCACTGTGTAACAGCAGCAACAACCACAAGGCTTCCCTCCCCAATTAGCTTGCTTTAAAGAGTGCTTGGAAGAAAAACAGGAGTGGGGGTTTTATGAGTAAAAAAGTGAGCTTGGATCTGGCACTGGTCACAAGTTTCTGGGCTGAGCAGTACCCAGTCCCTTGATTCTTAATATACATTCACCCACTAGTTTGCACCTGTGGTTGGTGGTCCTTAAAGATTCCAGTACAAAAGAAAATAGATGTCACAAGCCTAACCTCTGTGCAACTCTGATATAAGTCAGGACGGGCAGAAGGCAGAACTCCAGCATAGCCAATGGCCAGGAATACTGGAAATTGAAGTCCAAAAAATATCTTTCAGGGTATTTGTGGCTATCCCTTGATCTGGACATACACTTAGATGAGCATATGGATACTTGGTATACTCAGGCATTAAGTTATTCAGAGACATGATCGTTGAATGCAAAGAAAAGTACATAGTGATGTGCTTCAATCATTGAATTGAATCAGGATGCTGTTTCAGGACAGGCAGCTATTTTCATTTTGAGCCTAATGCATTAGCTGATTTATTGCATTGCTTGTTTTTAGATTTAACACAGATAAGCATTATTGTGATAAAAGGCACATTATTGGTGTCAAGAGTTTCCCTGAAAAAGACTGTAACCTGTGAGACTTTGGAGAAGTTCACATAGATAAAACTGATGAAATATCAGCATTGTGATTTGTTTTAATAAACTTGTATGGCAAAAATGTTTACTGCCTCAATACAACAAAAGTGGGATTACTTTCAGCCTGTAAAGATGATCCCAAGTACATATTCAGAAGTAAGCCTTACTGAGCTCAGTGGAGCATACGTTTGTAGCCTTAGGGAAAAGCTAAATTTATTTAGGGTTTGAAGAAAAATGAGTATTGGCAGCAAAGCAAAACATGCTTGAATCTATAGTCTAGAAGCCATCTGTGCCCAACTTGTTGCAGCATTAACATCACAGCCTGATCTGATCCTCCGTAGTTTCTTCCTAAGGCACGGGCAAAGCAGGATGCTTTTACAAGCCAAAACCACTATTGGAATAACAACTGCTATCATAAATGTAGGGGGAGTGTACCACAGGAACTGGCCTACGTCGATCCACTTATTCCATGCAAAAACTAGTGCATGAACAGTGCACAGCAGCAGAGCTACGTATCCCATCTTGCTCTAGAAAGGAAGGAGTACGTGACAGGTTAGTTTTTAAAGTGGAAAACACACATGTTGTGATAGAAAAGGATAGAAAGGATAGAATCATACAGTTGAAACAGGCCTAGTAGGCCATCAGGCCCAACCCTGTCTCAATGCAGGACTCAAGTTTACAATCCAAACACTAACCAAGCTTCACCCCACTGAGCTTCCAAGATCAAGATCAAACATTTCAGGCTATATGGAAGCTATACAGTTCTGACTGCTAGCTTTCCTTTAGTTTCCAGGACAAGTTAGGTCAAATATCATCTCTTTGTTGTGGCAGACTTTGTTGTGGCTGATGTTCCAGGTTTTTTTTTCCCAATCCAATAAAATAGCAAAGGACTTATTTGTGCGTGTCCCAGCGGGTTAAACTAGCAGATTAAACTGTTTACTTGCAAGTAGATTACTTATGAAAAGGATTTCACATGTCCCTTGACAGTAAGAAGTATTAATACTAGCTGAATTCTTCAGGCCTCATCAATTGGCAGTGGGATAGAACATATTCTGAACATACTGCATCCTGTTTGGAATTATCCTAGGCCTGATCAATGGAAGCCATCAAAGAAGAATCCTATTTTTAGCATTGAGATTTTCCACTGTCAGGATCAGAGACTGAACCTCAAACTGGTAATACATAAAAGTATGTGTCTGGCCAATAAGGAATCACTCCTCACCCATCGCTCCCCATTATATGGCTTTATTCACATGTACCTGAATATAATGAAACTCTCTCCAGGTCAGTGAGTGGCTGACAGATGGAATTGATGTTACTGCCAATAGAGCCAATATAGCGAGTCCCAGAATTCCTAGAGACACATAAATCTCCATTCTCCAGACATCATGCTCAATCCAAGCATTCTCATTTTTCTTCTTTACCTGTAGGGAGAACACTGCATTTTAACATGTGTCAGAATTACACCTTAAAGAATCAAATGTATTTAGGATTCAGTGAAAGCTGGCCAGCCACATTTTTTTTTTTTTTTTTTTTGCCTGGGATGTAACCTCTGCTGCATCATGCAGAAACCTTAATGTGAAGCAGATTGTATATGAAGGCATCCATTTCCATGATTACAAAAGTCCTTTTGCAGTTATGGCTATCACAAGAACAGCTATGGGCTGTTTTTATACAAATCCCATTTGCATTGAGGTTTCCCCTCGCAGAAGTGCATGTATATAGTAAGAGTTGCATGGCTAGCCAGGAAAAAAAATCCACCCCTTTGCATCTATGAGCCAGCCCACACCTTGATTATGCCAATGTTATTGAACAATAATGCTGAACAAACAATACATGTGTGGCTTTGCTATTGTTTTCTTTTCATTTGCATGGACCCTAAATTCAAGCATGGTCACATTTCTGACCCTTAAACAAAGAACTGTTTAAGTTGCATCAGCCTCAGTCAAAAGCAAGTTAATTAGATTGAGAAGTATTTACTTACTTCAGCAAATTTTTGACTCCAAGGAGCCTTGTTCCAATTCCTTTTTAACTTGATTTTCCCAGCAGGATCTGCCTTTATTTGCTGACAAACGGAATTCCATCTAAGGCTAAGTGTAACCTTTGGCAGATGCTAACAACAGGTAAAGCACTAAGAAACAATATTTTAAAGCAGCTGATCAGCAGGCATTCTTGACAATTTTTGTCATCCTGCCAGAGCAGCCAAAGAGTTCAGATGCTTTCAAAAACACTAGGAAAGAGCTGTTTCCAATAACGAGCTGCCACGAATTACTTACTATATTTATATCCCACCTTTTCTCCCTCCTGCAAGGAATCGAAGGTAACTCACAATTCACCTTCTCTCCATCTTTTCTTCACAACAACAACCCAGTGACATCAGTTGGGCAGAGGGTCAATGACTGGCTCAAAGTCACCCACTGAGTTTCATGGCTGAATGAGGACTAAACTTTATCTCCCAAGTCCCAGTCCAACCATCTAATAGCTGAACCATGCTGGATCTCCTGTTTTCAGTATTTAGAATTAATGGGTGCAAACATAGTTTTTTTTTCACTTTCTGGAAGGTACTTTATACTCTTCTGACTCTGGCCATAGCTAAGCCATCTAAATTACTCCCCATCAACACATTTTGGGGCAATGTTTTCCAGAAGTTAACTAATCAGCACTTGCGAAAAAACAAAAGGGAAACAAAAGATCTCTTTTTGCATGCTTGGAAGCAACTGGAGATCAATTTCATTGAATGACTCAGGTCATTAATGGTTTGAGAGATGAAGGTTTCTCTTTATTTATACTTCAAAGGTAGGCAGCTTAGGGCACATCCAGATTTTGAGATTAAAATTCTCATAGCCACTGGCTATGCTGGCTGGAGTGGATGACATTTGTCCAAAACATCTGGAGCACACTAGGTCATCTGCCTTATTTTGACTTGCCTGGGATTTATTTCTCAGTAGACATGTATAGGGTTAAAAAGAGAGCCATACTAGGTCAGACTGAGCTTCATCTAGTCTAGCATTCTTTTGACAGTGTCTAACCAGCTGTCCATGGGAAGCCCACAAGTGACATGAGTGCAACATTACCCTCCAACTTGTGTTTTCCAGCCACTGATCTACAGAGACATGATGCTTCCAATATGTGATCTAGCATATAGCTATTTATTAAAAATGTTTTAATAAATAAATAAATAAATAATCCCACCTATTTTTCCTGTCAAAGAACTCAGGGTGGCTTACATGGGTCTCCTTTCACTCTTACTCTGGTACCAACAACCTGTGAGGGAGGTTGGATTGAGAGTCTGTGACTGGCCCAAAGTCACCCACCTCCATGGCTGAGTAGGGACTAGAACCCAGATCTCCTGAGTCCCAGTCCTGCACTCTGAGGATTAGTTGCCATTATCCATATCCTCCTTGAATTTGTCCAATCTCCAAAAGTCACCCAATCAGTACATCTTATGTTAGCAAATTCCATACTGTTTGAAGAAATAATTCCTTTTATCTGTTCTGGATCTCCTATCATTGAGCTCCACGGGACTGCCCCATTGGGTTCTAAGAAAGGAAGAAAACTCTGAGTTTTAGGAGAGTGGTATTGTGCTGCCAGTTGCCCTTTCTATCATTTCTGCAATATCAACTCCAAGACTGGACAACCAAAATTGCATATAATGTTCCAGATACAGACATATCATCCACTTACACACATTTAAGAGCAATATAAAACCAAATGGTATACCTGTTGATATGCCCAGTTTAAGAGTTTGTATCTGTATGATCTCCTCATTGGATAGCACAAGCTGTAACAGGCATGCATTGAGGCAAAAAAGAAGCTAAGAAGCCCAAACTGCTTTCGTGATAACATCCATCTGTCCAACCACTGTGGAAAACGTCTATACTTGGTGCCATAATGAAGCTGGAAAACTGCAGCCAGTATTCCTGGTAAATAAACCAGAGCCAAAAGGGTAATTGAAACCACTGGTAAGACTTTGTTTATCACCAGGATTGGAATTTTATAAAATACATTTTCTTGAGCAGTTACAAGAGGATGGATTACGTCCCTCAGGAAAGTGTAGATAAAAGTGGACAAAGATAGTACTAGTGCTGTCTTCAGTGGTATATGCCAGTTAGGGAAAAGGTCACATTTATCTTGAGTATTGGGAGGAGATTCAAACTCATCAATATAATTTTTTTGCTGAACATGGGGAAAGGCAGCTGCTTCAGGTGTTCCAATCACGTCTACATCCATCATCTGAAAATGAGAAAACATAATACTTAATCCTAAAAGGGATTTAAAAGTTTGTACCAGTATTAGTAGATCCTTACATTGTTTTCCTTTGTAGACCTGCTTATATGCATGCTATTTGGAGCTGCACATGAAGTTTTAGATTTCAGGAATTTGGCTACATTATCGGGGTTGAGCTTAAGGTTAAGGTTACATTCCAAGTAAGGTTACATTCCAAGTGCCCCTTTCACTCGTAATTTGAGGCACCAATGTCTAAATTTGGGAATCTTGCCACCTCCACAGATCATATTTCTTCACCAATCCTTTACGAAGCCAGGTAGCTTGAAAAAACAGAACAACGCAATTCAGACTGCATGAGAATATAATGGAATCACTGGATTTTGTGACACAATCATCTGAACAGGCACAGAAGTATCATTTTTATCTTCTGGACAATAGTAGGTCATTGAATTGTACTTTGAAGGTGGATGTTTCTGCAACGAGAAGAACTGGGTTGCTATGTCTATACAGCATGGACTTCCATACTAGGATGTATTGCAGCAGGTGAGTTCTTCCCCACCATACCACTGAAATGGTGAGGGAAAACACAGTATATAGCTGCTGTAATTCTTTATTCTACTCAATGATTAAAAGGGATCTTTCCCCTATATAGAATCAAAGAATAGTAGAGTTGGAAGGGGCTAGAAGGCCATTGGGTCCAACCATCCACTCAGTGAAAGACACCAAGTTAAACCATCCCTCTCAGATGGCTGTCCAGTTGCCAGCATAGCCAGTGGAGAGGCAGATGAAAGTTGTGAGCCCAAACAGCTGGAAAGTCTTCAAGCCAGCTACTTCTGCCTTATCAGCTGTTCTTCAAGTAATTTTCAGCATAGCTGGCTGGGAAATGTTGGGCATTTTGGGACCTTCCCACCTCTATTTAGGAATGACCCTTAATTTCTTTACAATTTAGCCCACTGGGTTAAAAACACTTTGAACTCAAGAAGACAGAGCAGTAGACAATTGAAGGACGGGGGATGAGTATTATGTCCCATGAATCAAGGCAGGGGTGGTCAGACTAGGCTTGTCAGACCTACCTTAATTTTTTCCTAGAAGCCCAAGATCTACTAATCAGACCCTGGCACAAAGGTCACAAACTTTGAACTGAAGAGCAGTCTGTTTCACAGCATGTTCTCAGCCTATGCCTAAGAATTTATTTTCAATACCAGAACTGAATGGAGCGCAGTCTTTTCACACAGAAGTCTATTCCTGATTACCCCGATATTTCTGGGAGTCAGTGTGATAGGGTGGTCAGAGTATCAGAAGGAAGAGCCTGGGAGATCCAGGTTCTAGGCCTCACTTGGCCATGAACATCACTGGGTGACTTTGGGCCAGTCACTACTCAGGGTTGTTGTATGGAGGGGAAAGTGGAAGGATGACTAAGTAAGTCCAGAGGAAAAATGGTGGGATATAAATGCAATGTAATGCCAATAATTTCTGAAACCTAATCTAGGTTGTAAATGTATTTGTTATTCCTCTTGCAAAGAACCCAAGGTGGCTTACATAATCCTCCTCCTGTCCATTTTTTTTTGTTGCAACAGCCCAATGAGGTAGGTTAGGCTACAAGTCAATGACTAGCCCTAAGTCTCACAGTGAAATTTGCAACCATATAGGAACAAGAATCTGGAACCCTAGTCACCATACCACAATGGCTGAAAACCATGTTGTTGCTCTATTGCTAAACAACTGAGAGACAGAAATTCTTGCATCCAGTACAACACACCCAAAGATCTACAAGTGGGGATCCCAATCAACCGCCCATCCTGAGTAAGTTAACAAAAAAATATTTCCTTCAAGCCACCAAAACACCTACCAGAGCACAGAAAGTTTAGGTTTTATAACTTAAGACAAACTAATACAAAGATGCAAGTTACCAAATGGTTGACATTCTCACAAGCTCTTTCAGGATCCATCTTCTGATCTTCATCCTGTTCCATGTTTTTGACTTATGACTGTTCTTGTCTCTATGGCACTGGCTCTCTGCAAGACAGTTTCAAGAGAATTTCATTTCTTTGATCTGTCCTACTTTATGACAGGCAAAAACGCATAAATAATCAAATGCACTGTTTGGCCCAACTAAACCCCTCCCCTTTCTAACAAAGAATAAAATCTTGTTGTAGTGGCAGCTAAGCTGAAAGTCCAAGAATTTCCTGGTATAAATTCACTAAGCACAAGAACTGGAACTTGGAATTTCCCTTTGTTATTACCAAACCTTCATTCTGTATTCATCACTGTATTTCCAAACAAACATGAGTTCAAAATGTAACTTCTAATATTTGAAATGTGAGATGATCCCTATTCTAATAAAGAACTTTTCATCAAACAGGCAGTAGTCATTCAAATAAGCAAGTAGCTATACAGGCCATTAAAAAAAAATCCAAAATCCAGATTAATTAATATCTACTAACTAAAATCCCACAAATGGTTGCACACTGTTTGTTGACCTTTAGCTTGGCCTAAAAAAATCCTAATGTGGATAAGGATTTTTATATCATTATTACATTACGCAAGTGTATATACAGGAAAATCATCCTAATGGGTGTGACAGAAATATAATAAATACTGATAATGATGTGTATCCTGCTTTTCTTCCTCTTGCATGGAACCCAAGGCACCTTACAAGGTTTTCCTCCTCTCCATTTTATTCTCACAGCAACATGCCTGTGAATTTAGGTTAGGCTGGGAGTCAGTGCCTGGTCCAAAGGTTACCCAGAGGGCTTCATGGCCAGGACAGGACAAGAGCATCTCCTGGGTCCAGCACTCTTCACCACTATACCACAATGGCTCTCACTAGTGGCTTAGTGTCTGCATACAATGCTTGGGGTGTTTTATCCCCAGCCAGCGGCAGCTCCAAGTTTCTGAGGGCCCCTGGGTGACACCCTTCAATGGGCTTCCCCCCTCATTGAGTCAAGCTACCCACAACCACCGACATCAGCTGCTACTGCTCTCCAGCCTCTCTCCTCACCACTAGCCCCAGCTTACTTGACAGGCAGAGAGCCAGTGGCAATTCCCGCTCTTCCTTCTCACCCCCAGTTGTCTCAACCACAGCAAGAGACTGGTTGTACTGGTGAAGTGGGGTAGGAAACTCCCTGGACCTCAGCTGGTGCCCAAACTTGCCTCCTCTTGATGCCAGCTCTGTCTCCAGCCCCTTCCCAAATGCCACAACTGTGGCTCTAAACACTGTAGGGATATTAAGCTACCCCCAAATCCACTCCTTTATTGTTCTGTTTGGGTTTAATTTTCTACATGACTCACATAGGACAGAGAAGAAGGCTCAGCAACTAGAGTTCTCTTCTTTCTCCCAAATGCTAGGAGCAAGAAGAGATGAAAACAAAAGAAACTATTTCTCCATGCTGTTGTAAGTGAAAGGAGCTGATTTTATTGAGGTGAAAGGGGAAAAATAGAAATTAAACAGCATCTTTGCTTCAGGGCATCTACAAAGTCTTGATCATCTTCCTCACATGGGTATGATAAAAACAAAGATTACTGTGTATCCCAGATTAAAAATACCAGCTGAAGAAGCACAATGTTAGAGACCCCTATTCGAGACGGAGCATGCTTCACAAAACAATTCCAGACTGCTTCAGCAAGCAGTGACTTCAGGGTGGTGTCCAGACACTTTGCCAGAATGCCTTTCATCACTCTGTGCAGATGTAAAATGGCAAAACTGTTGCTATGAATGCACTCAGACTTAAATTCTTTCATGGTTTAAATTCTGCAGAAGTGGCCTACAGCTTGTACCTGTGGTGCAGTTAGAATACAATCCCTTGCTAATTGTGTTTTACATACCCTCAGGGCTCTTGGCTGTCTAGACAGGGATGCTAGAAGTGGACACATTACAGCTATTGCTCCAATTCTTTCTCAGTATTTATTTGGCACCAGCAGTGTGGGACTCCGGGGGATGGTGGAGAACAGGAAGGCCTGGAGGAATGTTGTCCATGGGGTCGCAATGGGTCGGACATGACTTCGCGACTAGCAAGAAGAAGTGTGTTAGGTGCTACACAGAAAGCAACACAATCAATCCTAGAGGGCTTACAGTTTTTATATCAATTACATGGGGCAGCTACACAGGAATGGAAAGATATAGGTTAGGAAAAATCAAGTGGTAAACCTTAGAGCAAACACTGCAGTCTTACATATGTTTACTCAGAAACAGAGACCAGTGGAGCATAGTTCAGGAAAATTGGAATAGGTAGGACTGCAGCCAAAGTCACAAACAAGACTATCAACACATTTGGTATGGAGCAAGTGCCAGTGAATACAGTAGAATTTATTTCTAAGTAAAGGATGTACTAAATTCACTATTTTTGGTTTTTAATTTAGTGAAAGCAAAACCTGGACTTGTCAAATTCTTCAAGGAAATAAGTATTCCTAACAATCCAGTGAGAATAAAATTCCCAGCTACAATGTATGATAAATTTAGGACATATGACCAGTTCTGTCCTATCTTAGCTAATACAATAGGAAAGTCCAAATCCTAGGCAAAGAAACAGAATTTCTCTGGCAAGCTGTATTCTCTGCATACTTAACTGAACTTGGTAAGACTCATGATTAATCTGCAAAACAGTCAGAAACAGTCCTTAATTAGCACCTAACAAAACTTGCCAGGAATCTTTCTCTGATTAAAAGTTGGGGAACAATTTAGATTGGAATCATGGCAGGGTGGGGGATTTTTACCCCTCCCCTCACATTTTCTCATTCTCCCTCTTCTGCTGGTGCAGCAAAAGCACTGCTCCAGGCAGCTAAAATGTGTCTAGTGATAAGACTGGCTTTCCTCCAGTGTCAATGCAGATGGTGTAAAGCAAGGAACCTACAATCCCAGAAATTAAGCCCAAAACAAACAAACCAACCAACGCCCTTCAGCGAAAAAAACCCAAAAAAACTCATAGAAGGGGAACCAATTTGGATCGAGCATATACGGAAGAAAAACATGGTGGATGCTAGAGGAACAGTCTTGGAAAAGAGCTTGAGTGCCAGCTACCCAGAGCAGAAGCACCCCACATTGCAATATTTAATTGTAGGAGATCGCACGAGAAAGAGCTATGTCTCATTCCATGCCTCTTGGAACGGCAGGCTTTGCCCTCCTGACTGTAGAAAGAGAACCAACCGCATCTTATAACCTTCTGCACACATTTCATTTCTGTGGGCATCTGAGCTGTGCAAACAGAAACTTGGACTAGCTGGACCCTTGGACTGATCCAGTAGGGCTCTTCTTAAGCTTCTAAGAGTTCTTGTTAGATTGCAGAGGCAGTTCAGATTTAAGCAAACAAGTTTTTTTTTTTTTTTACCGTCTGTAAGAAACAAGTTTCCCGTACACATGTACCAACCCACCCATACGTCTCTTGCGCATTTTGTACCTTATGACGTGGGCAAGCCCGTCACGGGTCTTGCTCCATCACCCCTTGTTGATGAACGCATTTATTTATTTATGCTTTGTAAGTGTACCCTATTTACACGGCGGGGCGGGAAAAGCTCGCGAGGAGGGCAGCCATTGGCCCACTCCGAGGCTGGAGCAGACCGAGGAAGCGCCGGCGCTGGAAGTTTGCAGCCGCCTTCTGAGAACCATCTGCGGCTTCTCAGCAAATCTTTGGATAGCGGCGACGTGTCCTTCCAGCCCGACTCCGGGAACATGCAGCTCTCCTCCACGTGCCGGCCCGGAGGAGCGGGACGCTGCTCCGAGAAACTTACAGCTACTTACAACTTTCCTCTGTCTACAGGCTGGGCAAGGTGGGCAGCGAAACGAGCCGCAGGAAACGCACTGCTCCAGCCAAACCGGCGCCTCGTCTCAGCTTCGCAGGTCTGCCGGTTCGGCCTGAAGCCACCGCCGCCTACCCCACCCCTTCCTGCTCCGCCTTTAGTATCCATCCGGCCCTCTCGCGCCTAGCCGGCTCCGCCCCGAGGAGCTGCGGATTCTCACATCCTCAGCTAGCACAAAGTTTGGGCTCAGTTGGAAGGAAGACCCAGCTCGGATTGCGAGTAGGGTTGTACACCGCAACCTGGCGCGCTCTGGGTGGATTGGACTACAACTCCCAGCTGGCGAAGATGCGTACCGTTGTAGTCAAACACATCTGGGAGGGCGTCCAATGTTAGCCCTACTTCGAATAGATCGCCTGAAATAACAAGAATAATCTAAGGCTCATTCATTTGCATGGGTCTATTCTAAGTAGGATTATCATTGGATACCACCAGAAGTTTTATATTTTCGTTTCTGTACGCCTGTGCGCGTGCAAAGTATGATCTCTCTGTCTCTCTTCCACACAGGCACAAAAAACCTGTGGCGCTGTAGGCCAGTCCTGCAGAGTGCTCTGTAATGTCCGCCCAGAGAGCAGCAGTTGGCAGGGCATCAGGGCTGCTTAAGCAAACTCCATGTGCAGGTGCTATGATTTAAAGGAGTCCAAAATGCAAACCCACACATGTTAAATACTAATTTAAAAATCAGTTTTGGCCACCACTTCCTTCAGGTAGTGTAGTTGCTGTAAGGTATCAGAAATGTAGAAATGCTGAGAAAGCAAGGAATAGCAGCAATGGGAGCAGAAGCAGAGACTGAAGTTTTGGGTCAAAATTGCACACCACTGCATGCAACTCTCAAATTCGGAAGAACCAGTAAGGGAAATAGCAGCATGCTTGGGAATCTGTTGGTTCTAGAAATGTCCCTCTCCTCAAAGGGGGCAAAACCTCCAAATGCACACATAGCCCAATGAAAACTAAGCATGCTTAGCAGGCTCATCTGGCCATATCCAGATGGGTGTGTGAAACTTGCTGCAAAAGATGCAGCACTAGTGGAAATTAGTTTCTGGACCGTTTGAAGACAGAGAAGCCAACAAAAGGATGTTGAAAACTGTGCTAAAGCTGAGGTAGATGATGATGTCCACAGTGTTCCTGCAGTCTGTTTGGGAGGTTACCCAGTCAGTCTAACAGGATTTATTTTGGATAATTCTATGTTGGTTTTTATTAATCACTGTATTTTTCCAAGGTCCTTGCAGACTGTTTATTAAATAATTTGTTCCAGAATTTTTCCAGGGGTTGATGTTAGACTAACTTGTCTGTGGTTCCCAGGTTTGTCTCCCCGCCCCCACTTTTTTTTTTTTTTTTTTTATTTGGGGTTATTTTTTTTTTTTTTTTTTTTCTCCCCCCCCTTTTTTTTTTTTTTTTTTTAATATGGGGGCAATGTTAGCTCTTCTTCAGTCATCTGGCACCTCTTCTGTTTTCCAAAATTTACTGAAGATAAAGATAATAGCTGGGGTTCTGAGAGTTGCTCTGCTAGCTCTTTGATGACTCTTGGATGGAGTTCATTAGACCCTGGATATGTGAACCATCTAGATATTGCTTGACCATTTCTTTCAATCTTCAGCTGTCATTTCTCACTTATAGCTTGTATTTCCTTTTTGTTGTAGATTTTCTTGTGGGAGAATACTGAGCTGAAGTAGAAAAAGAGCGCCTCTGCCTTTTCCTTGTTGTCTGTCATCATTCTGCCATTCACTTTGAGTAGCTGGACACCTTCCTTTTTGACATATCTTTTGGATGTATCTGAAGAAGTCTTTCTTGTTCTTAGCATCCCTTGCTATTCTCAGTTCATTTCCTGCTTTAGCCTTCTTGATGCCATCCCTGCAATCCCTTGCTGTTTCTTTATATTCTTCCTTTGTGGCCTAGCCCTGCTTCTACCTTCTGTACATGTTCTTTTTTGCTTTCAGGTTGTCACTTAACTTTTTGTAGGCCCATGGGGACTTCCTCTGTTGTCTTTCAGTTTTTTCTTGTTGGAATTGTTTGTAGTTGTGCTTGGAGAATCTTCACTGATAGTATTCCTGCATTCCCTGCATTGTTACAGTGGCTTATTCCCAAGGGAATTAGGATTCCTGACTCCTAAAGAATTAGAAGACATCCTAGAAGAAAGACTTCCTAGAAGAAAGGTCCAAACCCCACTGGAGTGCTATTGATTCCATACAGAGATTGGGTTCAGACACTGAAGTGTTGAATATGGCTGGAGTGTGGATTGTCATTGAACCATGGGGCAGCACCACAGCAAAGCAAGCCCACCAGAGCCTATGAAGGAAAAAAGCCCTCCACGAGAAGTCTGCCCAAACCTGGAGCTGTCTCCATCACAACCTGTGCATGGGTCCCTTTGGAAGGGAAAAGGGAAGAAAACCACATGGTTGCAAACAAGAAAAATTGGAAGCCATGACAGGAGGCAGCAGAATGAGCTGCCTGGTAGCTCAGTGGGAAAGGGCCTTTCCCAGCAGGGGTGCACAATCTGTCGGGTCCTGTGGGCCCTCTGATTACTAGAGTGGCAGGGGCTGCACGTGCGCGCGCGCGCACACACACACACACACACGCACACCAACCTTTTCATGCAACACCCACAGGCTACACCATTTTGTTATTCTGCTCCAATTCAAGGCTCTGGGGCAGCCTCCCAACGTTACAACATCTGGAGATGTTTAGCTGAGAAGAAAGGCAAGGAAGGGGAGAAATAATAAAGGTGTACAAAATTATGCATGGTGTAAAGAAAGTGGATAGGAAAATATTTCTCCCTGTCTCTCATAATACTGGAACCCTGGGTTATCTCATGAAGCTGCTTGATACAGTGCAAGATTCAGGGCAGATCACAGAAGGCCTTCATACATTGAAACAGGAGAATTCATTTCTGCAAGATGTAGTGACAACCACTAGTTTGGGAGGCTTTGTAAGAGGGTGGGACAAATTAATGAAGAATAAGGTTATCAAATGCTACTAGTACTGGTGGCTATATGCTAGGTCCAGTATCGGAGGTAGTATGCCCTCATTCACCAGTTGCTGAGCAACATGGGTGGGAGGGTGCTGTTGTACTCAGGTCCTTCTTGTGAGTTTTGTTTGTGCAGCTGGTTGGCCAATGTGTGAACAGAATGCTATGGACTAGATGGACCTTTGGTGTGATCCAGCATAATTCTTCCTATGTTCTTATGGGTTTACCCCACTGTCCCTAATACATATACAATAAACCATCAGATAAATTACCAGAGCAATTGATAATAGATACTGTCCATCATAGTTTCATTTCAAAGAGATGCTGGCTAAGTTCACTAGAGCATATTGCTACCTCTTTTGTACATGACCCTTCAGTAGCTTTGGAAACAGGTAGAATAAAGATAGAAATTCAGTCTGAAGTCCCCTTCCTACCCTACACCTTAGAGAGAAAGGGAGAAGAGAATGCTTTATGAACAAGTTCTATGATGCCTGCCACAGAGATTTGTGCATCCCTGATTCCTCCTAGGAAGCAGATAGAAACCTTTGAGCACACTTTCCTGGGATGCTTCAGGGATGTTCTAGGAGCAATACTTCTAAGGGAGGAACCAGAGTACCTGTTTCAAGAACATTAAAAAAAACCTTTTCTTCTAGTGTTGGCAGATGTGTATGTGGCTTGGTATCTCAGGACCTTTCCGTGAGTGGAGTGACACACATTTTCACACCTGAGAAAGAAGCAAAGTTACAACATGTATTTCATCCTTGGAAGAGCTTCATTACTATTCTGAGCAGGAATACAAATCAACCATAGGAGTTGAATTAGGGAGTATTAAATTTAATCTTTAATCCTTGCTCTAGAAAAGTGGGTATGGGTTGTTTTAAATATGACTCAGCTTCTTAGAAAGGGATCTTTCTGATGAAGACCTAAACTGAGGATTGACTTGGAGTATTATATATGTTTACTGGCTTTAATGGTAGATCTCTGAATGATTTATATTTAGGGGAGTCGCATACACATTCTCCCCCCACACAAAAAGAAGACAAAAGAAAAAAAGATCTGTATAAAATTTTGAATGTGCTAACTTGTATATTTCGATGCAAATTTAGACATGATGACTATCATAAATAAGATCAAAGTACAGCCTTTTTCTGAGGCTTCTGCTTCTGGATTCTTCATAGAATTAAGATTGGCTCAATTACACATGCTTTTCTTTTTATGTCTGTCTTTTTATATGTGCATTATAAAACTATTTGGTGGCACTGGGGTATAGTAGTTTTGTGCAAAAACTTTTTGGGTTCATGCCA